AGATGTGTGATTATATACTGATTCATGGGCTGTAGCCAATAGTTTGGCTAGATGGATGGTCTGGGACTTGTAAGAAGCATAACTGGAAAACTGGTGACAGAGAAATTTGGGGAAGAGGTATATGGATGGACCTCTCTGAGTGGTCAAAAACTGTGAAGATATTTGTATCCCATGTGAGCACTCACCAATGGGTTACCTCAGCAGAGGAGGATTTTAACAATCAAGTGGATAGGATGACCCATTCTGTGGAACCACTCGGCCTCTTTCCTTAGTCACCCCTGTCACTGCCCACTGGGACCATGAACAAAGTGGCCATGGTAGCAGGGATGGAGGTTATGCATGGGCTTAGCAACATGGACTTCCACTCAAGGCTAACCTGTCTACAGCCACTGCTGAGTACCCAATTTGCCAGCAGCAGAGACCAACACTAAGACCTTGATATGGCACCATTCCTCAGGGTGATCAGCCAGCTACCTGGTGGTAGGCTGATTATATTGAACCTCTTCCATCATGGATAGGGTAGAGGTTTGTCCTCACTGGAATAGACATTTACTCCGGATATAGGTTTACCTATCCTGCACACAATGCTTCTGCTAAGACTACCATCCATGGACTCATGGAATGCCTTATCCACTGTCATGGTATTCCATACAGCATTGCCTCTGACCAAGACACTCACTTTATGGCTCAAGAAGTGCAGCAATGGGCTCATGCTCATGGAATTCACTGGTCTTACCATGTTCCCCATCATCCTGAAGCAGCTGGATTGACAGAATGGTGGTACAGCCTTTTAAAGTCACAATTACAATGCCAACTAGGTGACAGAACTTTTCAGGGGCAAAGTTCTCCAGAAGGCTATGTGTGCCCTGAATCAGCATCCAATATACAGTACTGTTTCTCCCATAGTGGGACTCACAGGTCCAGGAATTAAGGGATGGAAGTGGAAGTGGCAGGACTCACCATCACTCCAGTGATCCACTAGCAAAATTTTTGCTTCCTGTTCCTGTGTCATCACGTTCTGCTGGCCTAGAGGTCTTAGTTCCAGAGGGAGGAATGCTGCCACCAGGAGACACAACGATTCCATTAAACTGGAAGTTAAACTGCCACCTGGACACTTTTGGGTTCTTCCTACCTTTAAGTCAACAGGCTAAGAAGGGAGTTATAGTGTTGGGTGGGGTGACTGACCTGGACTATCTAGATGAAATCAGTCTACTACTCCACAATGAAGGTAAGGAAGAGTATGTGTGGAATACAGGAGACCCATTAGGGTGTCTCTTAGTATTATCATGCTCTGTTATTAAGGCAATGGAAAACTACAACAGCCCAATCCAGGCAGGACTACAAATGGTCCAGACCCCTCAGGAATGAAGGTTTGGGTCACTTTACATGAAAAAACCCACAAAACCACAACCTGCTGAGGAGCTTGCTGAAGGTAAAGGGAATACAGAATGGGTGGTAGTAGAAGATAGTCATCAATACCAGCTATGACCATGTGACCAGCTGCAGAAACAAGGACTTTAATTGGCATGAGTATTTCCTCCTTTTGTTAAAAACATGTTTATGCATGTATACGCTTGTACTAAGAAAATATCTTCATTTTATTTCCTTTCTTCTTTACCATATGACAGAAGATTTATTAATTTCATATCAGCATTTAAGCATTGTTAACCTTATGTAATAGTATTTGGATTGGGGATTGGTGTGTTTCTGGTTGTATTATGTTAGGCGTAATTATGACATTATTGTCTTTATTTGAAGATTATGTATGATCTCAGCAGATGTGTATGGGTTCAAGTTGACAAGGGGTGGACTTGTGATGGTTAATACAGAGTGTCAACTTGATTGTATTGAAAGGTACAGAGTATTGATCTTGGGTGTATCTGTGAAGGTACTGCCAAAAAAGATTAACATTTGAGTCAGTGGGCTGGGGAAGGCAGATCCACCCTTAAACTGGTGGGTGCAGTCTAGTCAGCTGCCAGCAAATATAAAGCAGGCAGAAAAACATGAAAAGGAGAGACGGGCCCAGCCTCCCACCTACATCTTTCTCCCATGCTGGATGCTTCCTGCCCTCCGACATCGGACTCTTAAGTTTTTCAATTTTGGGACTCAGACTGGCTCTCCTTGCTCCTCAGCTTACAGACAGCCTCTTGTGGGAACTTGTGATCGTGTAAGTTAATACTAATAAACTCTCCTTTATATATATATACATATCTCCTATTAGTTCTGTCCCTCTAAGAGAACCCCAACTAACACACTGGTAATATTCTTTGCTTTGAAATCTACTCTCTCTGATGTTAATCTAGCCATTCCCACTTCCTACAACAAGTGTCAACATGGTATATCTTTTTCCATCTTCTTTCCTTTTAACCTATTTGTGTCTCTATCCTTAATGTGTGTTTCTTGTAGGTAACATATAATTGTTTCTTGCTTTTTTATACAATCTGATAATCTCTTGCCTTTTTTTTTTTTTTGAGACGGAGTTTTGCTCTTGTTACCCAGGCTGGAGTGCAATGGCGCAATCTCGGCTCACCGCAACCTCTGCCTCCTGGGTTCAGGCAATTCTCCTGCCTCAGCCTCCCGAGTAGCTGGGATTACAGGCATGTGCCACCATGCCCGCTAATTTTTGTATTTTTAGTAGAGACGGGGTTTCACCATGTTGACCAGGATGGTCTTGATCTCTTGACCTTGTGATCCACCCGCCTCAGCCTCCCAAAGTGGTGGGATTACAGGCATGAGCCACCGTGCCCGGCCCATCTCTTGCCTTTTGATTACGGTGTTTACAAGATTTAAATTTAGTTAATTGATACTATTAGGTTTGAATCTCCCATCTTGCTGTTTATTTTCTATTAGTCCCATCTATTCTTTTCCCTGCTTTCTGGTTTTCTGCTTCTTTTGGATTATTTTTTATGATTTCAGTTTGTTTTTTTTTTTCTGAGACATAGTCTCCATCTGACACCCAGGCTGGAGTGCAGTGGCACAATCTTGGCTCACTACTACCTCCATCTCCCAGTTTCAAGTGATTCTCCTGCCTCAGCTTCCCAAGTAACTGGCTAATTTTGTATTTTTGGTAGAGATGGGGTTTCACCATGTTGGCCAGGCTGGTCCTAAACTCTTGACCTCAAGTGATCAACCTGCCTCAGCTTCGCAAAGTGCTGGGATTACAGGCATGAGCCACCTCGCCTGGCCTGATCTCATTTTATCTCTTTTGTTGAATTATTAGTTATAACTCTTTGTTATTTTGGTGGTTGCTTTAAGAGTTTATGTTATTTATCTTTATAAGTCTACATTCAAGTGATACCATACCATATCACATGTAAGATTACAGTAACAGACTTCATTTCCCCCCTTCAGCCTTAATGCTATTGTTGATAAGAATCTCACTTACTTTAAATAAGAAGAAAATAATCTTACATATTTACCCAGGTAGTTTCAATTTCTGGCATTCTCCATTACTTTGTGTAGAACCAGACTTCAATCTGATACTGTTTTTTTTCCTTCTGCCTGGTGATGTTCTTTTACATTGTTTTGTAGCATGGGTCTGCTGATACCTTTCAGTATTTTAAAGATGTTGCTCATTGTCTTTCCACTTCCATTGTTCCCAAAAAGGAATCTGTTGTCATTCTTACCTTTGTTCCTTTCCATGTCTTTTTTTTTTTCTTGTTCCTTTGCTTTAACACTGGTTTTGAGTAATTTGATTATGATGTACCTTGGTATAGTTTCCTTCACTGCTGTGTGCTGTATTCCACCCAGTATAGCTTTCATTACATTTTCATCTCTACAAGCTTTAGGGGTTTTTTTGGCTTCCATATTGCTACTTAACCTCTTCAACAGAGAGAATACAGTTATATTAACAGTTTTAATGCCCTCCAGAAACTCTAACATCTGTGCCAGTTGTGGATCAGTTTTGACCAATTATTCCCCTCATTATATAGAAAGTTTTCCTACTCCTTTGCACACCTGGTAATTTTTGATAGGATGTCAGATATTGTGACTTTTACCTTGATGGGTGCTGCTGTTGTATTCCAATAAATCTTCTTGGGCTTTATTCAACTATACAGTTAATTTACTTGGAAAGAAGTTGATTCTTTCAGATCTTCCTTTTAGGATTTCTTAGGCAGGTCTAGGGCAGTGCTCAGTTTAGGGCTAATTAATCTTGAAGGCAAGACTTTCCAGAGACTCTTCCCAGCGTCTTAAAATTCTTAGTTTTTCTAGTCCAGCTGGTGGGTGTAAGCACTACTCCTAGCCCTATGTGGGCAGCAGGCACTGTCCCCTCTGATCCTTTCAGATGGGTAGTTTCCTCATATATATCACTAATATTCTGCTAAATACTCAAGAGGAACCCTCTACAGATCTTCAGAGTTTTTCTGTGCAGCTCTCTATGCCCAAGTGTACTGTCCTGTAAACTATAGATGCCTTGGTCTCTCTAGACTCTCAGCTGTTATTTCAACTTCTCTGCTGTACTAGGTACCTGCTCAGTCTCCCCTCCCTGGTAACTTTCTCAAGTTCATAAGAAAGGGCGATTACAGGGCTCAGCTCTTTTGTTTCCCACCTCTCAGAGCACTGTCCTTCATTGTCTGATGTCTAGTGTCTGAATCCCGTTGTCTTTTTATTTACCTGGATTCTGGAGTTGTTTCAGGTGAGAAGGTAAATTTAGTTCCTGTTACTCCACCTTGACTGAAAGCAAAGTCCAGTTTGTTAGTCTGTTCTCTCTAGGACAGACCTCAATTCCTCCAAATGATGCTTAGATGACTTCCTGTTGTTTTTTCTATTGCCAAGATGGTGAACCATGGGTCACCTTCCTCTATGCTACCTTGACTGAGTCACAGTGGAATAGAATGAGACGAAGGTAGGCAGAAACAACTATTTCATAGAAGGATTTTTTGAAGGCCACAAGATATTTTCTCCAAAACATTAAAGTTCTTCGAACATCAAACATTAGATCTGGTTGGGTGATGAGCATGAAAACAAGGTGATTAACAGCTTTGGAACTTCCCCCTTACCTGTACATCCTGTATGCTGAGTTCAAGCATGTGACTGGTTGCCAGCTGTGTATAGTGCACATTGATTCCTGTAAGACTTGCAAAGACCAGTTCTTCTGGGACTTTATTAATTAAGGACAACCCTATTCCACCTTCTAACCTCACAAGCACCTGAAAGGAAAAGAAAATATGGCACCTTATTTAAAACATAGCTCATAGCAGCCAGGAGAGTACAGGAAAATAAAGCGCTTTATATCCATCTACTCCCTACTGCTCAGCAGACGGAAACTACTTAGGGGAGTCCCGTTATTTACCTGGATGGCTCAAATGCCATCATTTCACTGGAAGCCTTGCTTTCTAGGCATACCCTTCACCCCAACAACTCCAGGGTTTGTGATGATACCTCTATCAGAGAACTGATGACATTCTGCATTTCATTATAGAAGTTTAATTATTTGGGAATCTTTCACCTTATTTGGGATGAAAGCTTATCATTTGTTGTCCACTACACTTCCATAACATCCAACACAGTGTTTTACACACAGGCATTTGATTTTTTCAAAAATTACTAAACGAACATCAAATAAATATACTTTTTCATGTTCACCTCATCTTTCTTTTCAAACCTGTCACTCTCCAATCCAAAACAGAGAAAACAAGAGAGGTCAGAGATGGCTAAAGCAAAAACCAAAAAATTGTTTGTCTTAAATCTTACTGAAATTCAAATAGTTTAGATTCCTTTATTGTAATCATAGTTTAGCAATGCTTGTTACATTCTGATTCCACATAAACTTTGTTGTCATTTACATAACACATTCACACGTTCATGTTGTGATAAACAGTAAACACTATCAAACATAACTCACATTTAGAATCATACAGCATAGAAAGAAAGAAAGCAGAGGGTCTAAATTACCACCAAGCAAAATTCTAAAAAAAACTGATGATCAAAGAAATAAATTTACAATATTTAGACCTTACTTCCAATTCCTGTTCTGTATCTGGATTCTTTAATTTTTGCAGCTCTTTTTCGGTGACAGGAAGTTCATCCACTTCATATGAACGGTCACTTTTCCGTTGGCAGAAATCTGTAATCTGAAGTCAAATAAAACACCACATGAAGATGATTCACTCTTCCTTATTGAAACCCATTCTAATCCAGGACAATTGTGTAGGTCAACAGTCACTATATAATCAAGAATCCTATGGAAGGGAATGGTTTCCAAAGCACTGCTAAGGTAAATTCTTATGGCAAATTATCACCTGGAGTGCTCTGGTTGGTCCATCTGGGATGACTCTGATGGATAACATTCCAGAACCAGGTCTCATTTTTTGATTAATAAATTGTTGTTCAGGTGGAACTGGCCCCAAAAGCTCCATGGAAGTGTCAGGACCCAGAACAACTTCAGCGCCATCAAACAAACCAGAAAGTCCTCCTTTGGCCTAAAAAACATTGTGGTAGAGACATGCAAGGAAAGACGGTGACTTTGACGATTTAACACATCATTTCAAACAAGTTCCTAAATTTATGTTCTCCTCTGGAGGGTCATGATCAATGTGCAACAAAGCCTTTACTATTTGTTCAGCTTTGCAGATGATGAAACACAGTAGGATTACTTGAGTAAGAGGAAAGTTATGCTCATAAATTTGGGTAATCATGAACAAGAGATAATTTCATGAATAGAGTCTATCAGTTTAATTCTGCCTTTTACTAATACTAACTTCTTGTCATTAAAATAAACTAACAGAAGTAGACAAAACTAGCTGTTTCTTTGAGTATTCTCACTAGAGTTTGCTTAAAAATCTGAAATATTCTGAAAATAAAATTATTATTATAATCATTCAGCTTTCCAGTAAGAGGCAAATTCTAGAGTTGAAAACCTCCCCAAACAGGCCTATGGCTGGACAACCAACCCAAATACTCAAAAGATAGTGTTTCCTCTAGAATGGAATACAGTGTTGAGAATGTCACCTTGGTACCCAGTTTATTCAGGCTGTTAAAAGAAAAACTTCAGACTGGGTGCAATGGCTCATACCTGTGATCCCAGCACTCTGAGAGGCTGAGGCAGGCAGATCACCTGAGATCAGGAGTTCAAGACCAGCCTGGCCAACATGGTGAAACCCTGTCTCTACTAAAAATACAAAAATTAGCTGGGCATGGTGGCAGGTGCTACTCGGGAGGCTAAGGCAGGAGAATCACTTGAACCTGGGAGGTGGAGGTTGCAGTGAGCCGAGATCACACCATCGCACTCTAGCCTGGGCAACAAGAGCAAGACTTCGTCTCAAAAAAACAAAGAAAGAGACAGAAAGAGGAAAACTTCGGCCAAATTAAATTTAAATGAGTTTAATTGAACAATGAATGATTCGCAAATTCACCCCCAGAATCACAGCAGATTCAGAGACTCCAAGGGATGCCTCATGGTCAGGACAAATTTATAGACAAAGAAAGGGAAGTGACATACAGAAGTTGGAAGTGAACAACTGGATCAGTTACAGGTTGGCATCTGCCTTATTTGAACACAGTCTGAACACTTAGCTGTCTATGAGTGGTTGAAGTATGGATGTTGTGACTGGCCAAGACTAGCTATTGTTACAGGCACATATTCCTAAGTTAGGATTTCAATCTTGTCTGCCTATTAAGCTAGGTTACAGCTCATGCACAGGGATTCAATTATAGAAGTACGGAGTCCTTCTCAGGCCATATTTAGTTTGCTTTAACAGGCGTTTGGAGGAAAATACCTTATTCCTCTATATGCCCCAATCAAGTCTACAGGAAGATGGTTGTGCGAAAGCAAACACAGGCTAGAGAAGACAATGGCAAAGAGCATCTAAATCCCCTCTGTTAACTTTTAGATACTGAGTAATGAAAAGCCAATTCTGAGCAGGGTTTATAGTACAGGTTTCAACACAAAGAAAGCTCTTTATAGCTATTATAAGTTTAGAAAGAAAGAACATATACAACCTAGTAAGAGCAGTGTCAGAAAATGTTTTAATGTCCTCAATGACTTTATTTAGTATAGTAAGATTGAAACTAGCTTACTGCCCTAAACGAAACACATTCTGCTCTGCTCAATACTGTTATTATAGGGTCACTAACAAGCAGGGAAATGATGAAACAGATTCACAAAACAACAAACAGCAGAAAGAGATTTTAAGGAAGAAAGCTCCAAGAGCATTGGAATTACATGGGCTTTAGAAACAAACTAGAAGTGAAGTCAGGGTCAGACATGAGAGCCACCAATTATAACAAGCCCTCTTTGCCTCTATAAGTTTGAATTGTATTGCTAACTGAAAATCACAAATCCATTCCAGATGTGTGCTACATATAAGTAAGCAGTTTGTCTTTGATGAAAAAAGCTCAGGGCAATAGAGATAAAGAAAATAAATCTCACCAAAAGCAGTCAGAGGCTCCTTCCACTTTTGCTAACCACCCTGGAGAACAATCTAAGTCTGATAGTCTCATGTTTCCCTTTTGTGTAAACCCCAGGCTGGACAGAACTGCATACACAATGGCAAGTGCTATTCTCCTATATGCCCAAACCTCCCAGACACCGTCCTACTTCTCAGACCCCTGTTCTCATTCCTAACCTGACGCCAGAAAGGGCAGAAAATCCAAATCCTTGGTAATTCGCCAAACACATATTTGCCTAGAAAGTGCCTGGGAGTTTATCATGAGGAAGACTGGCTGAGAAGATGACAGAGGAAACTGTCCAACAATTTTCATTCTGACATTTGCTACAAGAATTAAATGCTTACTTAGGCAGAAATGAACAGAATCAAGAGCATGTAGATGCCTGATGACTGCTCACCATCTCACAGAACTCTTTACAGAAGACTTGCGGCGATGACATTAACTTCACAGGTCTAAATCTAATTCATCTAACTTAGTGCTGGACTTTTAGTTACACGTTCTTTCTTTCTAAAGTTACATAGGTAATATATATCATCAAAGAAAAAGTCCAGGTAAGCCATGAAAAAAAAAAGCCTTATTATCCAGGGCAATCACTCTTATCACATGTACTACATACCATCTCCAAGAACTTTTCCCATGCAAATATACACAAATGTACAACAAAACGTTCTTGACTTCCTTCTAACTAAAATGGAATAGAATAAGTGTTGCTCTGTAATTAGTTTTCCCACTGAACAATTTTATCATATATAATTCAGTAGAGACTTTGTTTCAAAGAAGGGTCAGCCACTCCTTGCTGCAACTGGGGATCAAAAACGACTGACCTGGACAACCAACCCATGTAACCCACACGTCAGTTTTCCTTCTCGGAAACTCCACGTCTGAGTTGTACTTCGCCTGCGGTCAGGCTTTCTCAGCATCAGCGGCTCATATCTGGAAAATGTAAAGTACAATGAACCATGAACCCTCTGAGTCAACCTCTAATACCCTCCACCCTTAAAACTGAATGGGTAGTTAGCTTGAATCTAGGGCAGTTAGGTATCTCTCGATAAGAAAAGAGGAAAGCAACATGGAAAAAAAATGAAGAGGGGACACAAAGTAAGACATGAAAGATTTCATAATACACAATAATACAGCTTCTTGCATTCTCAAAATGACAAGTTCTCATGCAGTACGGAAGGAGTATCTGCTAAATATATGTAAAATCTTTCCAACAGTCTTTTTTCTGTTGTATTTCTAAACTCTTTTCTGTATTAACTTGTAAGTCATCTAAAGTTCTTCTGGAAATAAGGCATTAACTGAAAACAAAAACACTGATTTTTATGGAGAAACTAAGGCACAGGAAAATAAAGTAACTTATTACAACTTAAAGAGTGGATTTGAATCCAGGGATTTACTCATAAAAACACATCTGATTATTCTCTTAATAATTGATTTCTGCTTTTGAAGGATTTAACAAAGTCATTAAAAAGATGTAAAAAAGAAACCACTTCCTCAGAATAAGGGTGGACTGGAATTTAGGTGAAAGAAATACTCACTTTTCATATCATACCCATTTTATTGTTTGACGCTTCTTAACATCTGCATGGGTATTGTCATCACAGCTTAAAATTAAAGGGAAAGCCCAATACTCATATTTGGGAATATGACAGGTTTTTGTCATTGAAAAAAATACACATTTTTTTTCTCCTTTTTTTTTTTTTTTTTTTTAACTACTAAGCCAGCTAAATTGAACTGCTATAACACATTTTTTTTTTTTTTTTGAGATGGAGTTTTGCTGTTGTTACCGAGACTGGAGTGCAATGGCACGATCTTGGCTCACTGCAACCTCCGCCTTCTGGGTTCAAGCAATTCTCCTGCCTCAGCCTCCCAAGTAGCTGGGACTACAGGCGCGCACCACCATGCCCAGCTAATTTTTGTATTTTTAGTACAGACGGGGTTTCACCTTGTTGACCAGGATGGTCTCGATCTCTTGACCTCATGATCCATCCGCCTCAGCCTCCCAAAGTGCTGGGATTATAGGCGTGAGCCACCGCGCCTGGCTAAATATAACACATTTTTACTTCATTTATAGAACTCTTGGTTTTTGGTATAGATTTCCTCTGAGTCTGAATTTGAAAGCAATGAGCTTGAATCAAAAGTTACCTAGAAAATTACCTGTTGTCAGTCACTGCAGCGAGACCAGCAATATCTAAGATGGCAGACCCCTCGGTGGAGCGGGCAGCTGAGGGCTTATTGGGGTTGTGAGGAACTGAAGAGCCCTCATGAGCAAGCATTCCTGTTCCTGTCATCCTCCATAGCTGAGAACGCTTTCCTGGTTCCTGTTAAGTAGATACAAGCAAAGAGGGAAAGAGCCATTATGTGTGGCCACAGCTAGCTCCTCACTTCAAGAGCTTCCTCTAGGGCTGAATAGTTCTCATGTAGGAATTTGACTTAGATATTTTCCACATTCTATAAATTAATTCAAACTTCCATGGACATCTATCCCTTGTTGTTCTTAGGATGAAATATGCTAACCTCTTGAATCAAACAACCAAAAATTACAAATAATGTGCATTTTAACAAATGTATTCTTTTTATAACCTATTTTTTTTCCATTTTAGAAACTAGGAACAAATGGCTGGGCAGTCTCCTACACTAGATATATTGCCATGATCACTGCCATTCCAGATGGCGACCCTCCAGTGACCTTATCTTAAAGAAGAGTGCAATTACTTAAAGAATAATATGATACTCTAAATATCTGACTTTCAGACAATCAGAATTTACCAGAGGTCTTCCTCCCCGTCCCCAAAGTTTACAAGGAAAGTTTACTATATTGATAGTTTCCAATTTTCATGAGCTGATTATATCTAAATGTTAAGCTGGTTGCATTCAAATGTTATGCTAATTGATTGCTAGCAATACTTTTTTTTGAGACAGAGTTTCCCTCTTGTCCCCCATGCTGGAGTGCAATGGTGCCATCTCAGCGCACTGCAACCTCTGCCTCCCGGGTTCAAGCGATTCTCCTGCATCAGCCTCTCGAGTAGCTGGGCTTACAGGCATATGCCACCACACTTGGCTAATTTTTATATTTTTAGTAGAGGCAGGGTTTTGCCATGTTGGCCAGGCAGGTCTCAAACTCCTGACCTCAGGTGATCCGCCTGCCTCAGCCTCCCAAAGTGCTTGGATTACAGGCGTGAGCCACCATGCCCAGTCAGATTGCTAGTAATTCTAAATATATTTACTCTCTAGAAATATTTTGTAAAAAGCAATTGGGCTTCCAGGTCAATTATGAAAGTCTATATACTCCATTATATACTAAAAGTTATAATACTTATTGAGAACTTACTGTGTGCTAGGCATTGGTCCATAACATTTACATAAAAGAACTCATTAAGGCCAGGCATGGTGGATCACATCTGTAATCCCAGAACTTTGGGAAGCCAAGATGGGTGGATCACCTGGGGTCAGGAGTTTGAGACCAGCCTGGCCAACGCGGTGAAACCCCATCTCTACTAAAAAAACAAAAATAAGTCAGGCATGGTGGTGCACATCTGTAATCCCAGCTACTCGAGAGGCTGAGGCAGAACTGCTTGAACCCAGAAGGCAGAGGTTGCAGTGAGCTGAGATTGTGCCATTGCACTCCAGCCTGGGTGACAAGAGCGAAACTCCATCTCAAACAAAACAAAACAAAACAAAACAAAAACCCCTCATTTAATGCTACAATCTAGTGACATATGCACTATTCCTATTCCTATTCACAGATGAGGAAGTTAAAGCTCATTGAGATGAAGTAACTTCCCCAAGTGACATAACTAGTTAGATGGTGGGTCCAACATCTGAATCTCTGCAGCCTGATTCCAGAGTCAGCCCGCTTAACTGCTGTGCTATGTTGTCTCTCTGTATCTGTACACACAATCTATATTGTTCCTTTTCAGTCACACCTATACTCCAGCTAGACCTGTCAAGATCACATACACCCCCACCAGGCAGGAACTCCTCTAGAGCAACAGACACATCAGGGTACCACAAAGTCATTTCCATGCTACCTGTGGCTGGATAGACAGCTTTTCATCACATTCTACAAGGTATAAACTAACTAAGTAGCATGAACACTGGAGTCAAAATGCCAGGATTTGAGATCCAGCTGCACAATTTACGAGCTGAATTACCTTGGACAAGTTACTTAATCTCTTAGAGCCTCTATTTCCTGATCTGTCAAAGAGAGAAACTGCCTCATGGTTTTTGTGATAAGTGTAATAAATGTAACATGCTTAGCACATGCCTGGCACCAGGTAGAGCCTCAATAAAAGTTTGTTGTGTTATTATCATTACATCTCTTTACATAGTATTTTATGTACATTATCTTTTAGCTAATCCTTCCAGCTAATCTGGGAGGTCATTAGAAAAATGAAACTCTGAGAGAAATGGGGGAAATACCGGATACTATATATCTTTAAGGGGCAAAGCCAGAACTCAAACCAGAAAGACTTCATGCTCTTTCTGCTGGGTGCTACTGCCTCCTCTGTCTGCAAAAAGAGATGAAGCTGAGCTGCACTTTCCCATCTCTAATTCCCACATGCTTGCTTCTCTGTTCACAATAAGAGAATACATCTCTCCACAGCACCAGAAACAACTGGAAAAGCATCTCGGTTATCCTGCAGATGCTACAGATTGGGAGTCAATACACAGATACCCAGGTGAGATCAAGTTTCCATACTGGGATTCCTCTACTGCCTGCCCATTTGTACAGGCTCATCATAATTTGGAAAATACCTAAATTTCCACTTGAAAATCTGAGATGCACCATTCTCCTTCCAGTTCCCTTCCTCACTTCCCTAATCATTCAGTCCTAAAATCTTCAGACGGGACTGTGGAACACAGAACTCCATGGGGCTTGTGTGTGTTTTGGGGATGGGGGCTGTGGTGGCCCAATGTGGACTTGTTAAAGCGCATGTGGAACAAAGAAGGCATTCACCTAAGTAATGGGGCAGCCCAGAGCAGGGACTGAAGCCAAGGTGGATGTTTGGGAGGGGCCTAATGGGAGCATCAAAGAGGGAGGTGAGGTGGGCATTTCTGCAAAGGGCAGGGTGAGAAGGGGGCAGGGCTGCCCAGTACATGGAGATCAGAGCCCAAGCAAGGTAACCATGGTGTGAATACAGGACATGGGACAACTGAGGTGATGGAGGATGAGTTACATTCAGGGTAACTGATCGAATCAATAAATATATTCTCAGTGTTGAACAAGGGAAGTACAAATACAGAAAGGGACAAAATTAGAACTTTGTCATACTGGACTAGAAATACTGGCGTGAACTGCTGGTTTTTGATATATAGAGAGATATAGAAATAAATATGTACAGTATATAAATATTTATACATATTTAAAATTTATACATAAAACACACATATGTGTATTGTACACACATAGATTAAAAATCCCTAGCTCTGTCTTCTGAGAGAGCCTGGGAACCACAACACCACAACAGCAACAAGTGCACCTGATTCATGAATCTCAGGTTTCTAAATTCCATTCTCTGATGGAAGGGATGAGGGCTCCATGGAGAAATGGCAAATTCCAGGAATGGTGCAGGGAAAATATAAGATGGGCCCAGGATAACCTGCTGTATCAGAAAGTAAGGAACTGAGGGCACATGTCGAAAGGACACAGAAGGTTAAGGGAGCTTCCACTGGCCAAAGATGAGAAAAACTGAGCATCAAAATAAATAATGGCTGGGTGTGGTGGCTCACGCCTATAATCCCGGCACTTTGGGAGGCTGAGGCGGTGGATCACCTGAGGTCAGGAGTTCGAGACCAGCCTGACCAACATGGTGAAACCCTGTCCCTACTAAAAATATAAAAATTAGCCAGGCATGGTGGCAGGTGCCTGTAATTCCAGCTACTTGGGAGGCTGAGGCAGGAGAATCACTTGAACTCAGGAATCAGAGGTTGCAGTGAGCTGAGATCACACCACTGAATTCCAACCTGGATGACAGAGCAAGACTCCTTCTCAAAAATAAATAAATAAATAAATAAATACTGATATACATTAACAGGACACACTGAATAAAATAGCAGCCCATAATGACACACACACATGCTTAAATAGAAAATATGATGACAAATAGGAAATTTATGTAGTCTCAAAGTACCACACCACAAAATCTTGACTAATTATAAAAAGAAAAAGAGTAGCTTCACTTCTCAGTGGAAACGGCTATCACACACCTTCTTAATCAATTGCAGCAAGTTAACATCACCAGTAAGGGGACAAATCAACATCACAGCCCTACTTTGGTAAAATTCCTGTCAATTTTCCGGAAATTTGAGATTCCTTCCAAATAAAAAGTAATAAAACAAAAACCTAAAATGTCAAACTTTCTACACTTGGTTTCCAACTGAAAGGGAGAGGTCTATTTCTTAATGCCAATTCATATATTTTTACCTAATTTTTAATGTCAACGTAACTCTATCTACTCCCCTATTTACTAGTTTTCATCCTTATCAAGTGAAATAACTGAAAATGTTCTATAAGTTATAAAATGTTATATAAAATGTTACAATTATTGATACTTAATTTTAGAAATTTGTTCTTGTCTACTTAACAGTCACCCAGCCCTTAGTAATTCCACATATATTTATTATTCATGTTTTGCTGATCACATCTGGTGATCACATCCCCCTCCAGAAGTCGTCTTATTCCTGAACTGGTACTCATCCACCCTAATGCTGACCTGGAAACGCCAAGAGGCCTGGGTTCCACAAGACAAGCAAGTGCCCATGGCCTCATGATGAAACAAGGACTCTGACTGAACTGGGTGATCCTGAGTCCCGTCCAGTACTAAATGCCTCATATTCTAAACTCTGACTGTAAGCTCTCTTACCTTCTTCTTTAAAATGACTCTTTGTGTCTTGGGTGAGACATCCAAGACGAGCTCTGCACAGGTAATGGCCTTGTTGGAAGCCACAGGCCTGCCTGTTCCCTCCTGCAAGCTAGAATTTAAAATTAAAAAATATCTATATTATATATAGAGATATATATATATACATATACAGGTGTACAAACATACTCACACATGTATTCAAGTATTAATATGCAAATGCCCAAAACTTTTATTAAAGAAGGAAATGTTTTAAAGCATAGAAGAACAGGAATATCAGGGTTGCATGTTTCTCCCTACAAAGTTCTAAGATTCATCTCTCAGAAGATATACGCTGACATTTTTCTTTTAATAATTTTAGTGACATAAAATTCAAATGTAAAAGTATAACCATATACCTTTAGAGCACACCCCCCTCCCAAAAAAAAGGCAAGAAGTTTGGTCAGGCGTGGTGGCTCACACCTCTAATCCCAACACTTTGGGAGGCCAAGGCAGGTGGATCTCTTGAGGCCAGGAGTTCACGACCAGTCTGGCCAACATGGTGAAATCCTGTCTCTATTAAAAATGCAAAAATTAGCCAGTCATGGTGGCATGCCCCTGTAATCCCAGCTACTCAGGAGGTGGAGGTATGAGAATCGCTTGATCCCAGGAGGCAGAGGCTGCAGTGAGCCAAGACTGCGTCACTGCACTCCAGCCTAGGAGACAGAATGAGACTCTGTGTCACCCTGCAAAAAAAAGCAAAAAACAAACAACAACAACAAAAAACCAAACCAGACAATTCAAGGGACCAAAAATTAGCTTTACTCTGCCAAGCAGATGATCAGCATCATTGCATCCCCAAGTCTTGGCAAGAAATCAGAGGTCCCTCTAGGATGAAAAGAAAACAAAGGGGTCATAATCAACTCCCTCCAATTCAATCATGTTACATTTCTCTGAGGCTAAAGAATCTTAAGCTTTATAAAATGCTGCAGCCTGGCTATACTTTGGGATGTTTGGTAGTTTTTAATTTAGATTATTTTCCTCTATTAACCCCTATTAGGAAGGAAGAAAAAGAAAAAAAGGTAATGGATTAATTCAGAGTTAAAAACCAAGTCTTCATGATACCAAAAGCACAAGTGATCTGTTTCCCCCAAAGCAGATGAATTATATGTGATCAATATGAGAAAACTGTGTGCTTGAAAGGACACAATTTAAAAGTAAAAAAACTCACAAAAATAATGGGAGAAAAAAATTGCAAATCATATATCTGGTAAGAGACTGATAGATATGAAGAACTCTGACAATTCAACAATAGAAAGGCAAATCATTCCATTTTAAATATGCAAAGTATTTGAATACACTTTCTCCAAAGAATAAGCACCAATGACTAACAAGCACATGAAAAGATGCATAACATCATTAGTTATTAAGGATGCAAATAAAAAACCACAATGAGATACCACTTCACACCCAGTAGGATGAACATCATTTAAAACAAAACAAAACAAAGCAAGGCATGGTACAGTGGCTACGCCTGTAACCCTAGCACTTTGGGAGGCTGAGGCAGTTGGATCACTTGGGTCCAGAGGTTTGAGACCAGCCTGGGCAAAACAGTGAGACCCTGTCTCTAAAAAAAAAAAAAAAAAAAAAAAATTTTTTTTTTAATTAGCTGGGCATGGTAGTGGCATACCTGTGGTCCCAGCTATGACAGACACTGAGGCAGGAGGACCGTTTGATCCCAGGAGGTTGAGGATGCAGTGGGCCAAGATTGTGTCACTGCACTCTAGCCTGGGTAAAAGAGTGAAACCTTGTCTCAAAAATAAAAAATAAAACAAAAACCAACACATGTTGATGAAGATGTGGAGAAACCAGAACATTGTTGGTAGGAATGTACGATGCTTCAGCCACTGCGGAAAACAGTATGGCAGTTCCTCAAAAAGTTAAACATAGAATTAAAATAGAACCCAGCAATTCCACTCTTCTGTATAAAGCAAAAGAATTGAAAACAAGTACTTAAACAAACATATGTACAGGCATGTCCATAGCAACACTGTCCACAACAGCCAAAATGTAGAAACAACAAATAACTGGATAAACAAAATGTAATATATACATAAAATAGCATAGTATTCAGGCACAAAAAGTACTGAGTACTTTTCAGAAAAAGAATGAAGCACTGGCACATGCTACAATGTGTATAAACCTCAGAAATGTTATGCTAAGTAAGAGTCCAGACAAAAAAGGTCACTCCTATGATTCCATTTCTATTAATGCCCAGAATAGGTCAATCCATAGAAACTGAAAGCAAATGGGTGGCTGCCTGAGGCTGGAGACAGGGAGGAATGGGGAATGACTGCTCAGTAGGTTTTGGTTTCTTTCTGGGGTGATAAAAATGTTCTGGAACTAGGCAGAGTTGGTGGTGGCACAACATTATGAATGTACCAAATGCCACTCAACTGTTCACTTTAAAATAGTTACAGTTATGTGAGTTTCACCTCAAAAATGAAATTTAAAAAACTATTCTTCCTCATCATTTATTCCTTCCAAGACTGCAAAGAATTAGTATCTAATATTCTCAAATAGATGGCTCAGCCTCTTAGCACAGCAAGATTATTCTAATTCTGCTGTTAGATTCTGCATACCAAGATTCTAGGAGCTTCTCTTTATATCTGTTCCATATCGGTTCAACCCATTAAGCCCATAATCCTCCACTAGGATTCTTCAGTTAAAGAGCTTAGTAACTACTGGAATTTATAGAACATAAGGAGAAAAACATGACTAACAACCAGATTTAGATTTGTTTTTTCAGGTATTAAACCTTAAGCATGTCCCACTGTTAAGTGTCATAATCTTTAAAGACAAATTAACAGCAAACAAACATATCGACTCAATTATAACAAGATAAACATCCTAGCACCATCATTACCAAAGGGAAGGTCAACAGACAAAGGAATGGTTATCTCTGCAACTTCAATTATTACTAGTGAAATCTGGAGTCTAAGCAGATGAGAAAGATAATACAAAAACCCAGAGATTATTTTCTGGGCCCCAGGCATGCATATAAATCTTACTCATATGCAAAAATGTTCCAAACATTTTGGAAAGGAATGTGACTTTAAATGCCCTGTTCATCAGGTGATTTATATTTGTAATGTTAAAAATTAAGCTATTTTCCATTTCTTCACAGACACACTTTAAAATTGTCCCTGTAACTTCAGGACAGAAACAATAAGCTGTATTTACATGTTGGTAGAATGACTAGTTTTTGACAGCCTAGTGTTTTAAATCTCTGTGTGGCAAACTAACAGGAAAATGAGCTTGATATTCTTCACCTGACTTTTCTAAATACAACTAGTCAAACAACAGTGAAGATTAGAATTCTAAGGCAATGGAATTTGTGTGAACTTAAGCTACTATATTTGGCTTTAGGTGAATATTAAGACAGACCCTTAGGTGTCTGCTTAATCAGTATTCTCAATGGGGTGGGGGAGGAGAGTGAGAATGATGACTTGAATAATTATGATGAAGATTAGTATCAAAAGAGGAAAGAGACAAAGCTCAGTAATTACTAGCAAAAAGAAAATTTAAATACTAGAATGAATTCTTGGGAGAGATCTTTAACAAGAGAATAGGTTTGACTCTTTGGATAAATTCTAATCTAGCCAAAAGACAAGAGTTTAAATTACATGACCTCTTAAGACAGACACTGAGCCTAGGATTTGGTAAAGAATGAAAGAATCTGCCAGGCGCAGTGGCTCATGCCTGTAATCCCAGCACTTTGGGAGGCCACGGCAGGCGGATCAGGAGGTCAGAAGATCCAGACTATCCTGGCCAACACAGTGAAACCCTGTCTCTACTAAAAATACAAAAAATTAGCTGGGCATGGTAGCACATGACTGTAGTTCCACGTACTCAGGAGGCTGAGGCAGGAGAATAGCTTGAACCCAGGAGGTGGAAGCTGCAGTGAGCTGAGATCACGCCACTTCACTCTAGCCTGGCGACAGAGCGAGACTCCATTGCAAAAAAAAAAAAATCTCCTTTGTACTTTGGTCTCCTGAGAAACTGTTTAACATTTAAAACATGTTAATAATTAGAACCTTCTGCTTTATAAGAACAGTAATTTAATCCAGAATTACCCAGAGAATGTATATGTAGCAGCAATATAAATGAAATTTTCATAATAAAGCTGCCGATTATCCTGGAAATCATTCATGTTGCAGTTGATCTCAGAGGACCCTGCCCCTTTAACAGTCAGAGTGATAAAAGGTGGCAAGGTGGGTTCGTCCCAGGCATAATCCAATGAAGTCATGGGCTTCACTTCAGTCCGGAGCCTGGGTTCAGCTACGCCATGCTGAGTAAAGACAACCGGGACCTAGAGTGATGGCAGGGAGGACAAAGAGGACTTTCATTCAGAGTGGGATTACTGAAAAGTGAGTCAGTGCTTCCTAGATTTGAGTTCCAGATCCAGGGAATAAACCCCAGTGAGGTTTATCATCTCACCTCTTCAAATGTTTCTAATCATCTCACACATTCAAAAAAACTCACTTTTTAAAGGACATGGGCCACACACACACACACACACACACACACACACACCCTATTGAACGAAGGGCTTTAAAAGCTTGCCAAGTCAAAAATCTAGGGGGAGCAATTCTGTCCTTCCAATGGCATCTTTCTAGTCCAAACCCCCTATGATATATATTTTGAATATAGAAAAAAATAAGAATTTTGGACTGTGGCTACAGATCATCACATCTAAGACCTATTATTATTTGAAGCCATAATTAAAATAGAATCTAATGAGTTCCATAATGACTTTCCTGAAAAATTCATTAAAATGGCCACTATAACTAAGCAACAGTAGAGTTGCCCATTCCCATTCCACTGGACAATCCAATGTCTTTCTCTGTTTGTATGTGAGGTCTACAGAAAAGACAGTGTCAATCAGACACTCTAGTTAAAATAAATAAATCTGGGGCTATAAGATTACTTTTGTATGGACAAGGCTGCCCAGCAATCAAAATAACCAGCAGAAAACACCTCTTAAGGGTAAGGATTTCTAAGGTTGCCCAGATATAAAGAACCTATCCATACAGCTTCCTTCAAATGCAAGTTTAAAATAAATTGTACCACTGTATTAAGGGCAGTACACACTCCCACACATGAAACAAACTGGCTCTCAACTCTATTTGATACCTTAGAAAAGTTGTCAATTCGGAAAGGAGGAGGTAACTGATCTGTGTCACTAAATGAGATTCTATACGTAGCTCCTCGGAGAGTAATTTCCACTCGTAGGAAGAAGCATTTTCCCAAGGTATCCCTGCAGGACAAAGAAACAAAAGAGGCTACATAAAATATAGAAGACCATCTGAAATCCACTTACTTCTCATATTTCTGACAATCACGACACTGTTTGGGCCTCAGTCAATACCACTGAACTTACAGCCCACTGTGTGTTCTTCTATCATCTTAAAAAAGTAGAAATTGGCAATATGATTACAAAATGGTGATTTTCTAATTCTCCTATTTCTTCAACATTTATACACTGATATTCTGCTGCAAAGAAGAAAATGGATGTCTGTAATGTATTTTGGGGTGTGTGTGTGTGTGTGTGTGTGTGTATACATTTATATATAGATAAATCGCTGATGGAAATGGAAAGCTTATCTTTACAGAAAAATATCAGTGAATAAAGGTAGAAGAAATTAGAGAATTAAAAATCAGCATTTTTGGCTGGGCATGGTGGCTCACACCTGTAATCCCAGCACTTTGGGAGGCCAAGATGGGAGGATCACTTTAGCCCAGGACTTCCAGACCAGCCTGGGCAACACAGTGAGACCTCATCTCAAGTAAAAGTAAAAATAAAATAAGAAATTTTTTTAAAATCTGCATTGCAACCACCCATGTAATAAGTGATTTAAGAACCATTAAATCACCAAAAGGTTTTTGGGAAACAGAATATTCACTTAGTCTTATTCCCTCAGTGGATCATTCTTATTTACAAAGAACAAAGGAAACTTCACAAAAAAGAGGCCTGCAGGACACCACCTTAACCAGTTGATGAACAACTTTACCACCACCAATGACGAGACCAACAGATATCAAAGCATCCTGATGTGATACGGTGGGAAGCACACAGCATCACATAGGTAGTACAGCTATCAAAAATATCTGACCCAAATATGCAGACTGCCCAAATGCAGGAAATAGGACATTCTATAAGAAACTAGCTTGGAGTTTTCAAAAATGTCAATGTTACTAAACACAAAATAGGCAAAGCGGGACTACTCTAGATTAAAGGAGACAAGAGAATACATGAGCCAAGTAAAATAAATGATCCTTCACTGGATCCTAGATCAATGGCAAGAGAGCTGCTATGAAGGACATTATTAGTCATTGATTCGGTCTATGAAAACCATTTATTAGAAAACATATTGGGGCCGGGCGCAGTGGCTCAAGCCTGTAATCCCAGCACTTTGGGAGGCTGAGGTGGGTGGATCACGAGGTCAAGAGATCGAGACCATCCTGGTCAACATGGTGAAACCCCGTCTCTACTAAAAATACAAAAAATTAGCTGGGCATGGTGGTGTGTGCCTGTAATCCCAGCTACTCAGGAGGCTGAGGCAGGAGAATTGCCTGAACCCAGGAGGCGGAGGTGGCAATGAGCTGAGATCGCGCCATTGCACTCCAGCCTGGGTAACAAGAGCAAAACTCTGTCTCAAAAAAAAAAAAAAAGAAAACATATCAAGGTTAAATTTCTTCAGTATGTGATAATAGTATTATATTTAATTAGAAAAATGTCCCGATTTTTAGGTGATAAGTGAAGTTTTTGTGGCTTAAGTATCATGACGACTTTACTTTCAAATAGTTCAGAAAGGAAAATGTGTATTTCCGTATGTGTGAAGAGCGAAAATGCAGCAACATGCTGAAGACTGGTAAATCTAGGTAGACGATGTAGGGATATTCATTTACTACTCTTTTAACTTTCCTATAGTTTAAATTGTTTCCAAATGCAAAGTTGAGGGAAGTAAATGAAATACATGGCATAGGTCTGTTCTCAGTAGTTTAGGACTGCACATTAAAACCATTTTAAAAGGATTAACAAAAATTACACAAGTCATCATCCCCCTCTATTTTTTTTAATAACCATGAATTCTTTTTCATTCAATTCAACACTGGCTTCCAATTCTCACACAACAGATAGGGGCTGCCTCTACCAAGGGAATACATAAAACAGTTGTGATTTTAACTATAGAATCCCTTTTCCCTCCTTACTCCTTCGCCCAAATAAAATCCTGCGGGGAACACATTATGCTACCAACGAAAGTTCTGGCTGAGGTAGGGATAAGAGTGCTAGAGCCCTACCCAGCAGGCTCCCTTGGGCACTAGAGTGATGTCCTTAAAATCAAACAGCTCCTAAAAAAACAGCATAAAAACCACTATATTCAGATGCAATTCACACTAATAAAAGCCAGGGCAAAGTATAATCAAGAGGGGCCCACCACTCAATCAGATAATACATTTAAAAGTCAAATATAAATACTATTTTGGGGCCAGGTGTGGTGGCTCACACCTGTAATCCCAGCACTATGGGAGGCCAGGGCAGGAGGATCACTTGAGGCCACAAGTTCCAGACCAGCCTGGGCAACATAGTGAGACCTTGTCTCTACAATTTTTTTTTGTTTTCAAATAGCCAGGCGTGGTGGTGCACGCCTGTACTCCTACCTACTCAGGAGGCAGGAGGGTCACTTGAGCCTAGGTGTTCAAAGTCACAGTGAACTATGATTGCACCACTGCACTCAAGCCTGGGCAACAGAGCAAGACTCTATTTCCAACAAAAACAAAAATAAAACCACTCTTTTGAAGAATTATCTTGGATCATCTATTGCTAAATTACCGTATTTCTGTTCTTTTGCAATAGTGTTCTCAACAGAGAGCTGACCATAAAGTATAAAAGATTAAATTTTGCGGGCTGGGCACGGTGGCTCATGCCTGTAATCCCAGCACTTTGGGAGGCCAAGGCGGGTGGATCACGAGGTCGAGAGATCGAGACCATCCTGGTCAACATGGTGAAACCCCGTCTCTACTAAAAATACAAAAAATTAGCTGGGCATAGTGGCGCGTGCCTGTAATCACAGCTACTCAGGAGGCTGAGGCAGGAGAATTGCCTGAACCCAGAAGGCAGAGGTTGCGGTGAGCCGAGATTGCGCCATTGCACTCCAGCCTGGGTAAACAAGAGTGAAACTCCGTCTCAAAAAAAAAAAACAAAAGATTAAATTTTGCTTCTAAACGTGTTCAAATAGAACGATTTAAGATTCTTTAACTTCAAAAGCATCTAATGAAAAAAAATTTTTTTGAGACTTTTTCTCACTCTGTTGCCCAGGCTAGAGTGCAATGGTGCGATCTCAACTCACTGTAATGCCTCCCAGGTTCAAGTGATTCTCCTGCCTCAGCCTCCTCAGTAGCTGGGATTACAGGTGTGCATCACCACACCTGGCTATTTTTGTATTTTTAATAGAGACGGGGTTTCACCACGTTGTCAGGCTGGTCTTCAACTCCTGACCTCGTGATCCACCTGCCTCAGCCTTCCAAAGTGCTGGGATCACAGGCGTGGGTCTCTGAGCCCGGCCTGATGAAAGAAGTTAAAGACACAACAGAAAAGGCCAGGTGCGGTGGCTCACGCCTGTAATCCCAGCACTTTGGGAGGCCAAGGTGGGTGGATCATGAGGTCAGGAGATCAAGACCATCCTGGCCATGGTGAAATCCTGTCTCTAAAAAAAAAGACACAACTGAAAAGATTTCCCATGATCAGGGACTGGAAAACATAATTTTTAAGATGTCAATACCACAAAACCCTATGGATTTAATGCAAACCCTATCAACATCCTAACAGCTTTTTTGTAGAAATAGAAAAATCCATGTTGAAATTCATGTGGCTCTAAGAACTCTGAATAGAGAAAACAACCTTGAAAAAGAACAACAAAGTTGGAGGTCTCACTTTTCCTTATTCCAAAATTTAATACAGAGCAACTATAATCAAAACAGTGTGGTACTGGCATAAAGACAGATAGACCAATGGAATAGATTAGAGAGCCCAGAAATAAACTTTCACATGTAGGGTCAAATGATTTTCAACAACAGTTGAAAGGAGAGTCTTTTCAATAAAAGGTGCTAAGAAAACCAAATATCCACATACCAAGAAATGACGTTGCACCCTCACCTTAAGCCATACACAAACATTAACCCAAAATGAATCAAAGACCTAGAAGTAAGAGCTAAAACTATAGAACTCTTAGAATAGGAATTCCTATAATTCAAAACAACTTAATTCAAAAATTAGCAAAGGAACTGAATATTTTTTCCAATTAAGGTATACAAATGGCCAAAAAGCACATGAAAAGATGCTCAACATCACTAATTATTAAGGAAGTAAGAATCTAAACCACAGTGCAATGCCACCTTATACCCATTATACAGAGGCAGGAGTATCACTTAAGGCTTGCACCAAAAACAAAGCAAACAAATGTTGGTGAGGTTGTGGAGAAAGTGGAACCATTGCGCACCAGTGGCAGGAAAGTAAAATGGGGCAATGGCTGTGGAAAACTATGATGGTTTCTCAAAAAAGTAAAAACAGAATGATCATATATTCCAACAATTCCACTTCTGGGTCTATACCCAAAATAACCGAAAGCAGGGTTTTGAACTGACACTGGTACACCTATGTTCGTAGCAGTTTGTGATAGCCAAAAGGTGGAAGCAACCCCCAAGTGTCCATTAATAGATGAATAAACAAAAATATTAACATGAACATTGACAACATTATGCTAAGTGAAGTAAGCCAGTCACAAAAAGACAAATACTCATGATTCAACTTACAGGAGGTACATAGAGTAGTCATATTTATAGACACACAGTAGAACATGGTGGCCAGGGGGTGAGGGGAATGGGAATGAGGAGTTAGTTGTTTAATGGGTACAGAGTTTCAGTTTTGCAAGATGAAAAGAGTTTGGGGAATCATTTGCATAATAATGTAAATGTACTTATACCAGTTAACCGTACACTTAAAAACGGTTGAGAGTAAATTTTATGTTATGTCTGTTTTACCACAATTTAGAATTTTTTAAAATAATTTTTTAAAGCATTTGATGAGAGCAGAAAGAAAGTTTAAATCATCCTGGGCTAGTTAAGGCTGATTTTGGTTATGTTTCTTTTTTGTTTGTTTGTTTGAGATGAAGTTTTTCTCTGTCACCAGGCTGGAGTGCAATGGGGCAATCTCAGCTCACTGCAACCTCTGACTCCCTGGTTCAAGCGATTCCCCTGCCTCAGCCTCCCAAGTAGCTGAGATTATAGGCATGTGCCACTGCACCCAGCTAACTGTTACTTTTAATAGAGACAGGGTTTTACCATGTTGACCAGGCTGGTCTCAAACTCCTGACCTCATGATCTGCCTGCCTCAGCCTCCCAAAGTGCTGGGATTATAGGCATGAGCCACCGCACCCAGCTGGTTATTTTTTCTTAACAAGGACTGAGTGTTACCAGGTTAGGTGTAGAAAGCCAGATGATTTACTAGAACAGCATCAAACGAAAGAAGAGTTTGTATAAATATGTCAGAATGTACAAAAATATTTATAATGAGCGTTACCATCTAAATGCAGACCTTTCAAAGTTGCAGGTAATCAAAATATGAGCTCAGTGTTACTCTTTGGATTAAACAGCAATTACACCATGGTCAAAACTGGCAACACCTCCTTTAGTTTATTCCGTCAAAATATCCACTCATATCTCTGGACTTTGCAAGTTCTAAGACCTCTGTCTGAGTCAGGAATATATGTGCCGATTTTACAAAGGCAATAAGGCCTTGTTTTATTAGAGTTCTGCATCTCAAACGGGGGCTATGTTTTTTGTCTATATTTAGAGTCTCAAACTTACCTCATGTTGATATGGAAGGAATTATTCTTGTTGACTTCAAAGCCTCCAGACCAAATACAATTGGGAATATCCATCAGTCTGACGCACAATAGCTGATCATAGTCATTCCGAGGCCAGTGGAACACCACACTGGAACCAGGAAGGGTGGAAATGTAACCTTCGGGATTGGCTGTTCCCTAAGACACATAGGATCACAGGCCTTAGTCAACAAGTTGCAGAGTACCTACTCTGAGCCTTACCCTCTATCAGGAGCTATCCAGGTACCAAAGGCACAGAGTAGTTACTCATATCATAGAATGTACAGTCTTCATGGAAAATAACATTAAAACTCGTGCTATTAAATAGGCACTCTCATCCTTCAAAAGCAAACTGCTCACCTGTCCCCTGGCAAATTCTCTCTGTGCAAATGCAAGCTTGTGAGATGACTTATTATCTAACAGGTAACGGGGGGCAAAGATGACCATGCAGGTATCAATGTATCGACCTCGGCCTTTCTTGACATCAATACCTACAAATAACAAGAACCACTTTTATGAATTAACCATAAAGAGAGAAAACTCTTGGTCTGACAAATAAATAATCTTCACAATTACTTAGTTTCTCTTAGAAAATAACTGTATCCCCCAGAGAGGATACTGAACCTTCTAGGAATGTAATGAATATAGCAACTGTACTCAAAGTGTTACTCCTTATTCCCATTTAGGCCTTAAAAAGGTTCAGGGGCAATATCAATATCCCCTTAATTCCTAGTTTCTTCACACAGCATATACCATTTAATAGCAACTAAAACATCTAAGCATCCAGTCACATATACCTTAGTTTTCCATTTATAAAGGTGAATACTTAGAACAGTTTCACATGATACGTTTTTACTTACAACTGGGACACAAAATTTCCTTCTAGGGAACCTGCCACTTTTATAGGATATAGTAGAAATTTCAGATTACTTAGCTGGATTTTGTAATCTTCTAAACTCCACTGACTCTTCTCTAGCATTTTATTTTAGCCCATTGCCCAAGAATCCAGCTCAAACATAATGCTAAGTATTATAGAATTTATTCATGGCCAGGCACAGTGGTTCACGCCTGTAATCTCAGCACTTTGGGAGGCCGAAGCGGGTGGATCGTTTGAGGTCAGGAGTTCAAGACCAGCCTGCCCAACATGGTGCAACCCCGTCTCTACAGAAAAAACAAAAAATAGCCAGGTGTGGTGGCACGCACCTGTAGTCTCAGTTACTCAGGAGGCTGAGGCAAAGAGAATCGCCTGAACCCAGGAGGCACAGGTTGCAATGAGCAGAGATCACACCATTACACTCCAGTGTGGGAGACAGTGTGAGACTTGTCTCAAAAAATAAAATAATTTATTCATTTATAAACTAAATGTTTTCAGCACCTACTATGTAGTAGGAGAATTTTCAGCACCTACTATGTAGTAGGAGAAAATAATAGAACGGTCCAAAGGAAATCTCAAGACACCTGGTTCCAAATAAAGAAAAGCACCAAATTATCTTAAAAACTGACAATTTTCAAAAGTAAAAAATTCAGTGGGATCAATTATTCACTCATTCATTCAGACAATAAATATAGCAATGACATTCAAGGCACTGGGCTGAGCTCTGGTCACCCACTGATAAAATTATATATCATAGAAAGAATAACAACAATAATAATAATTACTGATCTCTTAATACATGCTAGGCCCTCTATCAAAGACTTTACATTGAATCCTCATAACAACCTTCTAAGTTAGATATTTTAGTTATTTCCATTTTACAGATGAGGAAGCTAAGGCATGGAAAGCTAAGTAACACAGCTACTATGTGGCACAACTGGGATTCCAGTCCAGGCAGTCAGCCTCCAGAGTCAGCACCCTCATGAGGCTTGCCTGTATTGTGATGGGACATATATAAGGTCCCCACTCCACTCAGCAGTCACCAAGTATCGAGAGAACCATGAAAATAGAAAACTCCAACTTAGGATTTGACAACCAGGTGTCCCAGATTTCTCAACATAATTCCAATTATAAATATTCCAATCTGTTAATGCCATAATTCACTTAAACTGGCTTGAAAATTCTGATATTCCTTTAATATAACCATTGAAAATACATGAAAGACTGAGAAAAATCCCACACAAAAATCTCCCTGAAACTCCGTGTCTAAGAAATGCTATGTAATACTGGGATAGGGAGATAATGCCCTATGACTTCCTTCTGTGACATACAGAGAAGCTTTCATTGTCAGAAATCAACATTATCATAGTTAGGTGGTTTCTAATATAAAGTCTGACTACAAAAGATGTTTAATATTATAAAAACAGTCTAGGATGCTCTGAAACAATACAGACTCTCAATGTTTGGAAAAAGGTGGGCTTTGGTCCCTTTTATATATTACATTGCCCTGGGAAACCCCTGATAAATCAATAAGCTGAAAGATCAACAGGAACAAAATCACTCTTTTGGAGGTCTATGTGAAGCTAACTGGCAAGGCTGCCCCTGGCTTTTCAGTTTGGACTGTGCTTTAAACTTTCCTGATTGGGAACTAGTTATCTATCCTATTCTTGAAAATATTCAAGCAGTAGATTCCACAAATTCCCTGTGGAAAACACGGCAAAAGTTCATAATCCTTAAGAATTATAAAGTCGTATCTTAGCCCACTCCCCTCTATCCCTTCCCTAGGTGGAGCAACAAAACTCAAATCATAGTCTTATCCCTCAAAACATATGCCATGAGCTTTAGTGAATGCTCCCTGCTTATCAGTTTAAATGGGTAAACAGGGCATATTACGGGTAAAAACTGCATATGTCTGATTAGTCTGCTCAACTGGCCTCTGCAAGAATTCTGTGGTTCTTAGTGCTAGCTGCTTTAAAAGGAACAAGCTCCTCCCACCTCAATTTGTCCCAACTACAGCTTCCAGCCAACCTGTGATAGCTTGCTTTGCAAAATACATCAAGGGCAAAATACCCCAGCAGAAAGCCAAACTCAACATGAAGCAGCCTTTGCCTATTCAAGGGGTGAAGCAAACCAAATTGAGAAAAAGTTAAGATAACTGTTCTTGTGCTGCAAGATCAAATGTAGTTTATTTCTTTTAAAAATCTTAATGTCAACTTTAAAAAGACAGTTCACATGTCAAGGGAGAATGAACACAAACCTATGATTAAATATCCAAAAAGGAAACTACACTTGGAAGATTCTTTTATTAATAAATCCTCAGACATCTAAACATATCCTTGGTTCTCCATGGGACTCAGGATAAATATGTAAATGATACCTGACCCAATGCCAATAACCCAGTGCTCGAGGAAGGAACTAGGACTATGTGCCTACTGTCCAATACGGTCCCAGTAGCCATATGTGGCTACTTAAACTGAAATTCACTAAAATTAAATAAAAAGAAAAATTCCATTCCTGACATACTTGCCTTATATCTCACTAATGTGCTCTCCAGGGCTCAGCAGCTGCATGTGGCTAGAGGCTACCACTAGATAGTGCAAAATGGAACACTTCCAGCATCACAGAAAGTTCTACAGGGCCATGCAGTTCTAGATGGTGCTCCACTGTTCAAAACTAACATTGCTTTGAGATGCTCGGAAATTACATACTAAAAGGATGCACTGCTACATTTTCAACCTGATTCATATTTAAATCAAACTATCTTAACACTTTAGAGAATCTTTTGAGTGTTCCCAAGTGGCTATGAAGCATATGGGTACAGTATTCTTCCCTCCCCTTTCCACCCTTCCCATCTCCACAAGCAAAGTTAGTCTGGAGATTTCTTTAATTACCACAATCACCAAGTGCATTTTATTTGTACGCCCCAATCCTAGTCCTACTTCTGACCCAGACTTCCCCTTTACATCTAGGCAGGTCACTTAACCTCTCTCCTTCAGTTTCAAGGACAACAATGCTTCTTACCCTCTGAGGGCTTGCAAATTTTAATGAATGCGTGGGAATACTTGGAGGACGAAAAGCATGCTAAGTGTTCCTATTATTCCCCTGAAAAACAAGGATTCAAGCCAAACTGATACTTTCCTGACACAGGTGAGTCTGAAATTAAACAGAGCCACAGACCTCAAAAGGGCAGTGTTTAGGTGGCTCCTCAGATCCCTAGAATAGATCTGTGTTGACATCAGTGTAGCATTCAGAGAACAGATACCTGACCCAATGCCAAATGAGAAAATCAGCACTTGCAGCCAGGCCAAAATGCATGGCCAGCTCATTCCTCCAAGCCTGAGGTCATCAGCCAAAGGTTCTGTTTCTCCCACTGCCCCAAACGTAACCCACCAATGTTATAGATCAGCCCTGGGCGGTTTCCTTGCTGGATGACTTTCAAAGCTCGGACACCACTACCACCATCCAGGGAGAAGCCCTGACACCAGCCCGGCATGCCTTCTGGATGAATCCCCCTTCCGATTCTCATCGTGCAGCTGTGGGGCAGAAAAGCAAAGATGTAGATATTCATCCACAAGAAAGTCTTATCTGTGTGTTCTGATTGGGAAACACTAATACAGCTATCACTGAAATTCCACCTCTACTCTTGACTCTCTTCCTCATTCTCATGTGATTCCCTAGCACAGTGAGAAAATTCATCAGCCGTTAAAACTGTATCTTAGAGGTAACAGTGTGTGAAATTTATGGACATCTACAACTAAATGCTTTAAGAGAAAACATTAGGATTCTACGAGCATAACACATGAGGAAAATGCTGTAATTTCTTTTCTTTTTTTTTTCTTGAGACAGAGTTTTGCTTTTGTTATCCAGGCTAGAGTGCAATGGTGCAATCTCGGCTCACTGCAAGCTCTGGCTCCCAGGTTCAAGCAATTCTCCTGCCTCAGCCTCCCAAGTAATTACAGGATTACAGGCATGTGTCAACATGCTTAGCTAATTTTTGTATTTTTAGGAAAGACGGGGTTTCACCATGTTGCCCAGGCTGGTCTCGAACTCCTGACCTCAGGTAATCCACCCGCTTCAGCCTCCCAAAGAGCTGGGATTATAGGCATGAGCCACCAAGCCCGGCTAGCAATTTCCGTTATTCCCCTAAAACTCTAGGATTCAAGTCAAACTCATCCTTTCCTGACTGCTGTTTCAAGGGTTCATTTAAAAAAGCACAAGTAGCATAAGTACAGAAGATACAGGTATGATGATACTATTACAATGGCAAAGCACTGTTTAGTTGGCCATTGTCTTGTCACAGATTTTGGCAACATAATTTCTGAATGTGTGTTCTAGCTCTACCACTAACAAGCGATGTAAACTCTCTCTGAGCCTCAGTTTCCTCATCTTAAAATACAACAATATTAGGTCAGGCGTGGTGGCTCACACCTGTAATCCCAGCACTTTGGGAGGCTGAGATGGGTAGATGATGATTCAAGAGTTCAAGACCAGCCTGGCCAAGATGCGGAAACCCTGTCTCTTCTAAAAATACAAAAATTAGATGAGAATGGTGGCACATGCCTGTAATCCCAGCTACTCAGGAGGCTGAGGCAGGAGAATAGCTTGAACCCAGGTGTGCCAGAAGTTGCAGTGAGCAAAGATTGCGCCGCTGCACTCCAGCCTGGGCGACAGGGCAAGACTCCATTAAAAAAACAAAAGAGAAAAAAACAAACGAACAAAAAAAACACATTATTTCCTGCCCTGCCTAAACCCTTGGGGTGGTGGGATGAATCCAGTGAGATGGTCTATGTGAAAATGCTTTGGGAACTGTGGAATTCATAGATAAAACACACTGTGTAACACACGTCAAGTCCTAAATCTAAAACTGTCCAAATCATTTCAGGAGAAAAATGAGACTGGATTTTCTGCACATGCCAAGAGGCTGGCTGCATCCCCTACAATATCCAGAACTCTGGTCAATCCTCTCTCCTGGCCTCAAACACCAATCTACACTCCAATCTTCCCTGGTAAACATCAGGACCCACTGAAGTGTGGTACTCCAGAAGACTTTCTGTTAAGCTGTCAGCATAATTCTACCGATAACAGGGTATGGCATTTTAACACTATTGGATACACCCATTTATCTTTGATTAGAGCTCTATTAAAAGACTCTTGTAAAAAGCAGAATGTCAAAACCAAGAACAAAAGTGAATTAATGCTCCTACCATACATTAAAAGCACATGTCATCTAATCCTCACAGTTGTTTTTTGTCCCTGCTTTTAAACATGCAATGAGTTCTTTGAGAACTTAAAATGGCATATTTTACTTTGAGGGTAAAAGGGACAAATTTCAAAATGTTATACAAATCCTGGATTGGATTATGAGGCTGATGGCTTTACCAAGGAACCAGTCTACGTCCATTCTGAGGCCAGCTCCTGTGCCTGTGCTAAAAGTTTACAGAGGAAGAGAAACTGCAGAGAAGAGAAGGAGAACACGTGGCTTTCTCTTCATTGGCAGAGTTATGAATAGGAAATCTACTTCAATGCATGTAAAATAAAACTAGCTTTCATTATAAACCAACCAAATGGTTTATTTTCAGTATCAAATAACACAGAAATTAGATCCCCAAAAATCCCATTAGGTCATGGTTCTATTCCCCTGCCAAGTCAGGATTGTTATCTATAGTATATTTCTACTTACACGGATATATTATGGCCTTTACTAATTTCTTCCCTTCCCTGGGAGCTTATTTCCCCTTCCCATAAATAATTGTACTCACAGGTTTGGCTGCTCTTTGTCAGCATAGCAGAATAAGAGAGGACTCAGGCTCCGGGCCAGCTCATGCTCCTCAAACTGGCCTGCAGCATCTGTCTTGGCATTGTCCTGTCTGAAGATCAGCGGCAATCCTTTATGAAGAAGGAGAAAAGTTTACATCAATACCACCCAGTCTATCTGAAAGAGATGCAGATGTGTATGAATAAAATCATCAAGGGGGAAAAGAGTGAAAACTGAATCTATTTAGTAGGCTCAGTTCCTTGTCTAAAAGGACAGTTTTGAGCATGATTAAGCATTTATGATGGAAGCAGAAATGTTTCAGCAGCTCAGACTGTTGAAGTAATCTATTTGCATTGGCTCCATTTAGTTAGCTAAGCAAATAAATCTGAATTCCCATGACTAACGCCAAAGACCTACTTGAGCAGCCCCTGTATATACCTGTTTTGTTAATCAGCCAATATGGAGCAGAAATGAAGATCTTTAAGGATCCTTCTGCTCGACACACAATCCGGATGGTGAGGTTTAGCTGCCGACGGTTGACGTCATAGAGTCGCATTCTCACCATATAGTTTTGGGTTCCAGGTGGAATGAGCAATTCTTTACAGAGAGGGAAATTCTCCAGTGATACCCCTAAAGAAGATACAAACTATTAACTTACAGAGTTCTCACTTTAGTTTCTTAAAATAGCTTACAGCAAATGTCAATTGGATTCCTTTTCAAAAAACCAGTAACTAAGTATCTAACCGGTAAAAATCTTCATTAGAATGGCTCTTTCCAGAGATATAGACCAATGAAACAGAACAGAGCCTCGGAGGCAACACAACATATCTACAACCATCTGATCTTTGACAAACCTGATAAAAACAAGCAATGGGGAAAGGATTCCCTGCTTAATAAATGGGGTTGGGAAAACTGGTTAGCCATGTGCAGAAAGCAGAAACTGGACTCCTTCCTGACACCTTACACTAAAATTAACTCCAGATGGATTAAAGACTTAAACATAAGACCTAACACCATAAAAACCCTAGAAGAAAATCTAGGCAAAACCATTCAGGACATAGGCGTAGGCAAGGACTTCATGACCAAAACACCAAAAGCATTGGCAACAAAAGCCAAAATATACAAATGGGACCTAATCAAAATCCACAGCTTCTGCACAGCAAAAGAAACAGCCATTAGAGTGAATTGGCAACCAACAGAATGGGAAAAAATTTTTGCAGTCTACCCATCTGACAAAGTGCTGATACCCAGAATTTACAAAGAACTAAAACAGATTTACAAGAAAAAAACAAGCCCATTCAAAAGTGGGTGAAGGATATGAACAGACACTTTACAAAAGAAGACACACATGAGGCCAACAAACATATGAAAAATGCTCATCATCACTGGTCATTAGAGAAATGCAAATCAAAACTACATTGAGATACCATGTCACTCCAGTTAGAATGATGATCATTAAAAAAATATGGAGACAACAGATGCTGGAGAGGATGTGGGGAAATAGGAACACTTTTACACTGTTGGTGGGAGTTCAACCATTGTGGAAGACAGTGTGGTAATTCCTCAAGGACCCAGAAATGGAAATTCCATTTGACCCAACAATCCCATTACTGGGTATATATTCAAAGGATTATAAAAAATCGTTCTACTATAAGGACACCTGCACACAAATGTTCATTGCAGCACAGTTTACAATAGCAAAGACCTGGAACCAACCCAAATGTCCATCGATGACAGACTGGACAGGGAAAATGTGGCATATATACACCATGGAATATTATGCAGCCATCAAAAACGATGAGTTCATGTCCTTTGTAGAGACATGGATGAACCTGGAAACCATCATTCTCAGCAAACTGACACAAGAACAGAAAATCAAACACCGCATGTTCTCACTCATAGGCAGGTGTTGAACAATGAGAACACATGGACACAGGGAGGGGAGCATCACACACTGGGGTCTGTTGGGGGGAAACAGGGAAAGGACAGTGGGGCGTGGGGAGTTAGGGAGAGATAGCATGGGGAGAAATGCCAGATATAGGTGAAGGGGAGGAAGGCAGCAAATCACACTGCCATGTGTGTACCTGTGCAGAAATCCTGCATGTTCTTCACATGTATCCCAAAAACTAAAATGCAATTTAAAAAAAAGAAAAGAAAAAAGAATGGCTCTTTCCCACTAGCTGGGGTAAGAATCAATATAAGCATACCAGATGGCCTGGAAGTCATGCTAGGAAGTCTAAACTGCATAATCAAAAGGATTAGAATATCAGAAAACTAACAATAATAGTGATGATTCTTAGGAGTTTGCTATACTTCAGGCTCTGTGCTAGGTGCCTGAAACATAGGAACTCAAGTGCAGGGTAAGAGGCACAGTTCTGCAGCCAAAGTGACTGGCTTCAAAACTCCAGTCTGTCCTTACTACCTTCATCATGTGGAATAAGTTATTTAAACTCTCTGGGACCCAGGTGCACAATGTAGATAACTGTTATGAAAAGTGAGAAGCTGTGGAATGCAGAATGCTGAGAAAAAGCAGTGCTAGGTGTTTACACGGTGATGGGATAGGCAGACATTTCTATTTTGTACAGGGGCTTAATAAGTACTTGAAGAAATATATGAGAAAACTAACCTCTTATATGCCAAAGACCTATTTTATTTAGAATGAATAGCACTGCACTACTTTTCTGAATTAAGTTCAAGGGTTATATGGTAATTGCAATGTAATCTTGTCACTGTGGGACAGACATATAGCTAAAGTTCAACGAGTTTCAGGTCCTCCATCTGTAAAATGGAGATAACATGAAATAATATAGCAAAAGCACTTACAAAACTGTAAAATCATAAACATCTAAGTTATTATTACTTCCACCTGTGTATAGTAGTCTTAAAGGAACAATTTTCTGCTCAAATTCCAAAAGTATCTCTTTGCTTTGTAAAAAAATTATTTTTGGCTGGGTGCAGTGGCTCATGCCTGTAATCCTAACACTTTGGGAGGCCAAGGAGGGTGGATCACCTGAGGTTAGGGGTTCGAGACCAGCCTGGCCAACATGGTGAAACCCCATCTCTACTAAAAATACAAAAATTAGCTGGGTGTGGTAGCGGGAACCTGTAATCCCAGCTGCTCAGGAGGCTGAGGCAGGGGAATTGCTTGAACCCGGGAGGCGGAGGTAATTAAATTTTTAATCAACATATAATAATAATTGTACGTATTTTGGGGGTACGGTGAGATGTCTCAATACATACATACATTGTGAAATGATCAAATCAGGGTAGTTGGCATTTTCATCACCTCAAACATTCAGCATTTCTTTGTAGTTAACAACATTTAAAATCCTCTCTTCTAGCTATTATAAAATACATCATACAATATTGTTAACTATAATCACCATTCCTCTTTAAGTGTTGCAAATATGGTAATTCTCTACTTTGACTTCATTCACCCTGTTAAAGCAAACTAAATATGGCCTGAGGACTCTGTACTTCTATATGAGTCCTTGTGGATGAACTGCAACCTAACTTAATAGGTAGACAAGAGTGAAGACCTGATTTAGGAGTATGTCGCTGTAACAATAGCTGAGTCTTGGCCAATCCCAGTGGCTATACTTCAACCCACTCATACAATGCTGAATGTTCAAAGTGTTCAAATAAGGCAAACACCAAACTGTAACCAATCCAGCTGTTTCTGTACCTCACCTCTGATTTCTGTATGTCACTTCCTTTTTTGTCTATAAATTTGTTCTCATCATGAGGCATCCCTGGAGTCTCTGAATCTGCTGTGATTCTGGGGGCTGCCCAATTTGCTAATCATTCATTGCTCAATTAAACTGATTTGATTTGGCTGAAGTTTTCCTTTTTATCAATCCTTACAACCGAAAATTACTTGATGCATTCCAAACCCCCATCTCTTCATCAGTAAAATGGGGCAAATAACTACTTCTGTAAGGATTACATGAGATTACATGTATGAAAAAGCCCAGCTGTGCCTGGAATAAAGTGAGTGCTTAGCAAACATTTATCTTTTCACTAAAAAGAGAAGAAGCATAAGATTTTGCTTGGGAAAAGCATAGTTTAAAAAGATGCAATGATGGACAGGTGCAGTGGCTCACACCTGTAATCCCAGCACTTTGGGAGGCTGAGGCAGGCAAATTATGAGGTCAGGAATTCGAGACCAGCCTGACCAACATGTTGAAACCCTGTCTCTACTAAAAATACAAAAATTAGACAGGCGTAATGGCCTGTGTCTGTAATCCCAGCTACTCAGGAGACTGAGGCAGGAGAATCGCTTCAACCCAGGAGCCGGAGGTTGCAGTGAGTCGAGATCGTGCCACTGCACTCCAGCCTAGGCGACAGAGCAAGACTCTGTCTCAACAACAACAACAATAAAAAAGATGAAATGACTTCCTACAATCATACGTCATGTGAGCAATATAAGAAAAAAGGCTCTGTTGAGTGCTTCCTCTGTAAACCTTTTGGTTTGTTATTTTCTTGTCATTTTTTATAGTTTTTTTTTTTTTTTTTAAGAGGCAAGGTCTTACTATGTTGCTCAGGCTGGCGGCAGTGGCACGAGCATAACCCACCAAAGCCTCAAACTCCTAGACTCAAGCAATCCTCCCGCCTTAGCCTCCTGAGAAGCTGGGATGACAGGTGTGTGCTGCTACCTCCAGCTAAAGGTTATTTTTTTTTAACTGCATGAACTCCTTTGAGCTGGCTTACTGAGATATTACACGTGCCCCAATTTCTCCAAGATGCTTACCAAATAATCACAAAATACTCACTGATATTTTCACAGAATTATGACAAATGATCATTTGACTAAATCCTTACCTAGTTCAATGTTCTGGGATGTATCAGCTGTGTGGAGGGCTGCCTCCTTGCCAGGTTTCAGTGTCCCATTAATTGGCATTCCTTTAACATAAAAATCAAGTTCACAGGGTAGCAAGTTGCAGACTACCACGGTTGGCAGGAGATATATGGTGTGCCCAGGCTGTCTGAAAATCTGTTTTGCGCTGTCAGAAAATATGTTTGAGGGCATATAATCTGGATAATTCTCTTTCTTTATAGCCACACAAAACCTATGAAAATAAAATAGCGGGAAAATCATCAGACTGAATGAAGAACTTAATTTTTTTTCTCCTTATCTAAGTATAAGAAAGAATAACATTAAAATGGTTCAATGAGTAATTATTTGCAGTTTACAATTCAATACATTTATTAAGATATAATATACAATAATAAGTATAGATTTCAAATGTTCAGTTTGATGAGAATTCTGACAATTCTACACACCTCTATAACCACCATCCAAAATAAATGACTGAATACTTCTCTCACGCCACAAAGTTCCCTGATGGCCTTTTCCAACCAACATTCTCCTTCACCATTCAGGGAACCATTTTCTTTTCTTTTCTTTTCTTTTTTTTTTTTGAGACAGAGTCTTACTCTGTGACCAGACGCCAGGCTGGAGTGCAGTGGCATGATCTCGGCTCACTGCAACCTCTGCCTCTCAGGTTCAAGCATTTCTCCTGCCTCAGCCTCCCGAGTAGCTAGGACTACAGGCGCACGCCACCACGCCCAGCTAATTTTTGCATTTTTAGTAGAGATGGGGTTTCACCATTTTGGCCAGGATGATCTCAATCTCTTGACCTTGTGATCCACCAGCCTCAGCCTCCCAAAGTGCTGGGATTACAGGACTGAGCCACCGCACCCGGCTCAGGGAACCACTTTCTAATCTTTATCACTATAGATCAGTTGTGTCTGTTATGGAACAGCATAAAAGTGGAATCATGCAGTATGTACTACTCTTTTTTCTGGCTTTTCAAACTTAAAGTCTCAACAAGATTCAGCATGTTGTTTTATGCAACCTATTTGATTATTTTTCATTTCCTAGTACTATGCCATGGTAAGAATAAATTGCTGTTAATTTATTCATTATCCTGTTGATAGCCGATTTTTTTTTTTCCTGTTTAGGGTTAAATGAACATTCTTGTACAAGTATTTTTTTGGATATATATTTTTTCATGCATTTTAGATAAATACCCCGAAGTGGCCTTACCGGGGCCTTAATGTTTTGTTTTGGTTTTTTTTTTTGAGACTGAGTTTTGCTCTTGTTGCCCAGGCTGGAGTGCAATGGTGCTATCTTGGCTTGCTACAACCTCTGCCTCCTGGCTTCAAACCATTCTCCTGCCTCAGCCTCGTGAGTAGCTGAGATTACAGGCATAAGCCACGATGTCTGGCTGACTTTTTGTATTTTTAGTAGAGACAGGGTTTCACCATGTTGGTTAGGCTGGTCTTGAACTTCTGACCTCAGGTGATCCCCTGGCCTTGTCCTCCCAAAGTGCTGGGATTACTGGTGTGAGCCACTGTGCCTGGCCAGTCCTTAACTTTTATAAGAAACTGCCACACATTTCTCCAAAGCAATTATACCACTTTAGACTCCTCCTAACTACTTATGAGAGTTCCAGTGGCTCCACATCTTTGACAACATTTGGTGTTATCATTCTTTTTTATGTCAGCCACTTCAGTGAGAGTAAAACATTACCCACTGTGTGCATTTCCTGAGTGAATAATCACACTGAGCATCTCCTCATTTATCTATTGGCTGTATATTTTCTTCTGTAAGTTGTCAGTTCAAGTCTTTTGTCTATTCTTTTTATTAAGCTGTTTTTATTGTTGATCTGTAGGAAGTTCTTCATGTATGTTATGTAAAAATCCTTTGTCAGATATATATATTTTTCCAATTCTGTGGCCTGTCTACTCCTTTTCTATTGTTTTGAGACAGAATCTCGCCCTGTTGCCCAGGCTGGAGTGCAGTGGCATCTCGGCTCACTGCAACCTCCACCTCCTGGGTTTAAGCGATTCTCCTGCCTAAGCCTCCCAAGTAGCTGGGATTACAGGTGCATACCACCACACCCAACTAATTTTTGTATTTTTAGTATAGATGGGGTTTTACCATATTGGCCAGGCTGGTCTCAAACTCCTGACCTCAGGTGAGCTGCCCACCTCGGCCTCCCAAAGTGCTGAGATTACAGGCGTGAGCCAATGTGCCCAACTCTCTTTTAGTCTCTTAATATGATGAGTTACATTTACTGATTTTCAAATATTAAGCTAATGTTAAATTTCTGGGATAAACCACTTGTTGAATTGCATTTCATAATATTATTATTCTGATAAAGGGCTGGGTGCAGTGGCTTACACCTGTAATCCCAGCACTGTGGGAGGCCAAGGTGGATGGACTTTTTGAGGTCAGGAGTTTGAGGGAGTTCAAAACCAGTCTGGCCAACAAGGTGAAATCCCATCTCTACTAAAAATAGAAAAATTAGCCAGTCACAGTGGCAGTAATCCCAGCTACTCAGGAGGCTGAGGCAGGAGAATCACTTGAACCCAGGAGGTGGAGGTTGCAGTGAGCCAAGATCACACCACTGCACTGCAGCCTGGGCAACACAGCAAGACTCTGTCTCAATTTTTAAAAAAATGTGGTCAGGCACGGTGGCTCAGGCCTATAATCCCAGCACTTTGGGAGGCTAAAGGTAGGTGTATTGCCTGAGGTCAGGAGTTCAAGACCAGCCTGGCCAACATGGTAAAACCTTGTCTCTACTAAAAATACAAAAATTATCTGGGAGTGGTGGTGGGCGCCTGTAATCCCAGCGACTCAGGAGGCTGAGGCAGGAGAATTGCTTGAACCCAGGAGGCAGAGGTTTCAGTGAACTGAGATTGCATCCTTGCACTCCAGCCTGGGTGACAAGAGTGAAACTACATCTCAAAAAAATAAAATACAATGAAATAATTTTTTTTTTGATAATGATATTTGCGTCTCTTCATGGGGAACATGGGCTCAAAGTTTTTACATAGTAGATATAACAGGTTTTGGTATCAGGGATATGTTGGCCTCATAAAATGAGTTAGGAATTGTTCTTTCCTCTACTATTTTCTGAAAGATCTTGTGTAAAACTGTTATTATTTCTTCCTTAAACATCTAGTCAAATTCACTAGTAATGTTATATGGGCCTACATTGTTCTTTGTGGACAAAGGCTTTTCTAAGAGTTAAAGTTCTTTTAATTTAGATACTTTAATTTAGGTACTGGGCTATCTGGATTTTCTATTTCTTCTTTGTGTCAGTTTTGTTAACTTGCATTTTTCACATTTACATGTGGAATGTATTGGCATAACATTGGTCTTATCGCCTTTTCATCCTTTTTATGTCTATAGGATCTGTAATAATGCCTCATTTTTTCATTCCTTATATTGATAATTTGCATTTTCTGTCTTTTCTCTTTGAGCAAGTCTTGCTAGAAGTTTATCAAATTGATGACAATTTTGACATTGTTGATTTTCTATTTTCTAGTTCACTGATTTCCAGCCACATTTTTATTGTCTCCTTTTCCTATTTCTTTGTTTTGAATTTGCTCTTCTTTAACTTCTGAAAGTAGAAGATTACATCAGTGATTTTATGGTTTCTTCATTTTCTTTTCTTTTTTAAAATTAATTGAATCTTAACCAAATGATCTTCCCCACTTTCTAATATGAGGATTTACAAACTGTAACTTCCCCCACTCAGAACTGCTTTTGCTGCATCCCACATATTTTAACATGTCTGCCTTTTATTATCATTCAATTCAAAATATTTTCTAATTTCCGTTGTGATTTCTCTTATTTGACTCATGGGTTATTTAGAAATATACTGTTTAATGTCCAAATAGTTGGGGATTTATTAGGTATCTTACTGCTGTTGATTCCTAGTTTACTTCTATTGTAATCAGGAAATATATTCTGTATGGTTTCAATTCTTTAACATTTATTGATCTTCGCGTTATGGCCCAAGAGATGCTCTCTCTTGATGAGTGTTCCAGACATACTCGAAATGAACGTATAATTTGGAGTTTCTGGGTAAAGTATTCTATAAATATCTATTAGAACAAGCTCATTGATAACATGGTTCAAATCTTTTACATATGTATTCATTTTTTTCCTCTATAAATTACTGAAATGGAAGTGTTCAAATCTACCAACTTCAGTTACATATTTTATGTATTTCTTCCTTTAGTCTGTTAACAATTCACAGATCTGGGTAAGGAATGCGCTGGAATTCTTTACACTATTCTTGTATCTCTTCTCTAAATCAAATCAATGTCTGCCTTCACTATAAAAGAAACTAAAGCTAATCCTCTTTAAATAAGTTTGAAGTCTAAATTTGTGAGGGTAGAACAAAAGCAATCCAGTATTTTTTCCAATGTTGAATCTAGTAACTTACTCTTGTATGATGGGAAAACAGGAGTTTAAATGGTTAGGCAATTTTGTCAATGTTCTCAAGAAAGTCAGTGTTAGGTACATAAACCTTCAAATTATTTTGAAATCTCTCGTTCAAGAAACTCCAAACCCCAGGATTTTGTTTTCCAATTTTGGAATGAGAACTCGTTATTTTCTGTTTGTTTTCCTTCCCCTCTCCATGTGCCCTCTCTTGTGTAAATAGTGTGTGAGTTGGTTGTCTCTCCCATATAAGTAAGCCTCCCCAGACTCCACCAAGAGTTAGCACTTGAGTTCTCATGAACCCAAACTTAAAAACTCAAGGAATAAGAACTCTTGAGTTTAAATAAGGATAACTGAATCTCTAAGGGTCTTTAGAGAAAGAACGATAATAAAGTCATTCCCAAAGAAAAAAAAAAAAGCAAAAGTGACATGCCACTGTAGTGGTGCTACATACCTGAAAAACTGGCTTTTTTCTGTGTCCATAGAGTGGCATTCTCGTTTACTGCTACTAATCTCTGCAGTCTTCACTACATTGGTCCAATGAATAGGAGCCTTACAGAAAAATACACCCAATCCTTTGGGCCGAGCCTGTAGCCGCCAAGAAGTGAGGTGTAAAGGCACCGCAAACGAATCCCCTGGCATGACAGCAGGAAGCACCACTGGCTCTGCCACAGAAATAAGGGTTAGCACTTTCAGGCAATGGTCCTCCACCCCAAAGACTGACCATCTCAGGACAAAAGAAGACAGACCATATATACTGACTGCTGGGGAAGACACCACTGGGGAAAAAGACACTTGACAACAATCAAGAAATATTTATCAGCATTTACTACATTCTAGACAATGAAAACATACTGTCTGGAGCTGACGGGCTATCCAGTCTTAGTTCCATTGGCGTCTCAAGTCTGTTCCTCACAATGAGGGCTGACTGGACAGTGATCACCTTCCGCGCACTGCCTTCCATAGTCACTGCAAAGACCACCCGCACTGGTGGGAGTGAAGAGAACTGTGAAAGACAGATAAAGACAAAATAATTATGGTTCTGAAAAAACATACAAAATATAATAATATCGATCAGAACGTCTAACTTAAAAGCATCTTATTACTACTACAGCTCTGCAGTGAAATCAGTCATAAAATCCTAAAGCCATTTGGCTTTAAAGGAAGTAAACATCCTATACATTTACAATATTAAAAACATTAACTCTAAAAAGTTCTACAAAAATAAGTAATCCACTCAGATGTGATATCACAAAGTGTGTCACTAAGAAAAATCAATCCTAAGCCTCTAGAAACATTACAAAAAACATTCACCTGAGACTGTGATAATAACCTTTCCAATTTTCCAAACTTCCTGTAATTTGGTAAGAAAGTATCTGCTGGAAATTATCCTTGATTCATAAAGCCCCCAAGTTCCTTATAAGAAAACTGAAAAAGGCGTGTCTTCTACTCTACTGGCAGGGAATTAAATAAAGAGCATCCAATGCAATTAAAATAAAAAACAATGAGGTAGGACTTTGCAAAATAGTAAATGATTTACCTTCTGTGTTATTTTCCTCCTAGATTAATATCCAAACAATGGGTTGAGTACTGCCCAAATACAGAAAAACAGAAGGAAGTCTTCTGAGATTAACATTTGTCTTTGTAAAATCCAGAAAGTGTAAAAGAATTGTCTGTATTGGTGTGCCTTTCATGGGAACAAAGAATAACTTCTTTGTTTCTAAGGTCCATATACTATTTGTTGACATGCCTACATAAAAACCAACGTCTGTATTTTAAAGAACTTTAAAAACACACTTTTCTTTCTTCACAATAACCTTCCAGGTTCTGTTCAATAATGGCTCGTTCATAAAGGACACCAGGGTTCAGAAACTCAACATAATGAAAGGAAATTATTTATTTTTGGTCTTGGGTTACAGCCATTACGTTATTTTTCCATATGTTCATTCACACATTCAACACACATTTTGTGCTAATACCATGTGACAGGAAATTTTCTTAAAAGTAGAAAATCCCATGTTAGGTACACCAAAGAAAAAGTTTCTGAAAGTATTACTGTTAGAACGAGTGTCCAACATATTAACAATGCTTTTTACTAGAGAAACAAATGGCATGTCACTCAAGCTTTTCATTCTGCCAACTTTCTTATTAAGACAAACAGCATGTTAAAGTCAACCCAAAAAACAATAAAATGAAGAGCTGCATGTTTTGAACCAAGACTTCTAGGAAGTCCAAATGAAAAGGCAAACTACAATTTTCTAGGGTGTTTTTAGAGGGACACAATCCTAGGCATAAATCATCATCGAAGCTCAAGCTTCCAGTGACCCAATCCTAATAAGGCCCCAATAGTCAAAGCCAATAAGAATTGCTTGAAATCTTGATACTGTTATTTCAAACAATTGTTTCAAACAATTGAAACAAGGTAGGCCTTCAGGCCTACCTGAAATTTTACATTTCAAAACCTACAATCTTCAGGGAGGAGAAATTATAAATAAAAGCCTGCAATAAGTTTGTTAATGTCATCTTGTGATGATGTTTCAAAAGTCAAATAGGAAATAAATGCTACTTTTCCTTCTTATTTACTTTCATGATCTTTGGACTCAAACCTATGAAATATATATGGCCATATCAGAATTAATTTCTTTTTTTTTTTTTTTTTTTGAGATGGAGTTTCGCTCTTGTTACCCAGGCTGGAGTGTAATGGCCCGATCTCAGCTCACCACAACCTCCGCCTCCTGGGTTCAGGCAATTCTCCTGCCTCAGCCTCCTGAGTAGCTGGGATTACAGGCATGCGCCACTATGCCCAGCTAATAAGGCCCCAATAGTCAAAGCCAATGTATTTTTAGTAGAGACGGGGTTTCACCATGTTGACCAGGATGGTCTCGATCTCTTGACCTCGTGATCCACCCGCCTCAGCCTCCCAAAGCGCTGGGATTACAGGCTTGAGCCACCGCGCCCGGCCAATTTCTATTTTAACTTAGGATGAGAAGGAGACCTTGGAACAAACATTTGCCTTTTCTTCTCCTTCCCTGTAATACTTAGTCTCACACACCGAGTTAGGTGAAAACATTTTCTTGCAAGTTTTTGGAAAAGGAAGGGTATCATTAATAGAAAAGGGCAGAGATAAGTTAAATGACATATATGTCATAAAGTCCTCTGATCCTTAAGAGATACACATCCATGTGGTTCAGGTGCAGTGTATGTACTCAATAAACACAATAACAACAGGAAAATCATACTTACATAAACCTGGGGATGTATAATATTTGTTCTGCTGCTTGGGCTGCCAATCTGAGAAAGATTCCAAAAGTTACTGTCAGCACAGATTTAAGATCATTGGCATCATTAAATTCAATGACTACATAATTTGCTTGAACGGGTGGCGTTTGTAAATACTTTCAGGTAAAGCATAGTCTTTACGAAGATAAAACATCTCCTATTAAAGATACGGAAAAAATAATATTCATTTTATAACCTCTCAACATACGCCAAATTTCTCACCAACACATCAGTGCAGTAGGAAAGGTACCTAAGAGGGAATTGGTCCTTTCATTACCAGACATAAACTTAGGCTGAAAAGTGATTCTGAAAAGGTTTTATTTTTGTTTTTTTCCTAAGAAACCTGGGGCGCAGAGCAACAGTAAAAATGAACACTTGTGCAACAGTGTTCTCTAAGAATATTTTTCATAAAGAAAGGTGCATTATCTCTGCAAATCTGCATTTCCACCTCACCACTGGCTACCCAAAAATAAGTGCTAGTATCCTATGAAGTATGACTGAGGATGGGGCAAGAGCACCTATGGCAGCTCTGCCAGCCAGGATGTCAGCCTCCATTTGCATGTACAAGTCAGGGATGCTACCTGCATCATTTCCTGAGCTGTTCCTCCAATCACTAGGACTACCGGCAGGGATGAAATTAGGGGAAGGGTGTATGAGAGCATGTGTGATCAGAAAATAAATGACAGTGGACATCTCTCTTGTGCCACAGGGAAAGACTTGGAGACACAGAGCTAAAAGGATCAAGGTGCTGCATTATAAGAAATATTAAAAAGACAGTGTATATGGAAAGCATTACACTTGATGAAATAAAGCCAAGACTCAGGTTCAGCAGACTAACAAACTGCCAGTCAGCTAGCATGAAATGGATCTGCACAGGTGAGGAAATGTTACTGCTGACTTTAAATCTTGTTTTTCTACTGAAACTAACCATTGTCTGGCTTATCTACATATTGATTACCAATGGCTATGACTGACCTAATATGATCTTAATCTTCCTAGAATTAGGGGAAAGAAAGAACAAGAAAGTTTCACTAGAGTAAGCTCATTACAGGCTTAACCATCTGCCTTCCTGACAGCCACACACCGTAGAGGAAGATAAATTTTTATCTGGTGCTGCATATCGAAAAAAGGTCCCGACTTTGTCCACAGACACTGGGCTCACTTGCTCCCAGCCATTTACTCTCACTTGCAGTTGATGAATCCGGAGGTCATGGGTGTGTCTGTCAGGCAGAAAACAGAAAAAGATACTAAGCACAATCTTCAGAAGGGATAAAAAGTAGAAGCAAAGACACAAATCTGATTTAGTATATAATGATGCAAAAACCCAGTTGGCGAAACCTTTTGGAGATTACCTAATCCAAGAGAAATCAGGAGCATGGTTTAACTGGGTTTTACACTTACAACACAAACTGCAAGATCTATAAAATTTGATTAAGAGTGACATTTATCCTCCATTGCACAAGCCACACAAATCCTATACACTTTCAGGTAAAGCATAGTCTTTACGAAGATAAAACATCTCTATTAAACATACGGAAAGACCTGGGCTTTCTTTCCCCACCAACCCTTATCCCAACCTCTATACTGATGTCACTGAGGTAGGAAAAATGCACTAGCAATTTAATCATATAATCATACTCTTGGAAATGCACAAAAAATTCTTATTCCTGGTTCCTTTGTTGAAATCCCACTTCTCTCAGAACCACACACGGTTGTTTGGCTCCAGCCCTGCGTGACTGCAGGCAGGGCAGGAGAGGCACAGCCCTCACGTCAGGGCTCCTGTGTTCGACTAAAACTGGAGCAGAAGGCAGTGGGCAGAACAGGAGGAACAGGAGGAAATTGCACATTTAATTCTATTTTAGATTTTGCCTAATTCAAGCCAGAAGTGAAACGGGGAACTGGATTTAAGGCTGACGGGAAGGCGGGAGGGAGGCATGGAGTTGGGTGTAGTGTGCCAAAGAGGGAAAAAGCCAGAAAAGGCATTTATTTTGAAGAATTCAAGCAGAATAGTGGGACGTGAAATGGGTTGCAAAACATGTAAACAAAAACAGAAATGACAAAGAGGTCAAAGTCTTTCTGATATGACAGAGGCTAGGCTTAATAAGAAATGTTCCCAACAGTTCTGTAGTTAACTTCTCCAAGAACTACATGGACTGACAGGAAAATGCCCACTGCTCATACCTGGAAACTCTCACGTGGCTTCCAAGTACACGTGTGTCCAGCATTGTGGTTATTTTTTCCTATAAAACCCCGGGAGTCCCACGGGTTCTTGGAAATAATGTGTGCGGGTACCAAAGCTATGCAAAAGGAAACCTGCTCAGCTCGAGCAGGTTTACATTCAATAACTGAAAGCACCACAAAAGCACAATTACAGAAAGCCAAAGCCAATCTCTTCCAATTCAGCTGAGCCTGAAAACAAGCATGAGGCTCAAATACTAAATCTTAACCTGTTCAAATGCTGTCTTAACCTATTCATATCCACTGAATAGCCTGCACACAGAAAAATATTTGTAAATAATAGACACTTTATTTTATGATCTCTCAGTAACCAGATAGAACCTTTTTTTCACATTCATACCATTTTGAGTCTGGCTACTTCAGGAATGTAACAGCTAGCAGTCTCCCCAGATCAATTTTTTTAGAATGAAAATTTGTCTTATTATTAGCTCTGCTTCCTGAAACTATCTGCTTGCTAAAAGTACTATGCAGCATATATGTAAATTAAAATTGAAATCAACATGCTTTGAGAACCTTTTAAGAATACCATGTCACCAACCCACCACGACAATCAGGCCAAGATGCAATGAACTTGAGTGTTATGATCTGTCTGTGTTTCCACCAAATTATGTGAAAACACACAGGTTATCACCTCACATGTGAAATAAGTGAAAAGACTTATTAAATTTATTTAATTTAATGGAAAGATACATATTTCCAAGATAGCTACAAAGTCTTTATTTTTTAAAAGGAGGCCAGGTGCGGTGGCTCACACCTGTAATCCCAGCATTTTGGGAGGCGAAGGTGAGAAAACTGCTTGAGCCCAGGAGTTTGAGACCAGGCTGGGTGACACAGTGAGACCTCGTCTCTATAAAAATAAAATAAAAAATAAAAGGAAACACTGATTTTCTAAATACCTTTTAAAAAGAAGACATTAAAATCATTAGTAAGGGGCCAGGTGGGGTGGCTCACACCTGTAATCCCAGTACTTAGGGAGGCCAAGGAGGATCACTTCAGGTCAGGAGTTCGAGACCAGCCTGGGCAACATAGGGAAATCCCATCTCTACTAAAAAAACAAAAATTAGTCAGGTGTGGTGGAGCATCCCTGTAATCCCAGCTACTTGGGAGGCTGAGGCGGGAGAGTTGCCTGAACCCAGGAGGCAGAGGTTGCAGTGAGCCGAGATTGTGCTATTGTACTCTAGCCTGGGCAACAGAGCAAGACCCTGTCTCAAAAATAAACAAATAAAGTAAAATCAGTAATAAGGACAGTGAAAAGGCAAAACATTAGGGACCCTCACTTACATTCACTTTTTATTTTTTAGAGAAAAGAATAAACCATACTTTACCTGTGTCTTAACTTTCCTCTTGCTTCAAATTCAAAGGGAATCTCTTCACCTGTGAGGACTTCTCGCCATTCACTAACATTGTGAGCATCATCGAGAAATGTTCCATTCCCTTCTGGAACTACCCCTGGACTCCCACTGTGAGACAATGCAGCCCTGGAACCAAATCAGATGACACCAGCTTGTCCCTCTTTCTTCCCAGCTCCCTCTCACAGGAGCCCCATGCTGAGGAGCAGAACCTTCTCAGAACTCAACCCCCAGCAATAAAAGGCTGCATGACCTAGCTACAAGGAATGACCCTGAGGGTCGCTAACTATAGCTATCTTCGGCTGAATCACAACTTCTTTGAAATTTTAGAAATAGCTGAAAGCTGTCACTCTGTAGTCACTTACCTCAAGCAGTAGCATCTGGTACATGTGAATTAAGGCATGAATTTTTCAAGCAGCATTTAAGTGACTAGTTAGAATTTAACAGACCTAGACTATTAAACAAAAAAGCTTCTCTTCTAGAGCAGTCTCATACTTGGGGGAGGCTGGAGAAATGTGATTTTAAATCAACTGATTCTGTTACTTATGCCATGTACTTCCTGACCTAAGCTGGAATGATCGCCATGTACTTGGCAGGCTGAGCCAAGATCTAAAGGGGCAGAAAGTTAGAAAAGGTTCTCGCCTGGCTTAGGTAAAGTCTCCTTTGTTCTCCAAACTCCACCCAATTCCATCTGGGGTGAAGTGCGTTTTAGATATGAAAGAGTCCTATAGGGACAGAGGGAGGATGGGGATGTTTTCAAAGCAGTCTTGGAGGAAAACGGCAAAACATTTAGTGTAATAACCGTACACAGCTTCTTTAAAACAGGAAAGAAGGCAGAGATTAAGGAGAAAAGACGGAATGGCTTTTTCACACTTCCTACTCACATCCTTAATTTGCTTGGCTTTTAAACAAGATCAAGATCATAATTAAACTATTTCAGACTCAGGACCTACTTCTCTGACTACAGATTCTCTATAAAACCAGAACTTCCATCATAAATCTCAGCAAGACAGTAAGTTATTCATTCAAATATCATCTCAAGAGCCTCAAGAAGGGGCCCACCTTGCTCTACTGGGCTGATACAAGAAGGCTTTGGTGACAGAGATAACTCGGGGTAAAATAAACTGACTGCTTACCTGGTGGGTGTGGTGGTCAGGGTGGCAAACCACAAAGTGCACCCCGTGTGATTCCTCAGCGCAAAGGGGACAAATGGCTGCCGGCGCTTAGGGGTCTTCACCTCTGCTACGACAAACAGAAGGAGACTATTAGCAGATGCCTCTATCTGCATGGCAGGGACCCGCCCCCTACCTGGAGACAGTGCCCAAAGTTGTCTCTTGTGCAAAGGGGCTGAAGGTGGAAGCAAGAGAGAAGGAACAGGACAAATGGAAGCTCCATGTATTTGCTGGCTGCTATGGGGTAATTTGGTCCCTGCCTGACTATTCCCAGCCCCCAATTCTTCCACAACTCTGACAGGCTTTATCTCTCCGAAGAAGGCATCAGGACCTAACTTGGTGGGAATCACAAAAGAAATAAAAATGGACCTCCCCATTACTCCCAAAAACTATATTCTAAGTAGGTAACCTAAACTGTAGCAAGATATATCATATGTACTTAAACTTTGTCCAAAAAGCCTTTACTTCCTCCCTTTATATAAGTTACCCTAAGTCATAGTATACATTTTGTAACAAAATAAAAAACATTCTTTCCTATTCTCTTCTATTAATGGTCGTTTTTGTCTCCCTGGAAAGTCAGAAGTATACTATCTCAAAGCTTTCCAAACAAAATTGTGAGCTCATTTTTTAAACACAGATACCAGTACCATGGAAGCTATAAAAGGAACATAAAATATGGCTTCAGTGCACAAAAGAGCCTCTAATCAGGGAAAGTGGAAAGAAACAACAATCAGCACAAAACTGTAAGTAACCAAATTCTGGAGAGCTCTGACCTGACTACAAACGTTGTAAGAAACCAAAGCAGGCTTTCTGGTGCCCCAGCTGCCTTGGGAGACAGATCCCTCTGCAGGCACCACTGCCCATGCTGTGTGGTTCCGCATGAAACACAGGGTGCCAAAAGGAGGGGCAGCAGCTCTTCTAACCAAGGGCCTGTCTTCTCCACTGGCCATACAAATAGGGAAGCAGCAGCAGCAAACCAGTGTGAGAAAGCCTCCTGGTTGACATATTCACAACATGCATACACAACTAACAAAAAAAATGGGAAGTGTGGCTCAATCTTATTGTGTGTCTAGCATTAAAGTATGAAGACAGCCTGAGAAAGACCGTGACCCATATGCTCTGCAGCTGGGAGAAAATGACATCTAGAGGAGGCTGCAAATGCTAACTGCAGAGAACACTAGAGCAAAATTGCATTCATCCTACAGGACATTTTCTGCCAACAAAATCGAGAAGACAAACTGCAACATGTCTTGCCTTCTGAAACCTCCAGACTGAGGCATGGGACTGTATCATAATAGACGGTAATTATCACTGCCTTTTAAAAAGCAATCACTTCCTTTTTCCCCTTATATCTTTTAAACTTTTTAGAGGTTAGTACTGTAAACAAAGCAAATCAAGCAACTTCGGGCCAAGGCAAGTTCTATGTTGATAATAACAATGGTTCGGGCAGTCTAAGATACAGTAATCTGCTAAATAAATGAGCAGTCTCTAGTGTGTTCCCACAGTTTTGTGGTCAGTCATTTAGAGATACCCCAAACACTTCTAAAGATAATCTCCCCTAGGAATATGTCCCTTTCTCACCCCAAAGGACTTACTTAGTTCCCAAAGTTTGCTTTAAAAAAAAAAATTAGTGCTCATCAAGTAGAAAATTAAGGAGTAGCTGTAAGGCTGCTGACAAGAGCAGAGGGGGAGTAAAAAATTTAAGAGCTGTCTGCAGGGTAAACGGTATTTATTGTGGCACTTTGAAAGGCACCTCCCTCTTCTATGAGTGCAATGAGAGAGCTGCTTTTATTACAGTAGATAAAGGACCCAGGAGAAAAAGAAGCCAGATGTGCTTTCATATCCCACTGTGAGCCAGACTGTAAGTTTCCATTTGCAAATTAGATTTTAAAAGAACAGGTGGCAGATGGCTTTGATCAGTTTGTTATACAGAATAAAGTGCTGCAAATCCATACAAATATATTCACAAGTACACTGCTTTGGAGTTAAATAGCATGAGTAGGCACAGTGCTTAGGTCTCCAAGCTTCTTGCATTGATTAGACATAACAGCACAGGCTTCAATAACCCATTTCTCTGAGGATAAAAATACACAGCATGCCTATTTCTCTGAGAATAAAAATACACAGCATGCACGTGAATCCAAACTCAACATCATGCAACAAATCTGACATCTCCTGCACCAGGGTCCAAATAAACTATGTACTTGCCTTTGGCACAGCACCAGATACAAAATTTCCCAAGTCCATCAAAGAGAACATTATTCCCTAGTGGCCTCAGAAAATCTGCCTCTAGTGACCAAACCCAATTTCTTCATGGGCTGAGAGAGAATCTAAAGCTACTCACATCCAAGTTCAGCTTCAAACAGCTCCAGCTAAGGAAATTTCTACCCTTTTGGACTTATTTCACACGGTAATTTTGCCATTATAAACAGCGTAGGTTGTCATGCTATATAAGCAGCTCGGTCCATCAGAAAGGAACTGGTTTGTAAATCGTAAGAAACAGATTAAAGTCCTAGATTTGCTACCAGCTGGTCAAGTGAATAAAGGCAAATCACACAGTATCTCTGAGCCTCACTGTACTTATCAGCTAAACAGGAATAATGCTTGGCTAAGCCTCCAAGATTAAGTAACATATAGAAAGCTTAGAAGCAGAAATACATGAAGAAATGAAGATTCAGCTCTGGGCTTTCTTCGTGAGCCCTCCCTCAAACATTCATCCTGATAAAATTGTCCAGAAAAAAACCCATGGCAATGCCCCATGTGTATGGACATCCCTGTTCTGTATTCCTGGTAGAGGGAGTTCCTATGGGCTTTTTTTATTAAAAAAAAAAAAAAAAACCATGACGCATGATCTGGAATTTGCCATGTACACACATAAATCATTCAGATTAAACTTGCACTCCCTAAAACAAAACATGGACACTTCGGGACTCCAATTCCTCCATGTTTATGGTGTTTTCTACCATATTCACTTACCAGTGAATTTCTCAAGAAACTTTCCAGGGTCAGAGATAGAAATAAAGAACATTTTCTTTATCTCCTAAACACAAACATTCACATCCAAAGAAACTGAGGTTTGTGTCTAAGCAATTATTTACTGAGAAATGTTTTTTAGTGGTATCCTTATTATTACAGTGCCTATTCCAGAGCCCCATGAGAATCTTCGGTGGGTATTTCATAAACTTAAGACATGTGGCACCACTGCTTGATGAGCACAGTGTCCCTCCATCCACTTGCTTTTCAATATGAGAAAGCACCTCTAATTGATATTGTATTAACATATTTCTGCATTATACACTGTGGACTTTGTTCCATTTCCACTGAAGTTAAGGGAGATGGAAGAGAAACAATATAAGAATCAGCTGACATAAAGCACCTCTCTGTTCATCAGTTGGAAATGTTCTTTCCCATTACTAAAGTACTCACAACATGGAATATCCCCAGTCAGCTCCCACTCATTAAAAAAATATATATATATATGTATATATGTACAAGACAGTTCTTAAAACAGAAAAATAAAGCAAGCCCTCGCTTGGCTATACTGTACCTCTAGCATAGATCTGGTGCTCTAGGTTAGTCAGACTGGCTGTACTCCTAGTTCTAAGGTAGACAAGGGGGAGGCCTGGTAGACAGGAGAGACAAAGTTAGAGGCTAAGAATAAATACAGTGAAGTAAGAAGACTCACTTCTAAACCATAAGCACAAATAGAGAGCATTACAAAAATAGCAATCATCATGCAAGTACAGGATCATTCCCATCAGTGATTACTAAGAGCTAAGGATGAACCTGACACAGTGAATATATTTTTATGCTAGTTTTTATTGTGGAGGCTGGATCAAAGTAGCATGCTCCTTTTTTTTTTCTGAACTAGAAGAATATGTATTGAACATTCTCTTGAACAGAATGACAACCCCTTTTGAAGATTTTTAATTTAAAGCTTTCATGTTCTTAAATGGTATAAAAAAGTTACAAAAATCAGTCACTACAGATTTTAGTGGAGGTTGCTCCATTCCAACTGGGAAAACACAGCAGCAAAATGCCAGTCTCAGGGGATCTCAAAAATTCAGGGAAGAGTCAGTATGTATTCCAAATTTAAACAATCTCTACCAAGGAGTTGTCTCATAGTGTTTATTTAAATTCTAAATCAAACATGGAAGTTTCCAGAATATTTGATATTTTCATAAAACGTCCTTGGAATACAAAACTAATGAATTCAATGAAGTGCCACACTGTCCAGGTTTACCTGCAAAATCTCAGCCCCGACTAACAAAGCCAACAGCTTTGTCAAAGTGAGGCTGATATTTTCTTTCCCCTGATAAAGAAAACAGTGAGAAATCAGCAGGTACCTTAGGCTAAATTTCATGTTAAGGGCTATTCCAAGGGCTCATTTTAAGGCTGGTCTGAATAAAAAGCATAACTTTTGGGGAAATATGATTAACTATTTTTGAATAAGACCTGAAAGTTTCTGATTAGTTCAACAAGGTTGAAACCTACTTGCTTTCAAAATAAATTCCCAACGATCATTTTACTAGGCCTGCTAAAAGAATACAATCCTGGAATGTGCTATACTATCATCCAGGAATTTCCAATGAGAAAAGAGGTTTGGAAATTTACATATATTCAAGTTATATCTGATTAAAAAGATATATTACACTTTTATAAGCCTAAATATCCATAAAAATCTTTAAGTAAATAAAAATGAAGCTTTAACTCAGCACTAGCATTTAATATAGACGAGGAAGCTATTTAACTATAGAGAAAGAAAGAGGGACAAAAATTTTAAAAAGGAAGAAAAAAGGGAGGCAGGGAGAGAGGAACGAAAGAAGAAAGACAGGGACAAGAAAATCTTTCATCAGAATAGTGCAGACCAGCCCTTGCTGGAGTTTGACTCTGAATTGAAGATGCCCCGGCATGAATAATGTTTTAGAAACACACTCTCTTGGACATATTACAAAGATTACTTAGAGTCTTCTGGGTAGACTATGTTACATTTTCTTGACACACAAATTGGGAAGGTTGGAGGAGGAGCCAAAATCAAAGCTGACAATCTGAAAAGCCCTGGCTCCTAAGCAATGACCTTGAGACTCAGAAGCAACAGCCTGGGAAAACAGAGAACAAGCACAGCTGACGTTTCTTTGTGTCTCTTTCTAAAAATACAAGGCAGACAGAAAGTCCACTTATACACCCTGAGGAGAGATGAACTAGTACAATTACTTCATCCACTAAGAACACCCATCTTCCCATGACACGTTTGCAGACCAGATGGAATATTTAAGTATTCATGAGCTATGTGAAGTCCAGCCAAGACTCCCCGAAGAAACCACATTGAAAGAGCTGGAGCTGAGCTGAATTTGGATGACAATGGCTTGTGGAACAACTACGACCATGCAGTTGTCCATCACCATCTCCCCAGCTCTGAGGAAAACAGAGCTGGTGAGGCATTAAATAAGGAAAGAAAGCATCATCAACAGAGAGCAAGCTGACTCCTCTTTCTTCAAGAGGCAGGGCATTCAATTCTTTTATACTTTATAAACAGCACAGGGCTCCCTTTTTAACAACATTTTCCACATGGGCTCCTGCTCACCATCTTTTCAAGAATATGTCCAAACCCTCTATCTCTAGATTTAGAAGACCAAAAAAGATGATTTTTAAAATCCAGTCCAAAAAATCCAGTCAATTAGAAAACCAGTGTTATACAGAGTAAAACACAGACCACAGCTGATCCTGGTGCATTCTCAGGTGCACCAGCTCATATGCAGTATTACCAGGATTTAGGAATTACACGTTGCAGATCTTTTCTCCCCTGCAAAGGTGGAATTAGAGCCCACATTTATAAGTTCAGTAGTTCATTCCAGAAAACTGTCTCCTGCAAAGACTAAAACAGAACTATAGAAGATAGTCAGAATTTCCTGTGGGTTTTTCCATGCAGAATGATGGTTCCATTTGAACTTCTCACTGAAGCACTGCTTTGTAGGTCAAAAGTGATTTAGTTAGACATGTGTAGTAAAAAGTCTTACTTTGTCCAAAACATGGAGGATCCACCGAAGAGCCCATCCAGTCTTCTGATTTAGTTGACTCTATTTCCTTCTCATCTTTACAGTAATCTGCCATCCACGATTCCTTGGTACTTACATACTGGTCTAGAAAGAATCCCACAAAGATATTAAGAGAAGTAAAAAAGACTGAGGATTCAAGTAAAATAATTTCAATTCAGCAAAACAAGCTTTCATGGAGTGTCTCATTACATGCTTGGCCTGTGCGAGATTCTGAGAAAGTCTGTGCCCTGGAGAGCCTCACACTCCATTGAAAGAGATATTAGTGTGTGAACAAACAACCATCGCCATAAAACTCTAACATAATGTGAAAGACATTAGGATGTAGATTCTCTTTAAACCAATCTATAGTTTCAATACAACAAAATACCCATAGGACACTTTATGGAATTTAAAAAGCTGAATCTAAAATTTATATGGAGACCAGGTATGGTGGCTCATGCCTGTAATCTCAGCGGGAGGCTGGGGCAGGCAGATCACCTGAGGCCAGGAGTTTGAAACCAGCAAAACCCATCTCTACTAAAAATAAAAATTATGCAGGTGTGGTGGTGTGCACCTGTAGTCCCAGCTACTCAGTAGGCTGAGGTGGGACAATCACTTGAACCCAGGAGGTGGAGGATGTAGTGAGCCAAGATCACGCCACTGCACTCCAGAGGCTGAAATTCAGCTGACAGTTCTTCACAGGCAGTTTTACTCTTGTGAGAGAATTACAACCGGGATAGCAGGTTAGCAAAAATAATGACAGCACACCACACCTGGATGAAGATCTTTTATACTAATTAAGATGTTATACTTTTGGAACAAGAATTATTGGTTTCTGGTTTTCAATTAAAACACTTAGCTACAGAAGTAATATTTATTTAAACACTAAGAGGTCACAGCAACGTTTCTGGGTTTCAGAATTGTATTTGGAATAAGGAATTGAAGGTGAAAAAACAAAACAGATTTTACCACTGACGAGAATGCCTTTTGGAAGATTTTTTTGCTTGTTTGGTTTTTTAAAGACGGGGTCTCACTCTGCCTTTGAGGCTAGAGTACAGTGGCACAATCATAGCTTGCTATAACCTTGAACTCCTGCACTCAAGTGATCCTTCCACCTCAGCTTCCTGAGTAGCTGGGACTACAGGCACATGCCACTATGCCCAACTCATTGCTTATTTATGTAGAGACAAGGTCTCACAATATTGCCCAGGCTGGTCTGGAACTTCTGGCCACAAGTGAGCCCCCCATCTCGGCTTCTCGAAGAACTGGGATTACAGGCATGAACCAACATATGCAGCCAGAAGATATTCTTAAACAGACATATATTGTGCTCATCAGAAACACCAGTAAGAACTCTTTAAGGAAGCCCTTGTTTACTGCAGCTTTTCAAAAGACTACCACAAATTTTCTCTGTCTAGAGTAAAAGACGTGAGAAACAATGTAGGAATCAATAGAGTTTAAAGAGATCATAGGGTCAGTTTACAATCATCTAGGGGATATTAATAACCAGGCTAATTAGTGAATGAAATCTGATCATATAAAACAGCGGTTTTAAATTGGGGGGATCAACAAACTTATGGTCTCATTACACAATAATTCTTACCATCCTACTCTGACATGGAAGTGGATATTCTCACAGCCTCAATCCAACATACACACCAAAGAAAGTTCATGATTCACAATAGTATGCGTTATCACTCAAAGATGAAGTATAGTAATTCCAAAATCAGATCATGTAGATCAATAAATCAAACAGCGAATGTAAGTTTTCACAGTGAAGGTACACACTACTTGATTATATGATTATATTGCTCTCCTTTTAGATAGCAGAAATATAAGAATAGAGCAGTTCTTATACCCTACATTTAATCCAGAGATGTACAGTTCAGTGTTACCAAAGATACTTTTAGATGACACACCATGAACCTAGCAACCCTTAAGCAAGTCATTTTCAGAGTTAGGTCAAAACGATAATGGGAAACAACAAAGCCAACTTATTCTACCATAAAGATATGGTCAAAACATACCTTGTAGGAATTATTCTGTGAATAGCTTGAGCAAAGTTAATCTAAACTCACTTCCAGGACATTTAATAAACTGGTGACCAAGCATTATGAGGAGAAAGTCCACTGCGGTCATTTATGTTTCCCGAGTAATCTATGTTCTTGCTTGACCACTGATAGCATCATGATGGGATGCCAGCACTGGAGCAACAGGTTGAGAATCAAGAGGCTATTAGGGTTGATCAGGAAAGCAGTCAGGATAAAGAAGTGATGCCCGGTACAGGCCCAGGTGTTCGCTAAACTAGGATTAATAGTCTTCCAGACTCAGAACTCAGATACGGAAAGGTATCAGTCTACAAAAGACACCTATTAGCACAGAATCTACTCACCAATTAACACAGAAGTGATATTGATATCCAAACGGGGTTTGGCCTTGGCTTCTAGCTTCAGTCGAGGAGGATGGAGACGACTAGCTGCCTGCTGTTGCCAGGATACAGAGCATGGCCAAGGCTCAATAAATGGCTCCCAGCCTAAAAGAACACAGGAAATAAGACATCTGTTCAGCAGATATCAAGACTTTACAGGGGAACACTGTTCACAAATGTTCAGCAAGGACAAACTGGAGCTTAATAGCTTTCTACTTCCAATTCAATTTCACAACAAAAACACCAACCACCTTTAGCTACAGGTCACCCTACAGATGTCTGTGTTGTCCAGAGGATACAAGTAGAAGGGCATATATATATATACACCCCACGATGGTCTTCCAGAGGTGGCAGGAAGGAGGGCAGGGAGCATATGTGCCCTCTTCCACTAAAGAACAGGCAGGGTGTGTTCTTGAGACACTCAAGGCAGAAAAAGGAGTCTTAGACTAAGGTTGGAAAAATAATAAAATGGCTTAAATAGCTATTAAATTTGATTCTCCTGGGTACAGGACCAATACATTGGTTTAATAAATAGGTACAAATGAAGACGCATTAACTTTTTCTAACTTTTTATCTTAAAATATGTGCAAAGAATATATAAACAACGTAAAAAATAATACCACAAACATTCATGTACCCAACTATTCAACTTAAGACATAGAAAATTACAAGTTCCTTTGAAGGGCCATTCCCCACCATCTCATTCCCCTTCTTCCCACCAACCCTCTCCCACCAAACTCCAGGTGACCATTAGCTTGAATTTTTAATCATTTCCTTGATCTTCTTTATAATGCTACCATGCATACATACCTTTCTTAAGAGCATATTAATTAGACTGTCCTGTTTGTGGTCTTTACATAAATGGAGTCCACGTGGACATTCTTTTTCAAGTTTCCCTTCTTGCTCACCAGCATGTCTTTGAGCATGCTGTTGAGCATACTGCTATACCATATTGATGCAGGTCACCGTGGTACACTGTTTTAACTTCTGAAAAGTTAAAAGACTTAACTTTTCAGGCCGGGAGCGGTGGCTCAAGCCTGTAATCCCAGCACTTTGGGAGGCCGAGGCAGGTGGATCACGAGGTCAAACGATCGAGACCATCCTGGTCAACATGGTGAAACCCCGTCTCTACTAAAAATACAAAAACATTAGCTGGGCATGGTGGCGCATGCCTGTAGTCCCAGCTACTCAGGAGGCTGAGGCAGGAGAATTGCCTGAACCCAGGAGGCGAAGGTTGCGGTAAGCCGAGATCGCGCCATTGCACCCCAGCCTGGGTAACAAGAGTGAAACTCCATTTCAAAAATAAATAAAATAAAAGACTTAACTTTTCAAAGCCCATTAATCTTTAACAGATCTTTAAATAGACGCACACAGCCATAGAGCAAATCCAAACCAGTATGTAACACACAGTAGGTACATTAGTCTCCTTACACCATTTGCTATTTAGTGACCTGAATGTGTTCATACAACTTTAAAGTAAGCAATATTTGGCCTAAGAAAACAAATGATTCTCATAAAAATAGCTCCCACATGTAAGAGTTTCTCTTAACTAGAAAGACTTTGGCCATTATTCTAAAGTGAAACACTTTGAACAGTGAAGAAAAAAGGGTGTTAGCTTTAAGTGAGTGGGACAGAGGGAAAATGTTAACTAACATAAAATTAAATGTGCTAAATATTCTACAACAGTCAGCAGCAGCACAACAAATTGAGGCTTAATTTCTTATTGAAATCAAAGGGAGCACACAGTTGGACTTTTACACCTTGAACTGCACACCACTGCTCTATTTACTCTGTTCATACCCACTACAAATTCCAGTGAGACCTTCTTTCAACTCTCTTAATGCAAAGAAGTTCACGGCTCAAACCACTTGGCCCTAATATATTAAGGCTTCTGAATTTCAACCTGTATAGGCTCTAACCTTGGTCTTTCAAATGTGAGGAAAGAAACCAGAAAATGCTTGCAGTATTATCGAGGTTTGCACCTCCCAAAAAATAGCCTGCTCTCCTCAACGGTGTTTTTTGTTTTGTTTTGGTTTTGATTTTTTGCTTTAGGGAGTAGGCAGGGCAAAATATACAGTGTCAGTGACTCAGTAGATTCTAATAAAATAAACGAACCCAGTGGGGAGTGAGGCGACTTAAGCTTTAAGATGCTTGGCCAGGTGTGCTGGCTCACGCCTGTAATCCCAGCACTTTGGGAGGCCGGAGTTTGAGACCAGCCTGGCCAACCTGGTGAAACCCCTTCTCTACTGAAAATGCAAAAAAATTAGCTGTGTGCTGTGGCAGGTGCCGGTAATCCCAGCTACTTGGGAGGCTGAGGCAGGGGAATCACTTGAACCCAGGAGGCGGAGGTTGCAGTAAGCCGAGATTGCGCCATTGCACTCCAGTCTGGGTGACAGAGTGAGAGTCTCAAAAAAAAAATGCTTGTAGGCATAAATCTCCCTTGAAATTTAGCTACTCTCAGGACCAAACAAATGATCCTTCACTATTGGGCAATGGCATATTCTTGATTTAGCCAAACTACAGGATCAAAAAGAATTAACTATGAAAACATCTCTTTATTGATTGATTGAGACAGAGTCTTGCTCTCTCATCCAGGCTGGAGTGCAGTGGCATGATCTCAGCTCACTGCAACCTCTGCCTCCCGAGTTCAAGTGATTCTCCTGCCTCAGCCTCCCGAGTAACTCGGATTACAGGTGTCTGCCACTGTGCTTGGCTAGGTTTTTATTTTTTGTAGAGACAACGTTTCACCATATTGGCCAGGCTGGTCTCGAACTCCTGACCTCAGGTGATCCGCCCTCCTCAGCCTCCCAAAGTGCTGGGATTACAGGCATAAGCCACTGCACCCAGTCAAAAACATCTATTTAGTTGCAATATATCAGATATGTTTTTAGCACAACAGAAAATCTTTGCTTTCTGTGTTTATGCAGTCTACTTGCTTTTCATCTTTCCCTATTCCACCCCACCCCTGCCCTAATGTAAAATTATGTAGGTCCAGGCAAATATTTAAATTTATTTTTAAATCCCATGAAAACGTATGCTTTATACTGACCTGAAAGAGCACGGTTATAATAATCTCCAGAAAGGGTGAAGTGGGCGTAGCCTTCAGGGCTAGTTCTCACATGCTGAAGAAAATTCAGACCTGCAATGAAAGCAGGTGAATGCAATGAATTTTCCCAGTGGCAGGGCAGGAGCAACCAAAACTGCCTTATGCAGATAAATCACACTAAAGAAACATTAGCGCTAATACTCGCATAGGAGAGCACGCAATATTCTGACATTTTGTTCATCATGTATTTTTTTGCATCAATTTCAATGTTTCAAAATATGTCATTGAAATATTATTTATCTTCATGACGGAGGTTTTTGGCACCCTATTAAATGCTGTGCCTGAGGCAAGTGCCTCAGTTGCCTTCCCACAGTGCCAGCCCTGGCACCCAGGTGTATCTGAAGCCTGTGAAATCATAAAAAAAAAAAAAAAAAAAAATTTTTTTTGAGACAGACTTTCACTCTTGCTGCCCAGGCTGGAGTGCAATGGTGCGATCTCAGCTCACTGCAACCTCCAGCTCCCAGGTTCAAGCAATTCTCCTGCCTCAGCCTCCCGAGTAGCTGGGATTAGAGTCATGAGCTACCACATCCAACTGATTTTGTACTTTGAGCAGAGATGGGGTTTCTCCATATTGGTCAGGCTGGTCTTGAACTCCTGACCTCAGGTCATCCGCCCGCCTTGGCCTTCCAAAGTGCTGGGATAACAGGAGTGAGCCATTACACTTGACCTGAAAAAGATATTTCTACCTGAATAAGGACAAGAGGGCAGACTGATAAGAAAAGTCATGTTCTGATAAATATGAGCTCAGAATTTGAAGACTGCCATAGAAAAATAAGAAATCAACTAATTGGTCTCTGTAGAAAAGATATTCAGGGAAACAGTCAAAATTCTAGTTGTTATTTTTAACCAAGTAGCCCTGGTAGTGCCCTAGAAGCACAGGGAAAGGATACCTCTGTACTGTGCAAGAGGCCAGATTCAAGCCCCAGAAGCAAACTTTACTAGAAGAGAGAAGAGGCTGGCAAGATGGAAACAATGGAAAATTCAAACTAAAGTTTTTGTATTTTTAGTAGAGATGGGGTTTCACCACTAGTAAATGGCATGGTAGAGATCATTTACTCTCTTCAAAACCTCACCCTCAGGGCCGGGCACGGTGGCTCATGCCTGTAATCCCAGCAGGTTGGGCGGCTGAGGTGGGCGGATGACAAGGTCAGGAGACAAGACCATCCCAGCTAATAAGGTGAAACCCTGTCTCTACCAAAAATACAAAAATTAGCTGGGTGTGGTGGCACGTGCCTGTCCAGCTACTCAGGAGGCTGAGGCAAGAATCGCTTGAACGCAGGAGCTGGAGGTTGCAGTGAGCTGAGATGGCACCACTGCACTCCAGCCTGGCGACAGAGTGAGTCTCTGTCTCAAAACAAAACAAAACAAAACAAAATCCTCACCCTCCCACTGCTTGCAGTGATGTACTTGAGGATAAAGTACTCCCACCAGAAGTGGCAGTGGACCGTTGTCATCCTAGCTACTCAGGAAGCAGGAGAACTGCTTGAGCCCAAGAGTTCGAGACCAACCTTGAGCAACAAAGCAAGACTCACCTTTAGGGGGAAAAACAAAAAAAGGACAGAGTACTCCTACTTTGGTCCCCATTCTAGCAAAGGACAGTTCACATATAAATAGTGTTTTACTCTTGGCCTTGTAGTGCACTTTCTAGTAAGATTCCTGTTTTTGATTTTCAAGAGATAATACAACAGAACCATTGTTTTCTGAGCTTATCTGTTAAATACCTAGTAATATTCACTACAATCTTTACATACATAAAAAGGTAAGAAAACTGAAGAGATCAGGAATTATTTAGCTAGAGATGTTAATATAATGGAAATTTTATCAAAAACCATTCCTATTCCCAAGCTATAGGCTGAAGGCCACATATGGCAAATAAAGTTTCTTTAAAATATATATAATGAAAAACATATGTAAAACTATTATCTAAATTTCACCCAAATGACTAAGTAGAGTATGAATGACATTTAAAAAAAAAAGACAGGCCCCAAATAATCCAGCAATGACTGAAAATATTCAACCTGAATCTGAAAATCAGGACGACACTCACGGGAAAAGGTGAGTTCAGCGAGAGGAACATCACAATCCATGCAGTCATCGATGAAACAGATGCACACACTCTCGGCTTTGATCTCCACGCCAGAGATCAACGGTGCTGCCACAGCCCCCGGGCGATCACCGCTGGTGGAGGCCAAGGAAAGAGACTTCAGAGGTTCCGCATTCTTAAACAACCAACTTGCTGCCTTTTTCAATTGGCCTTCAAAGAAATTAAGAAGTGATCAGTTCTACCAGCTTCCACAGCTACCCTGGCCACTCACAGAGGAAACAGAGAAACAAAGTTCTCTAGAGACTTACTGGGAAGCCAAGAGAGTCTTGTTCCCAGGAGTATTCCTAAACTTAACAAAAAAGAGGGGTTGGGAGGGAATCTCAGCATAATAGTAATCCTGCTTCTAAGCAAACATTTTATTGCACACTTTCCACTCAAATTTACCACACCTTTTATGATCTGGCCCAAAATGCCCCCAGGAAGCCATCTCTCTCTGCCATGCCATCTGTTGAAAGAGAGGAGAGAAGAGGACGGGAGAGGATCCAGAGGCTAGGTACTTAATCTTCACTATGTAGTTTTGCATATATATTGATGTGCTGCTTTGCAATTGTTCTCAAATGTCTTACTTTGTGCATAAAATGTGTCTTCTCAGCTAGTCACAAATGTCTTGAGAACAGAGAGCAATGCGAGAATTGCATTTGTGTAATCTATAGCCCTTACTAAAAGCCTCTTGAATACAACCAGGTTGCTAAAGTCCCCCTCCTCCCAAAAAGGAAAAGAGAAGCAATGCAAGCCCGTACTTTTAAGTCACCAGAGGCCAGTACCAGGGACAGTGTAAGTGGTCAAGGGCATGGGCTCTAGAGCAGGATGGCCTGGCTTTAGGTCCTATTCTGCCCTTATCAGCTGCTGGCTCTTGGGCAAGTAATTCGATCTCTTTGTGCCCTACAGCACCCACTTAAAAGGACTGACAGGAAGAGGAAAGAATGAGTCCATGGAAAGTCCTCAGAGTGAAGACCGGCATGGAATAAACATTATTTGCTATCATCTACATTACAGATAAGCATTAGTTGCTATTATCATATTCATTACTGATGGAACTAAGTTTTATTTATTAAAGCAAGAAAAACTACCAGACAGACCAAGCACAAGGGCTGATGCCTATAATCCCATTGCTTTGAGAGGTTTAGGCAAGGGAATCACTTTAGGTCAGGAATCTGTGAGACCAGCCTGGGCCAACACAGCAAGACCCCGTCTCTACAAAAAGTTTAAAAATTAACCAGGCATGGGGGCGCATCCTGTAGTCCCAGCTACTCAGGAGGTTTAGGTGGGAGGATCATTTGAGCCCAGGAGTTTGAGGTGAGAGTGAGCCATCATCAGTGTACCACCACTACACTCCAGCCTGGGCAACAGAGCAAAACCCAGTACCTAAAATTTAAAAAAAAAAAAAAAAAAAATCCAAAGGATTCTCAGAACTTAAAAAAAGGGGGTGGGGGTGCTCAAATTGGTAAAGAAAGAGTAAAAAGCATAGGAAAACTAAGTATTAAGGGGTATAAAATTAATTAAACCAAAAACTAATGATGACTGGGTAAAACAAAACCAAGGAACACATGAGAACTACATCTACCTTCATTTTTTTTCAGAATGCAAAAGGTAAGTTAATGTAAACAAGCATGTCATGAAACAGTCTTTTCACACATAAATTGGCTGGAATTAAACCTAGATACAATTTTTTTAAAAAAAGATTTGTCAATTCAAAAGCCCCAAGAAAATTAAAAAAAAAAAAAAGAAATTAAGAGCCTGAAAAATATATCTATATCCTTTAGTCTGTTATTTAAAATATAGATCTCTCTAACAAGGATATACTTAAAAGACATAGACAAAAGTTCACACCAAAAAATGTTTACTATAGAAGTGTGTATAATATTGAATGAATAACAAGTGAAGAATGACTAAGTAAATTATAATATATCCTTACAGTCAATGTAAAAAGATCAGTGTTGATAAGTAATTTCAATGACATACGGGAAATGCTGCTTATACATTAAGTATATCATAAGAAAATTATAATTATAATTCAAAAATATGTTTAAAAGACTAAAAAAATTATATTTGCAACAGAATCTATCAATATATTAAAAATTACATGTGTGTATGTATGTGTGTATATGAATATACTGTCCACAGTATGTAGAGATGTAGAAAGAGAAAAAGTGCACACATGTGTAAAGACTGGAAAGGAGGCTGAGGCAGGAGCATTGCTTGAGCTCAGCAGTTGGAGGCTGCAGTGAGCTACAATTGCACCATGATTATGACTGCATTGCAGCCTGGGCAACAGAGTGAGACCCTGTCTCTTAAAAAAAAGATGGGAGGGAATGCAGCTTATGCTGTACTTCTCTTTTTTAAGTGAAAGGGAAACATGGAGATGGAAAGGAAGTGAGATGTAGAAGAACACAGATTTAGGAGTCAGGCAGACTTGGCTTTAAGACCATCTTAGGGGACTAAGATGTGACCTCAAACAAGTTTACTCAAGAAGTTTCACCTGACCCATCTGAGCAGGTTTCCTCATCTCAAGTGGGAATAATAATGTCTGCCTCCAAGGGCTATGAAGAGGATACAACAAGAAAACACAAAGACAGGCATCCAGGACCTCAATAAATGGTCATAATCATCAGTATCACCACTATTAGCATGACCACTAGTAACAATGGTTAACATTTATAGAGCGCCTACTGTGTGCTAACACTTTCTTAGTACTTTGCATTTAGTCATTTACTTACATCAAATCTCTGAGGGAGGCAGCCTCTTATCTTCTTTCTACAGATAAGGAAGCACTGGTTCACAGAGGTTAAGCCACTTTCCCAGTCATTAATAAGTAGTGGCAGGGAGTAAAGATCTGAATCCAGGCAGTCAGCTCCAGAGCTCTTTTTCTTTGAGACAGTCTCACTCTGTTGCCCAGGCTGCAGTGCAGTGGCATGATCTTGGTTCACTGCAACCTCCGCCTCCCAGGTTCAAGTGATTCTCCTGCCTCAGCCTCCTGAGTAGCTGGGACTACAGGCACGTGCCACCGCATTCAGCTAATTTTTTCTTTTGTACTTTTGGTAGAGATGGGGTTTCACCATATTGGCCAGGCTGGTCTCAAACTCCTGACCTCAGGTGATCCGTCCACCTCCACCTCCCAAACTGTTGGCATTATAGGCATGAGCCACCATACCAAGCCTCAGAGCCCTTATTCTTATCCACTATAAAAGGCTGCTAACTGTAATCCCAGAACTTTGGGAGTCTGAGGTGGGTGGATCACTTGAGGTCAAGAGTTCGAGACCAGACCAGCCAACATGGTGAAATCCCATCTCTACTAAAAATTAAAAATTAGCTGGGCATGGTGACGCATGCCTGTAATCCCAGCTACTCAGGAGGATGAGGCAGGAGAATGGCTTGAACCTGGGAGGTGGAGGTTGCAGTGAACCAAGATCGCACCATTGCACTCCAGCCTAGGCAACATTATTATTACTGATCCAGGATGATACGCAGTCCAGCGAAGACTCATAAAGGATCCAGACAAATTCAGCTCTCTATGTCGCCTTGTGGCAGCAGGAGAGGAAATGGGAAGGAAGATAAATAATAGCTAACAGAACCCTGTTCAAATTACCTTGACACACCAAAAGAGCTTTGCGACAATCATCCATGCTGAATCCCAGCTCCTGCAGTCTAGCCAGTTGTAACTCTAGAAAACAAATAACATAAAATTTTCATAAATAATTTTATGTCAATTAATCTACAAACTAATTTTAGAAAAAAAGAAAAGAAATTCAAAACCCATGACTAAAATACTTAATTTCTCTAAGCAAAACTGGGCTCCTAATTGAAGAGTTCTGGCCAGTGTACCCTGATATCTTTGAGTCTTTTCTTCATATTGACGTATGTTTTTAAATTGGTGTCCTTGCTGGGAATTATGGGGGGAAGGTCTATTTCCCATCTGGCCCCTTCATTCCACCATCTGACCCCTAAATTTTCCCCTGACTAGATTTTAAACAGCTTAAAATTAGGGCTGGGCACAGTGGTTCACATCTATAATCCCAACATTTTGGGAGGCCAGGACAGGACTACTTGAGGCCAGGAACTCAAGACCAGCCTGGGCAAAATAGCAATCCTGTCTCTACAAAAAAATGTTTTAAATTAGTGAGGCATGGTGGCACACACCTGTAGTCCCTCCCAGCTACTCAGGAGGCTGAGGAACGAAGACAGCTTGAGCCTAGGATTTGAGGCTGCAATGAGCTGTGATCACACCACTGCTCTCCAACCTGGGTGACAGAGCAAGACCCTGTCTCAAAATACACCAATAAATTCATAATAAAAGCTTAAAAATAAAACTCAGTGTTATTCATATAACTTCAGAGAAGAACTCTCAAAGCTTAAACTAAACTTTTATTATCCAGGTAACTCTGGAAAAAATTGAAAGAGGAAAAATATAGTAGTTGATTAGGGGTGTTTTGTTTGTTTTTAAACTTTCAAAAATGAGACAGTCATACTTACTTATGACTTACAATTATACTTAACAACAAACAAAGTCTAAACAATTTAATTGTGCAAAATAAAATTTTAAGAGTCAAAAAGAAGCAGCATTATTAGCAAGACTGAGTAGGTTTTATAGTTAAACACTTACCCAAGACAGGATCTAAGGTGTGTCTTGTCCCTTCTCTGATTTCCTCTCCAATGTGAGATGCACCTGGAAGGTGACTGCCAACGGAGTCTGACTCCAGGGCCACTGAGTCTGGCACTGCAGCATTAGCTTGCTCTGGGATGGATTTTGCAATGGCAAGAAATAGCTGAACATCGTTATAGGAGAGTCTGATATCCAGGGCTTGTAACTGAATCTAACAAAATGTAAAAAAGGTAGCCATTTTTTAAAGTTGCATCGGTTTTGCATCCATGTCTCTTACAGATATGGATAAATAATTCCTATTTCAAGTTCTAAAAGTCCAACAGAGACTGCATCAAATTTCTCATTTAAAAGATTGCAAGGATCTTAAAATTAAGCACTAATAGCCATAAGGTAAGATGTCTCAACTATGAGGTCAAATGGTCACAAAACTGCACCTCGTAAAAAATACTAAGCTAGGATAATTACTAGAGCAATTAGTATTTCAGCAGGATGATTTTCATACAAGTATATTAATCATTAAAGCAGAGGACCAAAGATGGCTCTGGGAAAGAAAGGATCACCTATCAGTAACATTTGTTAATCCCTTTTGCATGGATCTATTTAATTTTTTTAATCTCTAAAACAAAATAATCAACCAACAAAATTTATCTCTTCTTTATTCAAACATAACTTAAATGAGTCAAGTTCGACACTATTTCCTGAAATCCAGTCTTCCTGAGAAATCAGCAGTACAGCTACATCCGGTACAGGCAGCGCAGACACCAAAACCAGACTAGGGCACAAATGGGCACTGGCGATGACTGTCTCAATGTCTGACAACGGTGTTTTATTTATCAATTTTGTGTGTGTGAGGGTTAAAAAAAAAAAAAGACCAAAAATCGGAATGGCTTTTCCCTCTCTTTTAACCTCCTATGGTTCAAATGGATTGATTAATTAATTATCCCCCTTCAACCAAAGAAATCAAACACCCAATTCTCAAGCCTGCCTTCCCTTGCTTCACCTTGAAGTCTCCTTACTTCCTTGTGTGGTTCCTCGCTCTAGTTAGACTGTCCTGCTTCCAGTCAATTTAGGTTATACACATGGAACACTCTCCCGCCTCCTCTTTGTCTATTTACATCCTATCCTTCCTTCCAAATCAACCTTACCTGGAGTCTCACTCAAGATTTATATTCCTCCCTACGCTGAGTTCTGCTTTCTATAAGCTTCTATGGAACTTCAAGATTATATGAGACAACTCAGGTCTTTTATCCTCCCCAAGACTGTAGGATCTTCTAGGACAGAGACAATGCCATATTTACTTAGTGTCTGCTGAAGTAAGTAGGAGGTTGTTGGGCTCAAAGTAATTGAGTGCCTGCATAGGAAAGTGTTTGAGAGCATATCAACATATTGCACAGATTTTGCATCATTACCTCTAGGACAGGTGGGAAATCTTCACTATTGAATGCATCCATCAATCCTGAACTATTTTGATAAGAAGAATTCCCTACCAACTCCACTTGAATTTGTACGGGATCCACAATTGAAAGAGCTGTATCATGCTCATTCCCTAGTCGGCATGAAAACACCTAGAGAATCAAATGCAATATGGTAAGAATTAACGTCTGATTTAGGAAGGGTCTAACCAATAGCACAAAGAGGCTATCTCAGAAGCAGTCAGCCATGTGTTATCTCAAGACCCATAACAACTGCTGAAATAAATAATGTGAAAAGTGAGCGCCTCCCCACCCACCCCGCCTACTCCAATCACTGCCGAGAGCACAAGCAGTAGTTCACCCAGAGGAGAGGCAGTTTAGCAATACATCGCGAAAGGCTTGCAAGTCTCACACCCTTTGATCCAATAATCTTACTTCTCTCTAGAAACTAGCAAGATATACACATTAAAAAATTCTCTAAACCATTATTTAATAGTTAAAAAAAAAAGAGCAGCCAAGGTTATATCACATCTACTCAAGGAAATGTTTGCAGCCATTTAAAAATGACAAAAAAGACCATCTGGATTATAAGAAGACAGTTAGAAAACAGACTATATGAAAATACAACCCAGAATATGTTATGACCTGACTTTAAGGAAAGAAACACACCAAAATGTCAACAGAAATCATATATGATTTCTGATAGTTTATTTTCCCTTCCCTCAATAATTTCATAATTAAAATAAATACATTAATTATTAAAGCTGGGTGATAGGTACACATGGAGTTCATTATATTATTCTGTTTACTTTGTATGTGTTTGAAATGTTCTATAATAAAAGTTTAAAAAATAAATACATTCGTTGGGAGAGAAGGAGAAAGGATTCCGATTTTAGGACCAAATTATTTTTCCTGCTCAGGAAAAGCACAGAGAAAAAAAAAAAGAGCAATCGCTTTGGCCCTTCTTACCCTCTTCAACCCTCTGCTGCCTTTTTGGGGCATACCCTAGTGCTGCTGAATACCATGTGACACTGAGGTCCTTTGCCATATTCAAAATTCAAAATTCATACTTTATGAATTGTCCCGGATGATTTAGCAAGCCGGTCTTAAAAATCAGATCTAATTGTGCTGCCTACAAGGCAGGACTGAAAGGAGTTTCCAGCGATCTCAAATATTTTGCCATGTAGTTGTCCTAAGATTTTAGAGCAGAAAAGTTTCATTTTCCTTTTTCCTTCAGGGGTTTCTGCTACACAAAACCCAATTGTACCTGACAGTTCATTCATCAATCACCAAGATTCTACATTCAAAGCTAGTATTGTGGTGGCTTGGAAGGCAGATGAATTGCAATTTCATGATCAGCTCACATCACACCAGCATGCAAATCCTTCCTCTCAAACGGAGGTTTTTTACAAGAGAGAAACAAGTGGTCAAGAAGTAGAGTCCCTACAGGCCTTATTCCACTATGTTCATCTCAAAAAAAGGGGCCATATACTGCTAACAGTGAAATTAAGTTTTATTCATTCAAACTTTGAGAAATACCACTGGAAAGAAAAAGGCATGAAAAGTCCAATCACAAAGCAAAAGGACCCCTGAACAAATATCCTAACAGTATGGCATGGGGAATGTTAGTTGAGATCAGTGAAGTACAAACATCTGATAGAAACAAGAACCTGCCACGGTTCCCCTTCTGTCTCCCCAGCCCATGGCTTAACAAGAGACAAAGCACTTTGTGCCTAATATTGCATAATGACTTTTTTTTTTTTTTTTTGAGACGGAGTTTCGCTCTTGTTACCCAGGCTGGAGTGCAATGGCGCGATCTCGGCTCACCACAACCTCCGCCTCCTGGGTTCAGGCAATTCTCCTGCCTCAGCCTCCCGAGTAGCTGGGATTACAGGCAAGTGCCACCATGCCCAGCTAATTTTTTTTTGTATTTTTAGTAGAGACGGGGTTTCACCATGTTGATCAGAATGGTCTCGATCTCTTTACCTCGTGATCCACCCGCCTCGGCCTCCCAAAGTGCTGGGATTACAGGCGTGAGCCACCGTGCCCAGCCGCATAATGACATTTTCAAGCTACAAAGGCCACTCCAGCACAAACTAACTTCTTCATGAGATGACATCAGAGCCTAAAGCATCACTATTATACATATACATGTGCTCCTTTCAGCCAGGCATGACTCTGCAGAGCTGCCCTTTTCTAGATCAGGTATTCCTGAAAGGATAACATATAAAATCCTTAGCACTTTTTATAAATACGTTTCTCTTCCCAAAGCCATCACTCTTCACAGGGCTGAACTCAAGGTGAGGAGGGGATACAGGGGACATTAGACCCACGGCCTCCCCTTCACAGAGAAGGTCTGCAGAACAAGAGGATACAACAAAGTGCCTGACAGGGCAGTGGGGACTGGAAAAGTCTCCTTGAACTTCTGGAGGAAGAAAGGATGTTAAGAGAAAGAGGCAAATGCCCTATGCATATTCATAGCTTAACCCTGGAAGACTGAATTCATGCATTGGAACAGCCAGGTAGATCTGGGGAGAAAATAAAGAGGAGAAGAGGGCAGGGGTCTTCCAATTCCATGAATTACTTCCCCTAATGAAAGTTTAAGAGGTAAAATTCTCTTTCAGATGCTTTGCCCGTGAGCCAACACGCAGTGCTGTGATCAACACATAGACTTCTTACCTCGATGCCAAACAAACTTCCTGAAAAGGGGCGATCAACAAACCGGGGCTTATAGGTGAGCACCGTGGTACCTTTCAGAATAACGGCATTGGTGTCGAAGCAGGACACATCTTCAACGACCACAAACTCCGTGCCTGGAAGGGACAACATTGTCAGTCCAGCCAGGGCTGCTGGGAAGCTGGAAACACCAGGCTGTTGCAAATGAAGCAGCCCATCTTTACCAGGCAACCACACGAACCAGTAAGATGTGTTCTCCAGAACGTCTGTGACATTTGCTCCACTGTCATCCTGAACCAATTCTCTGCCTCTGGCCACATACAGCTGAGCTCACAGAGCCCTACAGCAGCAGGAAAGACTGGAATGTGATTTCTCTCTTCAGAATATGTTTAAACTAGACAGATAAACTGCACCCCAGTCCTCCTGGGAGGCCTAAGAAATACTCAGAAGTTCACAAAGTCATCCTCTCTCTAAGCGGTGACTTGACTGAAAATTCCAGGAAGACTCAGGTACTAATGTTGGTCAGGCACTATGCACCTAAGTAGCTGTTTACAAAGTTGCATACAAAGAATGCAGACCAATTTAATGTAGAAATTTTTGAAATCAGTATGTTTTCAAATATATACAAACTTATTTCTATATATTTAATAGCAAATTAACTCTGCTTTACACTGTGTTTTTATCAAAAACCATATATAGATCAAGTTTTTGTAACTGAACTCACGTAAAAGGCATTGTGCTAGCCAGCTTCATCAAAACCATTGAGAAGCAGGTACGGTATCAGAAACATAACAATAAATACACAAACACATATAGAGGTACTAGATGGGTTCACTAGTCAACCAAAGCCATAGTAAATCCATCTATACCAAGAAAAATATTCTTTTTATAATGAAAATAAAAATCTCCTCACTTATTATCTTCAAAACTGAGATTTTCACATACTGAACTTACCTAAACTCCATAAAGCACATCTGTTAGGGCCCTAAAGATCAAACAGAAAATTGAAGACAGGCTGCACATTGGAAAAAAAGACCACTGCCCAGGCAAGTGCTCAGGCCAGGCACATGCACAAGGCAGGCAGGGGAGAGGGACAAGCGACCCCCACAGCCTTCAGTGGGCCAGGCAGCTCACACCTGAAAACAGAGGTCAAGACCTCTGATGCTTGCAGGTCTGTAAAAGATGCAAATGTGTAAGTGCTCATGTCAAAAAATGAGAGAAATCATCCTGATAAGACAGATATTGAGTCTAATGTCCCAGCTAAGCACCAATGAATCACACCGACATATAATCACCTGTTACATTGACCTTGACCTCCAGATGCCTTTCGTTGGACACAGGAAGGGAAGATCGCTTGGTAACTACTCCATTCTTCACAGTTTTGGGAACTATAGCAGATTCACTGCTAGAGTTACGGTGACGAGAAGGAGTAACATGACTTTGTTTCTTAATATCACTGGGAGTATGGAGAAAATCATGGACTAACAGTAGCCAGTCAAATATGAGAAACACACGGAGATTGTTGAGAACTACTGTAAAGCAGGAGGAATCCTTGGTAGATCTACAAAAAGAAGACAGGAGAAAATAAGTAGGAAAACAGAAACATGGTCTCTCAATAACGTGCAAATGTACTGCTTGGTTTTGGCAGGTGGTATTCCACTATTCTCTAAACTGCCCGCTTTGAGTATCAGCAAACTTTGAACACTGGTTGAATAACCCATTCAGTGTAATAAGTTAATCAAACTTTTAAACAAGGAATATTTATAAGAAAGTAACACAGAGAGCGTAGCTCAGTTGTTCTCAGTCAGATGGTTTTGCTCCTCTGGAGACATTATTTCTTTTTCTTTCTTTTTTTTTTTTTAGAGACAGGGTCACACTCTATTGCCCAGGCTGGAATGCAGTGGCATGATCATAACTCACTGTAACTTCAAACACCTGGGATCAAGTAAGCCTCCTGCCTCAGCCTCCCAAAGTGCTAGGATTACAGGGGTGGGCCACTGCACCTGGTCCTTGGAGATATTTTTTATTCACATTTTAATTGCAACTGCAATGAGAAGGGGTTGCTATTGGTATCTAGGATAGGTAGAGGCCAGAGATGCTGTTAACTATCCCATAATGTACAGGACAGTTTCATAATAAGGAATTATCTGACCCAAAATGTCAACAGTGCTAAGGTTAAGAAACTCTGGTACGGTAGAAGAGCACAGGCTTTGAAGTCAGAGACGCAGACTTAAATACTGCTATTATCTTAAGAAAGTCACCTACCATCTCTCAGCTTGTTTACCCACTTATAAAATGAAGAATATTAATATCATAAGAAATAAAGCCCCAAGCACATAGCAGGTATTTAATAAACATCACTTTATTTCCCTATAGACTCTTTCAAGAAGCTCAATGAGGCACTGTTTCTTTGACATCTAGGATCGCTTCTTTATAAATAATACCAAGTTGATACATACTAGTACTAAATTGTTTCTCTAGTTGAAATTGACCCAACAGCCCAGATCTTTTAGCGAAGGACAACAAGTAAGATGACATTTACCAGGGACATGTCCCCTAAGCAACCTAGGGGTACAGTTAGGGTGGGAGTTGGGGGGTGGTCAAGTTCCCATTACTCCTAAGTCTGCATTTGAAGTGAAAATCCAGTGAGAACTCTCAGGCCTGACCTCAAACCATGATCTAGTCAGGGGCTTCATCCAGGGAAGGCCTACTACTAGATAGGCCTCAGATGAGAAGGACAAGAGAAACGGGCTGGAGCACTTGGAGTTGAACTTGGTTCTGTAAGCCCAAAAGAGACTCTGGGGTTCTAGCTACTACATGTACTTGGTATCCTGCCCTAAGAGGTACTCCTATTTGGGAAAAGCTAACTTGGAAATATTTCTAACGCTGGTTTCTCTACTCTCTCATTTCTCCTAAATCTGGCTCACTGCCTCTGTAAAAGGGCATCATGATGCATGTCTCCTTCTTACAGACACAGCGTTTTTCACAAACACTCTACTCTTTTGTAATAGAGAAAAAATGTTGCCCTCAGTAAAATGTTTCCACCCCATTTTGAACATAGATTGTCAAGTTCTGTATTTAAGTGGAAAGTCACAGTGTGTTGGATCCCTTTTCTGGAAAATATTTCAAGCCTTTAAACACTGTGAAGTGATTTATATTTGACACACAAGATCCCAACAGAAGAGTAATTCTTCTTTGGACACGAAAGGCGTTCAAAAATTCCCATCAAAAGAACATCTCACTCCTCTTGCTAACAGTACTTCTGTTAGCAAGAGCCAAGGTAAGACTTTATTATTTGACTCCAATAAATTGTATGCCTATAATATATAAATATTTCCAGGCTCCTTGTATATTAAAAATATGATAAGAAGGAGAAAACTACCTGACAGTTTAGGAAGCCAGATCAATAATAATAAACTCCAAAAGAAACGTTTCTGCAGATGGACCAAATAGATGCTAGCCTCATGTTCAAAGAAAACATCTTCAACCAAATGAACTGCAAACACAACCATCTTATACATGACTGCAACCAGCCCAGTGATGAGAAACCTGGTAGGTCCAAAGACTGAGAAACATCATGGGCTTTAACAGCACAGATCCAGGTTTGAGTTCTGATTTCTTGACCTACTAGCTGTGTGACCCAAGAAGAGTTATCTAACCCTTCTCCAAGTTTCTAACTTGCTAACTGCAAAATGAGAAAGAAGTCACTCACTTTGCAGATTTGTCAGGATTACAATGAGCTTAGCTAAAGTGCCTGGCTCGGGGCAGGGCCCAATAAGAGGCAATTAGGATTCTTACTCCCAAATCTTTTAAAGTTCATACAAAAATGTAAATGTCTACTCCGCCTAGATTTCCTAAAGGCATATGAGGCATATGGAGAAATCATGACCTCTCTCAAAAAACACAGCAATACAAAACAAAACCTAAACCCTGAGGAATTCTGAACAGCACATTGAAATGTCAGACACCTGGAAACATATAAGAATAATCCTGATGACTTTTTGCTTAACCACAAAGTTTTTCACAAATGTTTATACTTACAACATGTCTGATGACATGAAGCACTAATAGAAGGAAAGGTCGCCTTTTTGGGTTTTCACTGAAAGACTTCTTTAGATCAGGCCTAATTTTTCAGTTTTAAGGTCTGTGTTCAGCCATAACATCAGCCAATGGTATTATCATAAAATAACATGTTATACCAGCAATAACAATAGTAACTACCAAATATGCCAGAATTACTTTAATTATTACTTCTACCCCATGAGGAGGATATAGGTGATTTTTTTTTTCTATTTTATATAAGAGGAAGTTGAGACTCAACAAGGCTAAATAACTTGTCTGAGGACATATAGCTAGATAGTAGTAGACCAAGGTTTTGAGCCCAGATCTGTCTGATTCCAAAATATATGTTCTTTCTACATATAACACTGCCTCCCATAATACCAGAAAGAAAAACATAACCTAATTCAAAAAGGTAAAAACTACTTATACATCTTATACATGGAGAAGTGAGGCAGCAAGACTTGAATAAATGAGTAATTCAAGTCAAACCCACCTTCCCTTCCATAATTTGTAAAGACCAAAAGTCTTTTTACTTTTTTCCTTAAGCCAGCATAATTTCTTCCTTCTCCAAGCCACTTTACAAATTAAAACAGTCTACAGCTTACAAGGAGACTGATTTTAAGGCTCAATTCTGAACTACTTTGCTTTTAAAGGCAACAGAGACATCTTCTGGCCAGTCAATGAAACTGCAAGATTACAGAAATAATATGTTTATATACAGTAGTACACTGCACTGATAAAGCCATTATCTGTTTATTTTTCTAGTGATTCCTTGGTTCTTTGATGTTCTAAAGCCAACAAAGACTTGACCCAAAAGGGAAAGTCTCCATAAAGAAAGGCCGAGTCAAGGTCTGCCCTGCTACCTGAAATGCAGTTCAATCTGAATGGATCCTTGGCTGGTGCTGCTGTTCTTAGCGGGCTGAAAGATACAGCTGAACACATTTGTCATCCCAGGGCTGGTCTTCTGCCCAGCATAACGGGTGTCAAAAGCCATCATGGAATGGGAAACCAAGTTAATGGACTTGGTTTGGTTGGAAAAACTTTCATAGAGCAGTTTACATTTCTTGAAGTCAAATCTAAGAGAGAAAAGAAAGCAGACAAGATGTGCAACACAACTCTTCCATTTTATGAAAGTATGTCAGTTTGAGATAACAAAAGCAAAATTAAAAATATATCTAAGTCCCATAAGGAGAATAACTTTCATTCTGAGTTCTTCTGTTGATTTTTTAATAGACTGCTCAAAATGGGGTTAGTGCCACTCACTGTGCCTTGGATCTTACTTTTCCAGTTCCAGAGAGATGATCGTGTTCATAGGAACTACAGTAAGTAACAATACCACATATTAAGTATATTCTTGATCTGTTATCATTCCCATGACCCATCAGAAGTCTAAGAAGGCTGTATATCCCCAAAGGATGCCAAGGGTCCTTCCGGGCCTTCATCTGTCAGCCTCTGATTTGCCTGGATGTTTCACTCTCCAGGATCTGTCCAACTGCTTAGGTAAAACTGTTACAGTGTACTGGGAACAAATAATACTCTTCACACGGAGAATAATTCAACTAATCTACCAACAGAAAATCCATTTGGAACCATCTTTTTTTCATAACAGAGAAGGCTGCAATGAGCAATTAATAGTTACTCAGTACCATTATGACAATGCATACAGAATTATTCCATATTAAGAAAAACTAAAGGCATAGCCAATCATCAGAAAAAAATTGCTGAGTGAGGTGGCTCATGCCTGCAGTCCCAGCTACTTGGGGGGCTGAGGTGTGAGGATCACGTGGGCCAGGGAGGTAGAAGTCATTGCATGAGCCAAGATGGCACCACTACACCCTGGCCTGGGCAAGAGGGAGAGAGATTCTGTCTCAAAAAAATGGAAAGAAAAAGAAAAACTTTGCTGGCTCACAAGACCACCAGTCTGGCACCACAGTTTCAGTATACAATGCTCTCCTCAGCTGAGTTAAGTACAGACCATGGTAGACTTTCAACGGAAGACAAACTAGAAGATAGAGTGCTTCAGCAGGGAATTACTGGCCTTGAAGTCCTGTTTTCAAATACCAAACCACTTTCCCAGCCATACAACCTTAAGCTAGTCAGAAACTCTATCTGGAAAACAGGAGTAATGTATGCCCAGCTTCCAGGGCTGATTAGAAATCAAAATGAAAAGGTTATTAAGTGTGAAAAGCACTCTTTAAAGTTCAACAGCAGTAAATCACAAATGCATATATCTACACTGACCAAGCATGTGACAGAAATAAGTAAAGTGCTAGGTAAGCATACGCCCCATTTCTAGGGGCAGTTGCTACTCCATTTCCAGATGCTTCCAAGTGAGAACATGGACCTAGTATTGCCAAAGCTTCCAATTTTTCAAAAGAAGCTAAATACAAACCTTTTATATAAAATCCCCCAACCTTTTTTTTGAGACCAGGTTTCCCTCTGTTGCCTAGGCTGGAGTGCAGTGGTGTGATTACAGCTCACTGCAGCCTCAACCTCCTGGTTCAAGTGATCCTCTCACCTTAGCCTCCTGAGTAGCTGGGACTACAGGCATGCACCACCATGCACAGCTAGTTTTGTAATTTGTTGTAGAGACAGGGTCTCTGACTATGTTGCCCAAGCTAGTCTTGAATTCGTGGCCTAAAGTAATCCTCCTGCCTTGGCTTCCCAAAGTGCTGGGATTCTAGGCCCCAGCCACTGCATCCAGTCCCTGATTTTTCAAATGTTGGCCAGTGAGGCAGTCATCAGTGCTGTACATCAAACGGTTCTGCATCTCCCACCCCAAAACGACTCAGACACACAGCAAGACGGTACTTCCTGCCTCCATCACACTGTGTGAGACCACGCTTTAGCAGTACAAGGTCTGCCAGAGCACTTAATTGCCATTTGAGACCATTCCAGACCTTGTTTTTCTCTCTAGCCCATCAACACTGGCTGCTCTGTTACCCTAAGTGACTATAACAAGCAGAGCAGCCTGAGACCCACAATGGTCACACAGTATGAGGGAGAAAAAGATCCTCACTGTTTGAAGTCACTGATACTCTAGGGCGGTCTGTTACTACAGCGTAACCTAACCTACGCTGACTGATAGAGCAATGAATCTAAACTTTTCAAAAGCACTGTGTAGACCAACCAAAAGACAACGCAGACAACACTCCACCTGCGGGCCACCACTCTGCAACCTCTGCTCCATGTCAATGCAAAATACATGTATCATTTGGATACTGTTACTAACAGTCAAATTATATAATTAAAGCCATACCTGGCTAGGGACCCAGCACCTTCTTTTCTTTTGGGATCTTTAAGCTCCAGACTTACATTCACCATATCAATGAGGAAGCACATGCAAGTGTACACTTCTCCACTCAGAACAGTCTACAAAAGGAAAATGCCTGTCAATCCATGGTTGATGATGCCAACCTAAAAACAGGTTCATACGTCAAGAAATCTAATTTGCTTGTTGCTCCGCCTTCTTTCTCCAAGTGAATCTGAGGAACATATACACAGAGTGACCATCAGCTGAGACTACAAGAGTTACAGAAGAACTCACTCACATGAATTCTTGGATCTTGTAAATCATAAGGCCGCATAAATTCTTCTATGGGTTCTCCCAGGTTGTTCTCTAACAAGCCACGAATCAGCTTGTATTTACATAGATCCAGAGAGCAGTGGACTGAGGAGAGATTGCCATGGATAGATATGTCTGGCACAGTATGACTTATTTCTCTATAAAAAAGAAAAAAGATCACTTACACAAACAAGTCAGTAACTTAACGCTGACATACCTCACACCAAAATAGGGGATAAAGCGTACTCACCTACATTATCGAGTAGGTAATTCCTGCTTCCAATGACAAAAATTTTATGTAGCTCCAAATGAAGCAAGTTACTATGACTGCCATGCTTCAACTATAAAAAGCCCCTTTTCCCAAAAAATTTACATTTAGAAAATCCTCAAACCAGGCCAGGTGTGGTGGCTCACACCTATAACCCCAGCACTTTGGGAGGCCAAGGTGGGAAGATCACTTGAGCCCAGGACTTCAAGACCAGCCTGGGCAACATAGTGAAACCCCAACTCTTCAAAAACTACAAAAATTAGCTGGGTATGGTGGTGTGCACCTGTGGTCCCAGCTACTCGGGAGACTAAGGTTGGGGGTTCACTTGAGCCTGGGAAGTCAAGGGTGCAGTAAGCTGTGATCATGCCACTGTATTCCAGCCTGTGTGACAGAGTGAGACCTTGTAGGCAGGTAGGCAGGTAGGAAGGTAGGGAGGTAGGGAGGGGGAGAGAGAGAGGGAGGAGGGGAAGGGAAGGAAGGTAAAGGAAAGGAAGGAAGGGAGGAGGGACATCCTTAAACCTAATAAGAACTAACTAACTAATCTATTAATAAGGAAAACCTCATGAGACTCAGAAAGAGCTTAAATATTACAGTTGGGAAAGCAATAAAGAAAAGATGCCAAGATCTTTATTTAACTCTTTGGATTTAGTGGTAACTAAAGGCAGACACCAATGTTTCATACTGAGTCCAGATGGGACATTCGTATAAACTCTGAATAGGTTTGTCATCTCAGCTGGGAAGGGCAGATGTAAAGTAGAAGATGAGGGGAAGGGTACACATCTGTATTGCATCTCAACACTAAAAAGCTTTCTTTAACCGCCCATGGGTGAACTGGGCATCATGAATCCTACAGACACCATGCTCTGAGGATACAGAGGGCTAGTGTTTGAAATGGCAGAGGTATATAAAAAATTATTCTGTCAGTAGAGAAAAGCCTACATACAACAGAGTTTTAAAAGACCAATGATGCAACAATAAAGAAAAACGAAGGCGGCTGACCAAGTGCCATCTCAGGTTCCTGTCTGTGTGGTGTGAGAGCCTGACAGGACACCCTGCGTCCAGCATCACCTTCTAACAGGCCTAACAGAGTATAATTATCTGCATGTAGTCACTGATGGGAGTGGGGAAACTTTAGATAAGCTGAGTAGCAAAGCATTTTTTCTTTATTTATTTATTTTTGGGAAGCATTGCTTGAAAATAAAACAAAGTGTTCAATTTCTAAATAATGAAGCTCTTCTTAAGACTGCTTAGCCAGTAAAACCAAATATAGCCCATGCCAACCATAACTGAACGCCAGCCAGGGAGCACTTGCATAACACGTAAGAGTGAAACACAAACATCCCAGTGAGAACAGCTAAGTTGTATCATTAATCCAGAGAGAAACTAAAAAAGTGACATTAAATGACTTGCCCAAACCAAGAACTGTGAAGGGAGTGGCCAACAAGACGTTCAAATCAATCATGCTCTATACAAATAATAAAGCTGTTTTTCTTTCTTTTTCTTTTTTTTTTTTTTGAGATGGAGTCTTGCCCTGTCACCCAGGCTGGAGTGCAGTGGTACAATCTCGGCTCACTGCCACCTCTACCTCCCAGGTTCAAGCGATTTTCCTGTCTCAGCTTCCCAAGTAGCTGAGATTACAGACACGTGCCACCATGCCCAGCTAATTTTTGTTTTTGTTTTTTAACAGAGATGGGGGTTTCACCATGTTGGCCAGGCTGGTCTCAAATTTCTGACCTTATGATCCACCCACCTTGGCCTCCCAAAGTGCTGAGATTACAGGCATGAGCCACCGTGCCCAGCCAAAACTGGTTTTTAAAATGCTACAAATGGAAATCTCTATACAGCCATATCTCACTCTTCCCTGGAGTAGAGATACAAAACGTTGCTGCTTTCTCCAAAATCGATGCACCCAACTGACAGATACAGTACACTGTAATCAGTGGATCCCACTTCACCTACATGGCCAAGGAAGCAGAAGTCCCCTCAAAGGGCCCTGTTAAATGGACACCTGAGTGTCAGTCCAGAGAGTCACATTCTTTTGGTCCCAGGTAGGTCTGGGAATGTTCATTTTCAAGAAGTTTCTCAGCCAGATATGGAACTAACGACAACTGAAGTCACGCTCTGGATTTCAGAAACAAGCACCCTGTGTTTCAAGGCCAACAGCCAGGGTAAACTAGGGTCAGTTCATCGGTCTTTATGGAGTACTTTCCGTTATTTAATGGAGTGAAATGGGAAACTCTGCACCCAAATATTTATACTGATTAAATGGAGTTCCACGGTAAACAGCAATAGCAGGTCCATAATCTAATCTATTTGGAACACATAATTCAAATGTATAGCTCTTCCAGGATATGCTGCCTGTAATCACTACCCTCCTATCACCACCCAATCCATGCTAAATTTACTTCCCTCTTTGTTTCCAAGGCGCGTGTTGTTTTTTTTTTTTTTTTTTCCTTGAGACAGACTGTCACCCAGGCTGGAGTGCAGTGGTGCAATCCTAGCTCACTGCAACCTCCACCTCCCAGGTTCAAGCAATTCTCTGTAGCTGGGATTATAGGTGCCCACGACCACGCCCATCTACTATTTTTGTATTCTTAGTAAAGACAGGTTTTCACCATGTTGCCCAGGCTGGTCTTGAACTCCTGACCTGGTGATCCATCTGCCTTGGCCTCCCAAAGTGCTGGGATTACAGGCATGAGCCACCATGCCTGGCCCCAAGGCGCTTGCTGTAATCTTACAACACAGTTTATCATATCAAATCAAACTCTAAATTAGAATCATGTATTTAACTTCCTGTATCCCTCAACAAAACGTAAGTTCCTTCAAAGTAATTAGTTTTCTCTTTCATCATAGTAGCCCTCATGTTCAGCACATAGTAGGTACTCAATAAACATTTGTTAGATGAAGAAATAAGCAAATAACTAGTTCTTCCAAACTTACCTTAATGGCACTGATTTCCAAGTTAAGATTCTACTTATCATAGACAATTATTCAGATATAAAACACTGGCCAGGCACAGTGGCTCACACTTGTAATCCCAGCACTTTGGGAGGCCGAGGCAGGCAGAACACCTGAGGTCAGGAGTTCGAGACCACAACATGGTGAAACCCCATCTCTACTAAAAACACAAAAATTAGCTGGGCATGGTGGCATGTTCCTATAATCCCAGCTACTTGGGAGGCTGAGGCTGAGGAGAATCACTTAAACCTAGGAGGTGGAGGTTACAGTGAGCCAAGATTGTGTCTCTGCACTCCAGCCTGCCTGGGTGACCAAGCGAGACTTCATCTCAAAACAAAACAAAACAACTCACTTATCCAAATTCCTTTCCACCTGCAATTTCAGCCTACAAGGCTCGGTTAAGAAGCTTCCTCCTGTCTGTCGCACAAAATAGGAAGGGAAGATGAGGTCTCCACTATTGTCCTCTGGTGCCCTGGAGTATTCTCTTGGATGTCTCTCTGCAGCAAAGATGTCCATGTCCTGGAGATCCACGACAATGCAATCCAGCAGGCAGACATGGTCTTCTACAAAGACCCAAGGAAAGAGAGGTAATGAAGAAAATGGGACCCAAAAAGGGCTTGCCCCAAGCAAAATTAAAAATGCAAAGATAGCATTAGGAGAAATACCTAATGTAGATGACAGAGTGATGGATGCAACAAATCACCATGGCACGTGTTGTATACCTATGTAACAAACCTGCACATTCTGCACATGTACCCCAGAACTTAAAGTATAATAAAAAAAAAATTTTTTTAATGCAAAGCTCATTGTGGCTTTCACAATGTTTACAGCTGCCTGCTTCCCCTACTGTCCACTACGCAGAAAACTGGCTATCCAGGACACCACAGTGTCTCCACTATGGCAGCAAGAGCGCCTTATGCTAAGCTCCATGTGCACGACACACCCTGCCCCCCTGCCTTCCTCTCCAAGCACAGACGGTGTCACAGTTCTTCAGTGTCTCATGTCTATGCTGTGACAATAACGGGGGCTGGATGACTAAATTTGACTCCATATGCAATCCCTCCCTAGAGACAATGCTACCTAAAGGTTTACAAACTTTTCCCAGCAGTAAAATTTTTTTTCACACAAATACTGCCACATGTAACCACTTCCATTTCCACTGACCAGATCCAAACCACCTTCATTCTTGCCTAGACCAAAAAGAACTCTCCTCCATTAGACCTACATAATTCCATTCTAGCCCTCACAAAACCACTCTCCCCACAAAATACCTGAGTAATCCTTAAAAAAATAAACAGTCCATAACATTCACTTCTTTTATACACTTACTGGTAAGCTATGTTTAATCCAAAATTCTTTGTGTAAGCCTGGCATGGTAGCTCACGCCTGTAATCTCAGCACTTTGGGAGGTCGAGGCTGGTGGATTACCTGAGGTCAGGAGTTCAAGACCAGCCTGGCCAACATGGTGAAACCCTGTCTCTACTAAACATATAAAAATTAGCCAGGCATGGTAGTAGGCACCTGAATCCCAGCTACTTGGGAGGCTGAGGCAGGAGATGGCTTGAACCCAGGAAGTGGAGGTTGCAGTGAGTGAAGATCGTGCCACTGTACTCCAGCCCACAAAATACCTGGTGGCAGAGTAAGGCTCCATCCCAAAAAGAAAAACAACAAAACAAAATATATTTCTGTAAATCTCCCCTAAATCCCTACAAGGCCCTATGCAAGCCCACTGCCTTCTTTCCCAACCTCATTTCAAGCCATTCTCTCTCCTGCTCACTAAGCCCCAGGATTAGTCAGCCTCAGGCTTACTAAAACAAAGGCTTACTTGTCCTGTTTCCCCCAAAATGCCAAGCTCTTTGCTGCCTGAATAGCCTTACAAGTGGAGTGGCCCTCCCATCTAATCTAAATTCTGTCTTCTCTCCTGTCTTTCCCATAACACGTATTATAATCTATCAATATTTAACTGTTCAATGTCTTTTTCATTAGTCTATAAGTAGCATTGTAGGAGGAGCCATGTCTAACAGAATGTTAATATACTAGGGAACAAAATATAATACCTGGCATTAAGTGGGCACGGAATACATGAGTTTTTGATTTGTTAATTATATTGATAAATACATGAAATAGTTAAAAGTAGAGCTGATCCGGTAGAAGGGGATAAGGAATGGGAATGAAGCAGGCTTCGGAGATTCCCTAGGGCAGGGGTCCCAAACCCCCAGGCACCGACAGGTACTCACAGCAGAAGGTGAGAGGCAGGTGAGTGAGAATTACCACCTGAGCTCTGCCCCTTGTTAGATCAGTGGTGGGATTAGATTCTCATAGGGGTGCAAACCTTATTGGGAACTCCGTATGCGAGGGATCTAGGTTGTGTGCTCCTTATGAGAATTTAATGCCTGATGATCTGAAGTGGAACAGTTTAATCCTGAAACCATCCCCAGTCCCGTCCATGGAAAAACTGTCTTCCATGAAACCAGTCCCTGCCAAAAAGGTTGGGGACTACTGCCCTAGGGTACTATTATGGAATCCTAGGATTATATGGAAACAGCGTGAAAACCACTGTCTTAATCCAAGGCACTGTATCATGAATAGTGAAATTTCAGAAACAATAGCAAACCAGTAGGAGAAATACTGTTAAAAAAGAGACCGTCTTTCTATAAAACATCCCAAATCACTTCTTAAAGGCATCTACCTCTACAGATTAAGACTGGCCTTATTCTTAGTCATCACAGATGTCATAACATCAGTGACGGCGGGTGCCATGAGCTGAGTCCTCAGGCAGCCCTCTGTGCTCTATCTGTGCATGGAGACACACTGGCAGGCAGCATCATGTTGGGTTACAATTCGGTTCTGGAGTCAGACTGCCGAAATTCATAGTCCAACTCTTCCACTACTAACTACATAACCTTGGGCAAGCTAGGTTACCTAATCTCTCCAAGGCTTCACCTCTTCATCTGTGAAATGGGGATTTTTTAAAAAAAACCCTACAGTAGTGTAATGGGAACAAAATAATTAATGTAAATAATGTGCCACAATGTTTAACACACAGTAAGTGTTCCACAACTACTACTAAGGTGATTAAAATTATCTCGTTGCAGGATCAACATAATTAAAACCACTTTCCTGTCACCTCTAGCACTATAAGGCACCAGAGAGAGTTAACAAATTCTCAGATCTATGTAACAAGACACTCAGCAGCTAGTGCCCTGAATCTTGCAAAGTCCTATCACACTGGACTGATTTTTGCAATTCATCATATTCTGCCTCCGTTTCTAGCAGCTCAAAGCAGCTCCCACTTATTCAGTGCCTCACTCATCCAGAATACATTTAACAATAGAAAAGAGGCTGGGCATAAGGGCTCACGCCTGTAACCCCAGCACTTTGGGAAAACAAGGCAGGAGGATCACGTGAGCTCAGGAGTTTAAGACCCAACCTGGGCAACCTGGTGAAACCCCATCTCTACAAAAAAAAAAAAAAAAAAAAAAAAATTAGCTGGGTATGATGGCGTGTGCCTGTAGTTCCAGCTACTCAGGAAGCTGAGGTGGGAGGATCACTTGAGCTCAGGAGGTCAATGCTGCAGTGAGCCATGATCTCAACACTGCACTCTAGCCTGGGAGACAGTGTGAGATGCTGCCTCAAAGGGAGAAAAAATACATAAAACCAAAAAAGCCTTCAAAATAGTGCTCTCATTTGGAATTACTAAATCTTTTTTTTTTTTTAATTTTTTATTTTACTTTAAGTTCTGGGGTACATGTGCAGCTCTTGCAGGACTGTTATACAGGGAAATACACATGCCATAGTGGTTTGCTGCCTCCATCCCCCCATCACCTACATTAGGTATTTCTCCTAATGTTATCCCTCCCCAATCTCCCCACCCCCTGCTATCCCTGCTCTAGTCCCCAACCCCCAAAAGACCCCAGTGTGTGATGTTCCCCTCCCTGTGTCCATGTGTTCTCATTGTTCAACACCTACTTATGAGTGAGAACATGCAGTGTTTGGTTTTCTGTTCTCGTGTCAGTTTGCTGAGAATGATGGTTATCCAGATTCATCCATGTCCCTGCAAAGGACATTAACTCATCCTTTTTATGGCTGCATAGTATTCCATGGTGTATATGTGCCATATTTTCTTTATCCAGTCTATTTTTGATGGGCATCTGGATTGGTTCCAAGTCTTTGCTATTGTAAACAGTGCCTCAATGAACCTATCTGTGTGCATGTGTCTTTATAATAGATCAATTTATAATCCTTTGGGTATATACCCAGTAATGGGATTGCTGGGTCAAATGGTATTTCTATTTCTAGGTACCTGAGGAATCACCACACTGTCTTCCACAATGGTTGAACTAATTTACATTCTCCCAACAATAGTGTAAAGCGTTCCTATTTCTCCACATCCTCTCCAGCATCTCCTGTCTCCAGATTTTTTAATGATTGCCTTCTATCTGGCATGAGATGGTATCTCAATGTGATTTTGATTTGCATTTCTCTAATGACCAGTGATGATGAGCATTTTTTCATATGTTGGTTGGCCACATATATGTCTTCCTTTGGAAAGTGTCTATTCATATCTTTCGCCCACTAATTCTTATGTTGGCGAGAACGCCAATGACCAGATGGTTCATGTCTTTTAAAAACTGTGCTACAGCATTTCTGTTGTTGCCTGATTTATGCTAATATTTTTTAATGTGTTCTTTTATGTTTTTTAGAATTAGTGGCTTGCCAGGATAGTGACTGGGTGGTGGCTTGCAAGGATGCAGGACTCTTTCTACTATTTTCAGCTGTAAGAAAAAAGTCCTAATAGACGATCTAAAAATCTCTTTAATTACACTGTATCTTGCTAATTTAACCCTACTGTAGAAGTCATCCAATGATAAATCTATACTTAAAACTCTTAAACCTTCTAAAACAAAATCAAAATCTAATCATCGTTAAAGAAATGCTATCTCTTCATTAACATCTGCTTGAACACAATGCCCGCCCTGCTCAGGTTCGTGAACAATCCTGTCAATTTCCCCACCTTCAGCATAATGCGGCTTTTCTCCTCTTTTACCTGGACTACTAGACGCTTGGCCCACAGACAGTGCGGGTTGTGGTGGCCCTTGCTGCTTGGTGGAGGTACTGGGCACAAACTCACTCTTCAGGCTGCCCAGGCTCATTCCAGCAAGAGGCATTGTGAACTGCCCCTGGGAATGGGTTCCCTTGGGCTCCTCTGAGCTCGTTGTTTTCCTCAGACTGTGTTTGGGAGTACCCGTTGGGGGAGCTGAAGGCACAGATTCCTGGAAAGAAATAAAATAAAACTAGAATACAGGAAATGGAAAGCGGGAAGCACTGGTGGTAGGACTCTGTCTTTAATATCTCTGAAGTCCTATCCCAGTTCCTGGGGTCTTCTAAGACTCTGTAATCCTTGCACTTTCCTGAGCCTCCCAGATCCCATATACAAGAAGCTACCAGGATCGTGACATTTACTGCCACAAAACATTATCAGCAGAGATGTTACATATAGTTCAATACTTGTTGAAAACTTTTGCAGGAAGACAAGCTCTTTTGGCTCAAGAGCAAATCTGAAGATGCCAATTGCTTCAAGTGGTTTAATCAAGGTCAAATGCAGCAAATGCAAGTCTCTCAGCTATAAGATGGGGAGGGGCATATTGTTCTAAGAAAAGATATCTACGGGGTCCAAAGTGGCTCCCACCGGAGGTCATGGTGCTCGCGAAGGCAAGGTCATCAGTTCAAGGCTAACCTGAGCAACCTCATAAAGCTCAAACTGATTGGCAAAAAAAAAAAAGATATCTAATGACAACATGGCTCCAACGAAACGAGCCCACGGGAATGTGTTTGTACTTTGTAGATGTCTCCCCTCATGGGTTTACATTTCCCATCACTCTAAGTAACTGTGGAAATGAAAACAAAATGAAAAACAAAAGAAGTCAGCCATTCCTATAATGTTTCTACTCAAGGGCATGAAAACTAAGAAGGGCTAACAGAGAATAAAATAGATTCTGTAATTCTGCTGAAAATACTACTCTTTTCTTACACACTCAGTACCTTCATTCAGGTACTGAGTACCTTAATTTCTAAGAGAGGAAAATCTATTTCACCAGAAAGATTCAATAATTGACTTTTAGGCTTCCCAGGGCTTCTTCATGGAGTCCTCAGAGCTACATATCTGCAGAACTTCCGTGGCATCACTGTTCCCATCTCGCCATTCTCATCTGTATGTGGGAGGAGAGGAAGGATGGTTCTCCCTCTAGGCCTACCTTATATGTTTACTCCTCTCAGCTTTGGAAAAGAATACGAAAATAGTGCTTCCTTTCACAGTTCTCTCGAGTAGTAATTACAAGTAAAAGAAACTACTTCTTGCTTTCTGCAATTTTTTTTTTGCAAGGCAGATTACCAGGTAAATGTCATTATTTAAGTATTTCAACATTAAAACCTTTCCTTCTCACTTAGTTTATTTAAACTCTGTAAAATGTTTGTTGCCCTTTCATTTGATTCATCTCTACATCCTCTCTGCAGTTGGATTAAATAAATCAATGGCTTGAGGAGATTAACTCAAAGCTTTTGAAAGACTTTGACTTAGAAATTGTGGTTTAAGCATAAGCTATGGTTGAGAAGAATGAAATAAAAGCATATGCAAAAAAACTCAATCTTGTACTCATTAAGACATGGATTTATGTAAAACAATTCCAAACACACAGGAGTCATGGAACTCAAGGGCAAATAACCCCGCTGCAAGCTTTGATTTCAGGATGATTTCCTGTTCTTTAACCACTGGAATGCATATTAGACAAACCTCACACATGCAAATGTATTAAAGGGCAAATGTAAATACAAAATGATGGATGGTGGAAAAGGTAATTATTCATTTCATACAAATTGTAATCAATTACATTTAACTGTATGCATGAGGAGGTAAACCTCACAGATGTGTTCATCTGATTATAAATACTTGAACAAGCAACTCACTCCAAACGGCCCTTATGGAATTCTACAGAACAATCACTGGTACCTAATAAGATAGTTTTTCTAAGATTTAAGGATATAAAGCAAGATCACCAAGAAAGTACTACTGAGGGCTAAAAAAAAGAAATTTTTTTTAATGGGCCTTAAGAAGAACTTCTCTACATAGTAGGAAAGTAATTCAAACACTTAAAAAAAAAAGTTAATAAGCAGGCTTTCTCAAGTAATGAGATATTTTAAAGGGTTAGTTTTAATTTTCTTTTTTAAGCATGTGAATGTGAATTGACTGCTGAATCCCATAAGGTTTTTCAGAATAGTCAGGTTGCAAAAAAAACACATTATACCTTGAAGAAAACGCGGTCCTTGTATGCACTGCCACGTAAAATCAAATCCTCAAAAACAAATACAGGGAAAATTTTTTTCATTAAAATGCTACAAACTCTGTGCTATTATTTGGCTTAAAAAATAGGAACCTTTTGCAAAAATTTCTTGAAGTATTTTGGCAATTCTTCTGCCAAGGCTAACTTCAGGGTCTGCTGGTAAATCCATATATAGATGTATCTGATAAAGATATTCAGTCCATTACCTTTTTAGGAAGGACAGAGAAACAAACATGGTCCTGGTGAACTTGGTCACACATTCTGGCTAGAATTGATTTCCTCCTAAAAATTTTAATGTGGCCTCAAAGTAGACTTAATCTCAAACAAATACAGTTATGCACCATATAATGCCATTCCAGTCAACTACAGACCACATATATACTATGATGGTCCCATAAGATTATAATGCAGTATTTTTATTTTACCTTTTCTATGTTTAGATATGTTCAGATACATGAATACCTTACCATGGTGTTACAACTGCCTACAGCATTCAGCACAGTATTGTGCTGTACACGTTTGTAGCCCAGGAGCAACAGGCTATACAACAGAGCCTAGGTGTGTAGTAGGTTAAGCCATTAGGTTTGTGTAAGGACACTCTGCAATGATCACAGAGAAAGGAAATCACCTAAGGATGTATTCTCCCAAGGATCTCCCTGTAGCTAAGGGACCATGACTGTATTTGGTCTTAGTTCCTGACACAAGAGATTCCTAAGACCCTTGGAATCTCCAAAGTGATAAAATGTCCTTGTGTATGTTAATTAGATAACCGGTGGCTAAAAGCCCCTAAATAGCTTTAGAATGGGAGTTGCCAGAAGTATAGGCAACCATGTGATTAGACAGTGGAACTTTCAGTTTCAGTGCCCAGACCTCCAGGGAGAGCAGTGGGGCTAGAGACTGAGTCTAATCACAAATGGCCAATGATTCAATTAATTATATCCATATAATGGAAGCTCCATTAAAAGCCTAAACAATTGGGTCCAGAGAGCTACCAGGTTGGTGAACACATCCACAGTTCAGGAGGCACAGAAGCTCCTGTGTTTGGGACACCTCTGGACCTTACCCTATGCACCTCTTAGCTGGCTGTGTCCTTTATTACAGCCTTTATACTAAATCAGTAAATGTGTTCCCCTGAGTTCTATGAGCCACTATAGCAAATTATTGAACCTCAGGAGGGCACTGTGGAAACCCCGAGTTTATAGCTAGTCCGTCAGATGTACAGGAGACCTGGACTTGCGACTGTCGTCTGAAGTGAAGGGCAGTCTTAGCATAACTCCAGGTGGTTAGTGTCATAATTAAATTATAGGACACCCAGTTGGTATCTGCAGATATGGAAAATGGTAGGTATGGGGTAAAACCCAACACATTTGGAGTCAGAAGCATTGGGAGTTGTTTCCTTTTACATGTAAAGAGCATAGCACTGGCTGATAGATAATGAGCCTTCAGCAAATGGCAGCTATGTATTGCTATTTTTGGCAGTTTTAAGATCTTACAATCAAATCTTATCTATATCTCAAGGCCATCTCTCTCCCTATGTTATTAGCTACTATACTAAAAATAGGCATAAATAGCTGGGAATTTTAGTAAGTGCTTTTCTGACACACTAAAATGAGTTTGCAAGGAATAAGCAAACAGACTGAAAAGCTGCCATGGAAACCAACAAGAAATGATGAAAACATACACCAGGAATGATAAGGCCACATCTCTAGGTCCAGAAATGTCACTTGGTCTCCTCAAATGCAAAACAGGGGATGAAGGAGGACTAATCAGACCATCTAAAAGGTACTCTCAGCTTTAAGAGTCTGTGAATTATTAGGTGTTTCCCTTTTTATTGTTTATTCTTAAAGAATCCTAGTTTTCCCTAATGTAAAACACAAATAACAGTTCTCATCCTAATTACCTTCAACACTGTTATAAGAAATAAAATAAGTCACGGCCATAAAAAAGAATGAAATCATGTCCTTTGCAGAAACTGATGGAACTGGAAGCCATAATCCTAAGCAAATTAATGCAGGAACAGAAAAGCAAATACCACATGTTCTCACTTTGAAGTGGAAGCTAAACATTGAGTATTCATAGACATAAATATGGGAACAATAGATGCCCTCCTGAGGTTCTATAATTTGCTATGGTGGCTCATAAAACTCAGGGAAACACATTTACTTGTTTAATATAAACTACTAGAGCACGGTGCGGGGGATAAGGGAAATGGGTCAGAAAACTACCTGTTGGGTACTCTGCTCACCACCTGGGTACAGTATACCCATCTAACAAACCTGCACATGTACACCTGTGTCTAAAATAAAAGTTGAAATAAGAAGGTGTCACAGTTTAAAACTATAAAGCAATATACTATATAAGATGTTATTATCAAGACATTTTTAGATGGCTTCAAGTAAACATGGGCCAATCACGTCCTCTGAAAAAAGTCACAGTCTAAAAAGTTGATATTATAGAAGAAATGCTTTTATATAAGGAAAGTAATGGAAGGTTGGTTCCACTAGTTTGTTTGCTAAAACAAGTTACTACCTGCAGTTACTAACAGTTATAATTTACACTACCTCAATTCATAAGGTTAATTGAAATGTCAATAAAATGTAAAAAAAAAAAATTCTTCAAGCCACATACCCTATAAAAGTAATAGCAATTATGGATCATCTTACACAGCATACAAATTTTTCAATTAGTGATCAAATACTAGTTGAACTGAAAAGGAAATGGATACTGACTGCTTACCTTATTATGTAAGGAAAAGGTGCCAGGAAAACCAGCAAAGATAAACTTATTTTTCACTTTCAACTTCCCCAAATTTGCTACAATCAGATTATTTGACCTAGAACTCTCTGGGATCAGGAGAACGGGAGCACCAGCCTCAATATCCAGGAGAACCCGTGAACAGCGCTGGGCTTGATCTCTCACCTGAAAGAGGAAGGAAAATTGACTCAGAGGATAATTAATTCCCTAACATTGCCATCAAATAACCTCAGGTTCCCAAAAGTTTCGAGTTTATAAAACAATTAAAATCATACAGAGCATATTCTATAACCACCATGGAGTTAAATTAGAAATCAGTACCAAGAAGATAATGGAAAATCCCCAAATATTTGGAAACTAAACAACACACTTCTAAATAACCCCTAGGTCAGAAGTAATCACAGGGAAACAGAAAAAACATTTTCACTAAAATGACAAGGAAAACATAATACATTAAAATTTGTGAGATACACTTAAAACAATGCTTACAGAGAGATGTACACCACTACTTTAGAAAGCAGTAAAGACTTAAAAATCAGTAATTGAAAGCTTCCACCTTAAGAAGCTGGAAAAAGAAAAGTAAATTAAATCTAAAGTAGAAGGAAGAACAGAAAAAGCATTAAGTCAATGACATAGGAAACAGACAATAGAGAAAAATCAATTAAACATTTATAGAACACTGCATCCATAAACCACAGAGCCTAGGTTTTTTTCCTTCTTTTAAGTTCTGGGGTACATGTGTAGATCTTACAGGATTGTTACCTAGGTATACACATGCCACGGTGGTTTGCTGCCTCCATCCCCCCATCACCTACATTAGGTATTTCTCCTAATGTTATCCCTCCCCAATCTCCCCACCCCCTGCTATCCCTGCCCTAGTCCCCCAACCCTCAATAGACCCCAGTGTATGATGTTCCCCTCCCTGTGTCCATGGGTTCTCATTGTTCAACACCCACTTATGAGTGAGAACATGCAGTGTTTGGTTTTCTGTTCTTGTGTCAGTTGGCTGAGAATGATGTTACCCAGATTCATCCATGTCCCTGCAAAGGACATGAACTCATCCTTTTTTATAGCTGCATAGTATTCCATGGTGTATATATGCCACATTTTCTTTATCCAGTCTATTTTTGATAGGCATTTGGGTTGGTTCCAAGTCTTTGCTATTGTAAACAGTGCCTCAATGAACATATCTGTGTGCATGTGTCTTTATAATAGATCGATTTATAATCCTCTGGATATATATACCCAGTAATGGGATTGCTGGGTCAAATGGTATTTCTATTTCTAGATCTTTGAGGAATCGCCACACTGACTTCCACAATGGTTGAACTAATTTACACTCCCACCAACAGTGCAAAAGCATTCCTATTTTTCCACATCCTCTCCAGCATCTGTTGTCCAGATTTTTTAATTATCATCACTCTAACTAGCATGAGATAGTATCTCAATGTGATTTTGACTTGCATTTCTCTAATGACCAGTGATAATGAGCATTTTTTCCTATGTTGGTTGGACACATAAATGTCTTCTTTTGAAAAGTGTCTATTCATATCTATTGCTCACTTTTTGATGGGGTTGGTTTTTTGTTTCAGTTCTTTGTAGATTCTGGATATTAGCCCTTTGTCACATGGGTAGATTGCAAAAATTTCTTCCCATTCTGTTGGTTCCCAGTTCACTCTAACGATTGTTTCTTTTGCTGTGCAGATGCTCTTAAGTTTAATTAGATACCATTTGTCAATTTTGGCTTTTGTTGCCATTGCTTTTGATGTTTTAGTCATGAAGTTCTTGCCTATGCCTATGTCCTGAATGGTATCGCCTAGGTTTTCTTCTAGGGTTTTTTTTTTTTTAAGATGGGGTTTCACCATCTTAATGGTGAAGACCATGATGGCCAGGCTGGTCTTGAACTCCTGACCTCACATGATCCACCCACCTCGGCCTCCCAAAGTGCTAGGATTACAGGCGTGAGCCACAGCGCCCAGCCTCTTTTAGGGTTTTTATGGTGTTAGGTCTTATGTTTAAATCTTTAATCCATCTGGAATTAATTTTTGCATAAGGTGTAAGGAAGGGATCCAGTTTCAGCTTTCTGCACATGGCTAGCCAGTTTTCCCAAAATCATTTATTAAACTGGGAATCCTTTCCCCATTGCTTGGTTTTGTCTAGTTTGTCAAAGATCAGACGGTTATAGATGTGTGGTGTTACTTCCAAGGCTCAGTATTGTTCCATTGGTCTATATCTCTGTTTTGGTACCAGTACCATGCTGTTTTGATTACTGTAGCCTTATAGTATAGTTTGAAGTCAGGTAGCGTGATGTCTCCAGCTTTGTTCTTTTTGCTTAGGATTGTCTTAGCTATGTGGGCTCTTTTTTGGTTCCATATGAAGTTTAAGGTGTTTTTTTTCCAGTTCTGTGAAGGTCAATGGTAGTTTGATGGGAATAGCATTGAATCTACAAATTACTTTGAGCAGTATGGCCATTTTCATGATATTGATTCTTCTTAACCATGAGCATGGAATGTTTCTCCATCTGTTTGTGTCCTCTCTTATTTCCTTGAGCAGTGGTTTGTAGTTCTCCTTGAAGAGGTCCTTCACATCCTTTGTTAGCTGTATTCCTAGGTATTTTATTCTCTTTGTAGCAATTGTGAATGGGAGTTTCACTCATAATTTGGCCTTCTGTTTGTCTGTTACTGGTATATAGGAATGCCTGTGATTTTTGCACACTGATTTTGTATCCTGAGACTTTGCTGAAGTTGCTTATCACCTCAAGGAGATTTTGGGCTAAGATGATAGGGTCTTCTAAATATACAATCATGTCATCTGCAAATAGAGACAATTTGACTTTCTGTTTTCCCAACTGAATACCCTATATTTCTTTTCCTGGCCTGATTGCTCTGGCTTGAACTTCCAGTACTATGTTGAATAGGAGTGGTGAGAGAGGGCACACTTGTCTAGTGCCAGTTTTCAAAGGGAATGCTTCCAATTTTTGCCCATTCAGTATGATATTGGCTGTGGGTTTGTCATAAAAAGCTTTTATTTTGAGATATGTTCCACTGATACCTAGTTTATTAAGAATTTTTAGCATAAAGGGCTGTTGGATTTTGTGGAAGGCCTTCTCTGCATCTATTAAAATAATCATCCAGTTTTTGTCATTGGTTCTGTTTATGTGATGGATTACATTTACAGATTTGCATATGTTGAACCAGCCTTGCATTCCCGGGATGAAGCCTACTTGATTGCGATGGATAAGTTTTTTAATGTACTGTTGCATTCGGTTTGCCAGTATTTTATTGAAGATTTTTTGCATCAATGTTCATGGCTACTGGCCTGAAGTTTTCTTTTTCAGTTGTATCTCTGCCAGGTTTTGGTATCAGGATGATGTTGGTCTCATAAAATGAACTGGGAGGATTCTCTCTTTTTGTATTGTTTGGAATAATTTCAGAAGGAATGGTACCAGTTCCTCTTTGTACATCTGGTAGAATTCAGCTGTGAACCCATCTGGACCTGGACTTTTTTTTGGTTGGTAGGCTATTAATTGATGCCTCTACTTCAGACCTTGTTATTGGTCTATTCAGGGATTCAACTTATTCCTGATTTAGTCTTGGGAGGGTGTAAGCGTCCATGAATTTATCCATTTCTTCTAAATATACTGGTTTAAGTGCATAGAGTTGTTTGTAGTAATCTCTGATAGTAGACTGTATTTCTGTCAGATCAGTGGTGATACCCTCTTTATCATTTGTATTGCATTTATTCAATTCTTCTTTTCTATCAGTCTAGTTAGCAGTCTATCTATTTTGTTGATCTTTTCAAAAAACCAGCTCCTAGATTTATTTTTTTTTGAAGGGTTTTTTGTGTCTCTATCTCCTTCAGTTCTGCTCTGATTTTAATTATTTCTTGTCTTCTGCTAGCTTTGAATTTGTTTAATCTTGCTCCTGTAGCTCTTTTAATTTTGACAATAGGGTGTCAATTTTAGATCTTTCCTCACTTCTCATATGGGCATTTAGTGCTATAAATTTCCCTCTAGACACTGCTTTAAATGTGTCCCAGAGATTCCGGTACATTGTGTGTCTTCATTTTCACTGGTTTTGAAGAACATTTTTATTTCTGCCTTCATTTCATTATTTATCCAGTAGTCATTCAGGAGCAGGTTGTACAGTTTCCAGGTAGGTATGCAGTTCCATGTAGGTGTGCAATCTTTAGTGAGTTTTTTAATCCTGAGTTCTAATTTGATTGCACTGTGGTCTGAGAGACTGGCTGTTATGATTTCTGTTCTTTTCCATTTGCTGAGGAGAGATTTACTTCCAATTATGTGGTCAGTTTTAGAGTAGGTGTGATGTGATGCTGAGAAAAATGTATACTCTGTGGATTTAGGGTAGAGAGTTCTGTAGATGTCTATTAGGTCCACTTGGTCCAGATCTGAGTTCAAGTCCTGGATATCCTTGTTAATTTCCTGTCTCGTTGATATAATATTGACAATGAAGTGTTAAAGTCTCCCACTATCATTGTGTGGGAGTCTAAGTCTCTTTGTAGGTTGTTAAGAACTTGCTTTATGTATTTGGTTGCTCCTGTATTGAGTGCATATATATTTAGGATAGTTAGCTCTTCTTGTTACATTGATCCTTTTACCACTATGTAATGCCCTTCTGTGTCTCTTTTGATCTTTGCTGGTTTAAAGTTCGTTTTATCAGAGACTAGGATTACAACCCTTGTTTTTTGCTCTTCATTTGCTTGGTAAAATTTCCTCCATCTCTTTATTTTGAGTCTATGTTTGTCTTTGCACATGAGATGGGTCTCCTGAATATAGCACACCGATGGGTCTTGACTTTTTTTTTTTTTTGAGACGGAGTTTCGCTCTTGTTACCCAGGCTGGAGTGCAGTGGCGCATTCTTGGCTCACCGCAACCTCTGCCTCCTAGGTTCAAACGATTCTACTGTCTCAGCCTCACAAGTAGCTGGGATTACAGGCATGTGCCACCATGCCTGGCTAAATTCTTTTGTATTTAGTAGAGACGGGGTTTCACTATGTTGGCCAGGATGGTCTCGATCTCTTGACCTTGTGATCCACCCGACTCGGCCTCCCAAAGTGCTGGGATTACAGGCGTGAGCCACCGCGCCCAGCCCAGGTCTTGACTTTTTATCCAATTTGCCAGTCTGTGTCTTTTGATTGGGCATTTA